AGGAAGCGGCCGTTTCTTCGACAAACTAAAGAGAAGACAACCGGATACCAATCACAGTACCAGAGACTGTCTAACATCTAGATAGGTCACTGACAATTGAAATCCAAGTTCCAAGGTGCTGACGTTTTATGTAGTTACGAGACAAACCTTTCTCTAGAATCCTCTGGGCCTGTCGTCAAGGACGGCGGGATGGTGACCAGACGATATAGGAGTCGAAGGTAACCCACTAACCCCTCATTTCCCCCCACCCTCTAGAAGCTCATGCATGTCTTTGAGCTGCAAGTGGACTGCTCGATCACATCATTCCAAGCTACCGGTAAGGTAAGCTCTGGCGATCGGGCGTTGCTTCCTGTCCTTTGTAGACATCTAAACATAAGGCAGTCCTTCATTCAACGAATTCCCATCCCGACTCGAAAGCTGAACCCATCCCGAAATCGTCAACCGCACATCTTCAGAATCAGACCCAGCCCAAAGCCGAAAGGATGGCATTCCCACCCAGGTTCAAAGGCCACCGCATCCTCTCCATCGAGGCGTCCTCGACCTCGACCGATGAACCCCTCCACACGCTCGAGTTCTATCTCGACTATGTCTGCCCCTTCTCAGCCAGTACGCATGCCACCGAGCCAAACCACCTTCCCCATTTCCCCTTCCCCAATTCATCATTACCACTGCACCTGGCGCACCCTAGACGCCCCAGAAGCTAATAAAAACAACCCAAGAACTTTTCAAGACCCTCACGAAATCCGTCATCCCTTACATCCGCGCCAACCCGCAGCTCGCGTCTCGTGTACAGTTCATCTTTCGCCAGCAGATCCAGCCGTGGCACCCGTCGTCAACCTTGGTGCACGAGGCCGCCCTAGCAGTGCAGCGGCTGGCACCGGATCACTTTTGGAGCTTCTCAGCGGTTCTGTTCGAGCACCAGGCGAACTATTTCGACGAGAAAGTTGTTAACGAGCCGCGAAATGCGACATATGCGCGGCTCGCCAAGTTAGCAGCGGGGGCAGTTCCTGGATTGAATGAACACGAGATCTACAAACTGCTTGAAATCAAGGAGGCAGGCGCAGAAGGGCCAAAGAACCAGGGGAATGCAGTCACGAACGACGTCAAGACCATCGTCAAGATGGCCAGGCTTGTTGGGGTGCACGTAACGCCGACGGTGGTGTTCAACGGGGTTGTGGCAGGGGAGATTAGTAGCTCTTGGACGGAGGAGCAGTGGGCTGAGTGGTTGGAAAAGAACATCGTTTAAGACGAAGGGCAGTGGCCGGTTGAACGAAACGTTTCTGTGTAATCTTCAGAGACGCTCCCTCCTTCTATGCGCGGCTATGCACAATGCTGACAAAAGGAACGGAATGCTAAAAGAGTTTGAAGCAACCAGTGTAAAAGACCAACCGAGTCTTATGCGGCCATGCAGCGGTACACTCGACACCAAGCCTCTTCAAACATGGTAAGATAAAGAAAAGGAGGACAGCGGGGATATTTACACACGAGTAGGAAGTTAGCAGCCAGCAGCGCCTGCCTCTCCTCCTCTACAGCCGATCCAGCTTCCTCCGAATGTTCCTCGTCTTCTTCATCAGCTTCTTGTACTTCTTCTTCTTCATGCGGAGTTTCCGCTGGCGGCGGACGCTGATGGCCTGCATGTCGCGGCCCTGCTGCCGGCGGGCCTCGTCGTACCGGAGCTGGCGCTGCGCCAGGCGGGCCAGGAACGACCTAGGCGTCTGCTCGGGCTCGGCATCCTCGGCCTCGACCAGCTCCGGGCTGTGCGCCACCACCTTGTAGTGCCCGTTGTCGTCGACCGTTTCCTCAATGGTGACCATGGCCCTGTAGACTCGCGATTGCGGCGCCGACGGCTCTTTCTCACCACCGGCCATCTCCTCGGCCATGGCGTCGTTGGTGACCGACTCGGCCTCGGCCTCGGTCATGGGCTCCGGTGCCGGAGGCGGGGTGAAGGGCAGGAAGTTGCCAGACATGGTGTCGAGCTGGAGGTAGACGTTGGTCTCGCTCCCGTCTCCGTGCCGCAACGTGAGCTTTGCGGATCCGTCGTCCGTCTCCCGCGCGTCCTGTTGCGCGTCGTTCAGCTTGGATAGCGGCTCGTCCAGGGCGTGCACCGTCTGTGATAGCGTCGAGATGACCTCGGCCATCTTCTGCTTGCGAGAGGGTGGAGTGAAAATCTCGGCAAAGGCATCGTCGGACACGATCTTAGGCAGGAGTTGCGTCACAGAGATGGGCCGATGCAGGGCGAAGAAGGTGGACAGGGCGAGGGCTGGGCAAGCCAGGATCAGCGACGAATTTTCTCATAGATAAGCGATAGAGCGTCAAAGCGAACTCACCCTCATTTTTGATATGCCTGGTACTGGGAACACTGGGGAGTTGGGGCCCGGCCTCCTTTGCCTTTCTCTTGCGTTTTTCTCCTGTCGTCTTTGACTCTCCTGACGCGGGGACGGAGGGCCTAGAGGTGTAGTCTCTGGAGCCGTCGTCTGGACTGGACGGTTTTGACGACGAATAGCGGCGCTGATGGAGGCCGGCAGGTCTGTACGGCAGGCTGTAACTGACAGCGGCTCGGGGCAGGGCTGTTGAGACGGTGGCAGGTGACGGAGGTGCTGTGGCGACGACCACTCGCCGCATCGACGAGTTCAGCATGGTTGGTGATCGGAGGCCGACTCCCGGCGGAGGAGCAGCGCAGGGATTAAGATCTTGCGCAATGCAAGTGGGATTCGCTTCGTCGAGCAAGCTGTGCGGTGTTATTTGCGGCTCCCGGAACGGAGAGCGAAGTTCGAGAGAGCCGGCGTGGGATACTTGACGATTGTTCCCTCGGATTCGACGCTGGTTTGTCGCCTGCCGAGAGTTGAAAGCCCTGTTGGCCGTTTTCGCCGGCGCTAAAACTTGGTCGCCTGAGGATTCGCTCCGCTACGGGTACTGTACTGTACGTACTGATGCTAGCGTCATTGAAGTGGCCTGTGCTTTGTCCCTGTCTTCAGTCTTCACTCTTCAGGCGTGTCTGGTCTGTGCACCGTCCCGACTCTCATGATGCAATCAACACATTCATGATGATCGTTTGAGTCTCTGTTGTCGTTCAAGGGAGTCCTGTACATACCGTGGCTAATCATTGCACCTTCACATACCCTTCTTACTGGTTGGTAACACAGGTCAACAAGACAAATGGCTGACATGGGCAATATCCGTTTATCCGTGACTGCACTCTACACTCCGAACGAATGATGCCTGGTCAGTTGAGAGGCATGTGTCACTGAGCAACTCTCATATCTCCTCTCACACATTGACCATGTCCTACACGACAACACATCTCTCAATCCCCTTCACAGGCCATACTGGTTCCAAGAGCTGCCGAACATACATCCATCCACAGCCTCTTGGTTCTCTCATTATACTTGTACATCATCCCCTCTCCAGTCCTCCTCCAACAATCGGACATGTTCTGAACTCGCGTACACTGCTCTTGGCTAGGTTATACAGACTCGCTCTCAAGTTATCTTCCCGCCAGGTTCTCAGCATAAAGTACAATATTCTCCGAAGTTCTCTCGCAAAGGGAGGCCGGCAAGAAGCCATGCAGAAGCCAGCAGAGACGCGAGCGGGTATCCTACACGTTCATAGTGACCAGCGGTACAAAACCAGATCATGGCAGAAAAGAACAGAATCGAGTCTATCTGACCCGTGTCGACGCGCCATGTCGCGGGGGTAGTCGTCCGCTCAGAGTGGGCCACAACTGACTATCACCGCCAATTGCCCTGGCTGAGCGAGAGCAGGCCTGCGACCGCATCCACGTCTCCCCTCTTGCTGGGGCTGACCTCGCCCCGCATGAAGCGCTCCACTTCATCGTCCAGCACGGGGCGGGTCTCTGGGCTGTTGTTCTCTGCGTCCTCGTAAATCTCGAGGGGTGACTCGGCACGCTTGCCCCGCCGAGACTGGAAGCCACGCACAGGGGCCGTGTTGGCGCGGGTGGCAAGGAAGGACGGGCTCCGTGTTTCTTGGAGTGCGTTTCCTGGTGTCCGGCGGGGGTTTCTCTTATCCAGCCTCGACGGTCCGGATGGAAGCGGTCTCCGACCTGAAGTTCCGTTGTTGGCATGAGGCGCACGGTGGAAAGAATAGGCCCGCGCGTTGCCGTCCTCGTCGGGGCTCCAGTTTTCTTTATCCGAGTCATTACCTGACAAGGACACGAGGGTGTTAACCTTGACCTTGTCAGGCGGCACGCCGAGATCCCTCTGGATATTGTGCTTTTCGGTGACACCTAGAGCGCTTTGCATTCTTGCTACACTGCTCGATGCTCTCGCTAGTTTGGGCTTCTTGGCCATGCCGGAGCGCGGCGCGGCCTTAGTCATGGAGGCATTGCGTTTTGCATTGCTGCTCTGTTGCAGGGGGCTGCTGCCACTCAGACCCGTTGACCTGAGCAGGCTGATAGCGGCAACGGCAGAGCCGCTGCTCTCGTGCTTGGCCTGCACTGTCAGGGCATCCTCGCGATGCTCTGCGTCGCAGCAAAACTCCCAAGCATGGACGTCCCGCGATCGGCCACGAGTTAGACGGGGAGGAAGCGGACCACTATTTGGCGCGGACAATGTGTTGGTAAGCGATGATATGGGCGGCAGAGTGATAGAGGGCGATGCGCTGTGGCGGCGCTGCAGACTTGGCCGGCGTATAGAGCTTAGAGACTGCAATGCTTCGGGGGTAGGAGGCGCAGCGACAGGACGTGGCGGTGAAGGTATTGAGGGAACGACCTCAGCTTTGCCCTCCAACGAAGTAGACAAGCGGAATTTTGATGGCTGAGAACCGGGTAGAGGCAGGATCGGGCCCGAAGCGATCGAGGATGGGCAGGATGATGAGAAAGGGGCCGAACTGTTACTCATGTCAGGAGCCGCGATTTGCTCGGACATCAGATGAAACCTACTTGAACGAGTCGTCACCCGCGCGGTGGGATTGTGTACCAAAGGAGCTCGCCGCGTTCCATCGATTAGACAGATAGCCGAGCGAGGCGGAAAAAGACCGCGAGAGTGAATGGCGGGGCTGCCCACCGGGTCTTTCATTCAGGGATGGCACAGCGGATTCCTGAAGAACCTCCGTCTTTTCCAGTAGGCTGGTCTCGTGGGGCATGTCCCGCACCTCTCTTGCCTTTTGTACCTTCTCCGTCTCGTCTCCAGAAGGAAAGGCGGCGGGGTCAGAAGGAAAGGCGGCGGGGTCTGAAGGAAAGGGCGAGGCGGCGCGTTGTTCTAGAGGCGGCATGCTTTGGGGTGGCGAGGGATTGTGGTTGTCAGGGCTGAACGCTGAGTTGTTGTAGGGAACGGGGTCGGACGAGAGGATCTGCATGCCGCCGTATCTCAGAGCTGCTATCTCCTGGGGTGAAAGCGGACGAGACTTCCGCCGATCATTCTGCCGACGGTTTTGGAACCAGATCTGAGCACGCTGTCAGTGCCATTGACCCATGTATGGAGACGCGTGTCAAGACGACGGGGACCCCCGCCTCGCACAGCCTAGAACTGACCTGCACCTCCTTCTCATTGAGCGAGACGCGTTTTACGATGTCGAGACGCGCCGCCTTGTCGGGTTTTGGGTTTGCGCTGTAGGCTGCCTCGAGGATCGCCTTGTCTTTGGCTCTGTTGGGGAAACGGTCAGTAAAGGAGGTCAATTGAGTCGCGGTCACGTAGGGGACATGGAGAAATTGCACTAACGCGGTCCGTTTCCTCTTGCCCTTTGGATGGCGCTCCCCCTGTGCAACGGATCCTGAAGGATCTGACTCCAGCACTGGGGACTGCTGCGAAGGTCCAGGAGTACTGCTGCTAGGAGAGCCAGATGGCTCGTCACTGGTAGCGCTGGGTGTCGGGACGGGAAGGGATGACAGCGAAGGCGAGGAGGGGCCCTGGGTGTCCATGGTCGATTGGTCGTGAAGGTAGTCCAGTACCAATACTATAGCAGATGATGGGATACAATGGAAAAGACTGGATATGGCGAGAGGACTGCCTGCTATGCCATGTGCAGACCAAGAGAAGGAGAGGTAAAGGGACTTGACGCGAGACACGAGGACGAATTGGTTATGAACGGAAGTCCAATTCTGAGAGTCCGCGAGTCTGGTGCAGAAAGTCGTGGTTGCAGGTTGCAGCCCGCACAATCATCTTAACTATTAAAGACCCACGTCGTACACCTGCTCCGCTCCTGCCCGCGTCAAGCTCTGGCCAATCAAAAACGCTGTAGGCGCGACATGCTATCCCGATCAGGAAACAAAGTCAACAGTGCTGTGCTCGTGGGCGCAACAGCAACGGAACGCCAAGCCGGCTCAGAAATCGATCAAATTGCTCTCTGCACGCGCTTTAAAAAGTCTTGACGCGACTTTCCCACCTTTCATGATGCCCGGAATCTATCTTCGATCATGGATTACTCCATACCTCTTCCATTTTATGAAGAATGTCTTTAATTCCATCCTACAGACCATTCAGCCTTAGCACTTTGGCTGCTTTCCAGCAAGCCATTTATCCCATCCTTTTGGTCTTCATTTATCCATCAATCAAGAATGACGTCGTCATCATCGCCATGTTCCCAGAACTCAAAATCGCATTCGTAAGCTCTTTGTGGGAAAAGCAGTGAATGCCTGACGCGCAGTTCTGTCGGGAACATGCTGCTGCCCGTTAGCCCGCCGTTGTCTCTCCGGCCCCGGATCCTGCATGATCACTCCGCCCGTCTACTGTGGAAGGGGGAGAGAAAGCACTCTGAACAATGGGGTGCATGGGTGAGTTGGAGCATGTTTAATGAAACTAATTTATACAGAGCCAAGCACCTGAAGACAAGCAAACGCATCAAAGAACGCCACAAGCACTTGCACCGCGCCAGCACCGTCCCAATGCAGGCCCCTTAGAGACGGCTAGGCCAATTGGCCGCCCTGAAGACTGGCAACGAGCCTCTGCAGCTCATCCATCTTCCTAGTCTGAGCTACCAGTTGCCGCCGGAGCAATCTGAGCTCTTCCCTGAGATCCTCTCGATCACTTCTCCTCCTTTCCTCAATCAGCTTCAAATCGTCCCGGATCACCTCCACTTCGTCCAAGAGACAGTCCCAGTTACTGTTGGAATCGTCGGCCGGGAGATTTCGGCTTCGAGACGGTGTCGTCGGCGATGAAGGACCTGGGAGTGCCGTCCCTATCTTGCGTCTTTTGGATGCCGACTCGGATGCAATAAGGAGCCGGTTCTTCGTCCGCTGAGGTGTCGGCAGCCCGTCTGGGCCTATCCGCGTGCCCCGCCGAGTTGGGGTGGCAGGGGCCTTGTCTCGCTGGCTCCGCTCCACGGACTGTATCGGCTCGTCTGAGTCGGAATCGTCCAGCCCTACCCCTTCGGTCTCGACCACAGGTCTTTTCCTCTTTGGTGTAGGGGTTAGAGCGTCTCGATCCCAGAGGAAGCTAGATTGCCGCTGACTTATTCCAACCCCGCCGTTGCTCTGCTCTGTAGTATCGCTGTCTTGCGACGCTGAGGAGCGCAAGCGACCGCCCAAAACCCCACGGTCTGCTGCGCGTGGGATGCCGGTGAACATTCTTTGCCTCGGCACCGGTGTTCTATCCAAGTCCGGGGAAAAGAAAGCCTCGCTCTCGAGAGTTGAGACAGGCCTGGGGTATGGCGAGAGCGTGGAGCTATCGAGAGGGGAGACCTCGAGCCTGGGGTATGACGAGGGTTTAAGGCTAGAAGTCTCCTCCTGATCAGGCATCTCCCTCTCCTGCACCTGCCTCTTCCGGGGTGAATGTAACTCTCTCTCCTCTCGCTCGGCTGCCTCCCTCTCACGCGCCCTCATCTCTCGTGCGCGCGTCTCCGGCGAATCCTCCCACAGGAAAAAGTTGCACTGCCCTTCTGATGGGGGCAATGGGCACCTATAAAACCGTCTGCCATGATTCTCCGATTCCTTTCTCACTTTCAGGTGGACAGCTTCACATTTACAGTCGCCTGCAATGTTCATGAAAGTCTGTTGTTGGCGTAGGCGAGGCTGGCACGGGTCGGAGAAGAAACTCACAATACCACACCCCGTTTTTAAATACACCGAGACCCCATGAGCTCTGCGAGCTGGTTGGCGTCGGCGTCCCCGTCATTGTGATCAATTTGGTCTGGTTCAATCTGACGGATGGATGGAAACTGCGATCCGGTTGTTGATGGGCATTCAACTATAGCCCAAGCAATCCCTCCTCAATTGGGCTAGGTATCCAGCGCCTGAATGCCTGTACAGTACAGTGATCGTGTATCAGGAGCTTGGTGTATGTACGGGTTCGGTTCCTGGTTGTTGCACCAATTTGTTTGGTTTTGGTAAATAAATCAAGGCGATTGAGAACCTGGAATCACAGCACTTTGGGAATCTTGGACGACGCGAATGGGAAGGAGGCTGGTGATGGCGGGGGAGACTGCTGTTTCTTAAAAGGACGGATAAGGCAAGGCACATTTAGCTCCCCAGCCCCCCGTGCATCCCAAGGCATTTCTCCCTCCTTCAGCTTTCGAGGCCCACCCTCGATGGTCCAGCCGGAAATGAGTCGTTTCAGCCCAGCCTTGCTCAATAGAAGCGCAATGAAGGCGATAGCTTTGGCTACATAGGAGCAGGCTATTCAGTTTCTATCAATTGTCTTGAATAAACGTCATAATCAGGTCATTCTAACAGGGCGATACTCCCTTAAGGACGAGGCATCTACTCGTGCTATCCTTTACGGCTTTTCCAGTGTTCTTACTGTCTGCATCAACACTCAGTTCAAGGAACTCAAAAATCAATATTAGCAAGGGTGGCTGCGGGGTCCGCTATTGCTGTACCAGCCACCTCCGGGGTTTAGCTCCCGCGAGGCGCACTGTTCCGCGATCCACGCTGTTGCTAGCATTGATTAGTCGTTAGCGGTTTCTCCTCTATGATACTATCCTGCTGTGTGTGGATTTCAGATCGAGAACCGCCTTCATTAGGATACTACCTATCATTTGAGCGTAAATGTCATGAAAAGTAGAGGGTATGTATACGTAGGGTATCTGCCGCCCAGGAACAAGAACAATTATTTGACCGAGAAGAGAACGAGCAGAAATAAAAAGGAAGAAAAAGGAAAACTAAAAACCATATCAAATTAGATCTCGTAAAAATAGTCCTCATCCAGTCCCTCCCGGCTGGGGACTATCCCAGCGCCGTGGCCCGGCCCAGCATACATCTGCTCCAGCCTGACGTTCAAGAGCCTGATCTTGAGGCCGTACTCGCTCACCAGCCTCACGAGCTTGTTGGTCTCGGACGTGATGGGCGCCTGGTTGAGCAGCATGAGCAGGCCGTCGAGCCACTCCGAGGCAACGCTGTGATTCAGCGGGAAGAGTGTCAGGACGGGCTGCTCCTTTGGTTCGCTTCCTCCTCCTCCCCCTCCTTCACCGCCACCGACCCGTCCCGCGGCTGATGCTGAGGCTTCCGAGGGAGTAGCCGTTCCGTCCGGTTTCGTTGGCGAGTCGTCCGCAAAACTGTATATCGTGATCTTTGTGGTTGGTTTATTTGGTATTGCCGCGCCGTTGTTCCGTATTGTCGTTGTGCTTGCAGAGGCGTTACTGCCGCCTTCCGTCTCTCCTAACCCCTCCGCTTCGTTGGGCGCTGATACGTTGGAGACCACCGAGGTGATCGTGCCGAGGTCGACTTTCTCGGTCAGCGTGTCCAGCCCCGGGTCGTATGCTAGTTTCTCTGGGAAATCGGCGTAATGTAGGTATCGCCGGTTGTGCGATAATTTGGCAAACCGCCACGGCTGGTACAGTCGCCGTTTCTGGTAGCCATCTTGGTTGGCCGTGCCGCTGCTGTTGTTGCTCCGCGGCATCGGTTTCGAGAACCAACTGCCTTGGAGCAAGCAGCGGATGCGCTGCTCCTTGACGAACTGGAGAGCCTCGTGTTTAAGCTCCTCACGGACCTGGAAGAGGTGAGGTCCCCATTGATCCTCGAACGTAAGCTCGACAAGTTCCATCTGCAGTTCCCTCAGCCGAGCGGCGTCGTACTCTTGCAAGTCGTCCTCGACTTCGAGGACATCTTTGGTTCTGCTGGCCTGTCCAACCACCTGTTCGATGAGGACGCGCACCAGTTCTGCGACCTTGTCAAAGTCATCACGTTGCGCACCCGTTGCCTTCCACATACGGAAGAAGGCATGCAGACCCGCCGTGTGAAGCCGCGACCACTGGAGCAGCAAGGGCCTGAAAAGCTTGTCATTGGTCTTGGGGTCGTTCAGAGCGAGGAAGCCCCTAATATCCTCCAAATCGGCCTTTTCCACCTCAAAATGATCGTAGAGAATCATTGTGACAGCGAGACTGGCCCTTGCTATGGGACACCGTTCGTTCAGCGGCCTGGTCGACTGCTCAAGCAGCAACTTCTGGAACCCGTCCTCGTTCTTCCTCACATAGTCGGTCAAGTCCATCAAGCCCAGGAAGCCGGCCGCCTCAAACTCGAGTGCAGGCGACTCCGTTTCGAACCCCAGGCGCCGCCATTTCTCGGGATTATGCCTCCTGCTGCCCTTCTTCGCAGCATCTCCTCCATTGTCCACGGCCGGGGCCGAAAGGGTAGCCGCCGCGCCAGACGCGCCAGACGCGCCATTGGCATGTCTCCTGTCAGGCGCACTGGCAAGATGCAGCCCCTTTAGAGCCCTCCTGTGCTCGGGTCTCTCCAGATCGACCCGCACCTCTCTCCATTTCCTCAGCAGCACTTTGGTCAGGGACTGGAATTCCAGCAGTGGGTGGGCCAGGTCCTGCAGCGCAGAGCTCTGCAACAAGTTGTACACGGCGCGTATCAGCCCCAGATCCTGCAGCCGCTTTATGAACTTGCTCCACTCCTCGCCGGCCGCCGATGAAGCTTTGGTCGACTGCCCGGACCCGGCGACCGCAGCGGCGACCGTCGCGCTGCTGTAGTCGTTGGACACGGCATCCCGAATCAACGCATTAATCAGCATCAGCGCGTTGGCGCACAGGGCGTGGTCGGCGCTCTGCAATTGTTGGATGACCAGCTCGAAGAATTGTGGATAGACGGCGACGGCAGGCTTGAGGGCGCGGAAGCCAAAAGTCCCGGGTGCGCGGGCCGCCGCGCCGCCGCGCGTCGGAGTAAGGGGGTTGTTGCCCGGCGGAGAGGAAGGAGGAAGGGGCGACGACTGCGAGTGGGACACGAGAGCGACGAGAATCGACATAGCACCGCGGAGGATGTTGACCAGCGGGTTGGTGACAATCAGCTCGACTATGCGTTCCACCAGATCCCCGGCCTGCGGGCCCTCGAAAATGTCCCAGCCCATGTCGACCTCGAGAAGACGGGTGAGGCTCTGAAGCGAGTATGCCAGCGTGTTGCCGCCCGCGGTCATGATCAAGCGGCGAAGGATGATGAGCCCGCCCGACGAGATGAAGACGTCGGCGAATGCCGGGTCATTGATGGACGACTGCAACTTGAAAACTGCCATTTTGCGGGCGGCATCCTCGTCTGAGGCAAGGCGCGCAAGAAGCGCGGGGATATCGGCTTGATCCATTGTGGTTGTCGCTGGCGGTCGTCGAGAATCGGGGTCGAGGACCGGAGTCGGCTTTCCTATCGTTTTCTGTTGCTCTCGACTCCTGGCTGAGAGGATGTGACAGCCGTTCAGCCCGTCATGGGCATTGCGTACCCGCCCAAGTTGAATATTTGATTGGGGTAGAGGTCGAGTCGAGTTCTGGTCTGTCGAATCGTTTCATGCTCGGTTTGACGATCTGCGATGCCTCCTGGCAAACTACCGGGCGTTGTTAGTTACAGAAAGTGTGGGGAAGTTGATCGCCAGGGACAGCGGGGGCTTCGGGAGCCATTGTCCAATCAAATGCGCGACGCCTGAACACTGGGCATGAGAAAGCGGCCTAAGGTTGCCTGAGCACTCTGCCAAATCGCCTATAAAGACGCCGGCAGTGACGACCTAGAGGACACTGAGATACCTCGACTCTCCGGTAGTTCCTTCCAGTACTGCCTTAGACACTATCTTCATCGGTTTTTTAACGACTACCTCACCGATTCTGCTTCTTCTTCACCTTTCCCCTTTGCAACAGATAGTCACTACCCACCACGGTCTTGCAAACACCGTACAGGCCCCTCAACGGCCAGACCGTCCATACCCCGGCCCTGACCCGCGCAAGCCACGACAACGACTTCACCGCCGCCGCCTCAGCGTCCACATCTACCCTGACCTTGTCATAGACACTCGGCAGATAGTCAGCCCCATACCTTTCCCTGAGCGCATCGTACGACGCCCTGTCGTAGTGCCCCCAAAACTCGTCCTCGGTATAGTACGCGTGCCCGTAGAGCCACTTTTTCCCGCCCAGCTCATGCACCTTGCTCTCCAGCGCCCTGTTCAGCCTCACACACTCCCTCCTATCCAACAAACTAAACATGAAAGACTTCCCGCCTAGGGGACCCCAAACCCCAAAATTCAGCATCCCCTCCGGCGTAGCCTCCGGGTCCGCAAACGCAGCATGCAACCCATGCTGTCCCTCCCCACCACCGTCCCGCCTGATACGCAACGGACACAGCCACAGCGGGTACACCCCTTGCAGGTTACGGTCCAGCCAGCCCGCGAAGTCGGCCGCGGCCGCGTAGGGCACGCCGACGTCCTGGACGACGTAGAAATCCGCCAGGCCGCTGTGGTGCAGGGCCCGGTACATGACACGCGCGCGCAAGAGCGAGTCGAGCAGGAACCGCGTGATCCGGTTGAAGGGCGTTAGGAAGTACCGGAACGCGTAGCGCCCCGTCCAGAACCCGCCGCGGTCCCACCGGAAGAGGTAGTCCACCAGCGGCACGTGGTCGGTCACGGTTGCCGAACCTTGTTGCTGAAGCTGTCGTTCGGTGCCTTGCGCATGCACGTAGAACCAGGGGTCGCGGGCGCGCAGGAAGCGGCGCGGCGCCGTGGTGGAATTGGGGAGAGCGTCAACAAGACGGCCGGTGCAGATCAGGGTTGAGTTGAGCGAGAAGGTGACGGCGTCCACGTAGTCGTTTGTCGTTCCCTGCGAAGTTTCGGCTTGTAAGACTTCTACGACCTCGGCAAAATCCCTGACCAGCCGGTAGGTCAGCTCGACGTATGGTTTGGCGTCCCGCAGCTGGACCTCCAACAGAGTGACAACACCCAGAGTGCCAAAAGCCGAGGCGGCTCCCCAGAAGAGATCCGGCTTTTCCGTCTTGGACGCCCTCGTAATATCACCGGCTGGTAAGACAATCTCGATCCAGTTGACAATGGTCTCAAAGGCACCGTAGCGGAACGAACTGCTCTCGCCCGACGTCCCGGAGAAGCCTCCGCCCACCGTGATGCCCGGGAACTCCATCACGACCAAGGGAACCAGGCCATGCTCGAGTGTGGCTTTGACAAGAGCGTCCATGGGCACATTCGGCTCAACTATGACTGTTTTCTTCTCCCTATCCACTTCCAGCACATGGTTGAGGCAGCTGGTGTCGATTGTCTTGTCCTGTCGTCGCTGAGAGCGGCGGGTGCTGTTGGTCGACCCGTGATAGACCCTGAATCTTGTCTTGGTTTCGTAGAATCTGCGCGTCCGCAGTACGATAGCCTTGACGGCCGCTTCATGGTCCTCCATGCTATTTAGCAAGAGTGCGAAATTGGCCCCTGAATGATCAGTCAATCAAGCATGCCACTCTACCACTACAAATTTGGAAGTCGGGAACACAATTGGAGATTTGGAATGTTGGACCGCCAAGGCTGTGAACACTCATTCCCCGAGCAATCCGCACACATGAAATACCCCTACGTAAATAGAAGCCAGCACTGATCAGTGATCACCACTGGTTATTGTCTCATTGTCAATCCGAACCAGCTTAGTTGGTAGATTAGGAATATTAGTTGTATTGCTAAAATCATCGCTTTTCAAAACAGGACTCCTAAATACTGCGTATAGCAGATATTTCAAGCCAGTCTGTCCTCTAGCCAAGGTGTTCTGAAACCCATCGCCTCGATTATCCATTGAAGCCCACATAGAGCGAAACTAGTACCCGAAGATATGTATCCCCAACCAACATGGAATAGGTATCGTAACCGAGATATTGCAGAGACTGACCAAGGAAAGTAGTCATCACCTACTGAGTCTTCGCTGTCTCAACCCCGCCCCTCACACCCAAAATCATCCCAAGAAAATCCAGTATGCTCACCCAGCGCCCCACTAAGCCTCCCAGCATCAAGCACTCCCTTGACAGATCACAAACATCTCCACGTCTAAGAAGGCGGTGGTCCGTCTCGACTAGGAACTCTGAGCTCCCGCTTGCCCAAGAGACTCCGCCGCATACCTACCATTGACTTGGGGCTGTCAGGAGCCAAGCGCTCCTCAGCTGGCGTAAAGGAGCTCTTTATCACCACCTTGCCGGAACCAACGGGGAGACTCTTCTCCTGGCCCGTGTTGGAGTCATCCACAACATAGAATGTCTCGCCAAGCGCATTGTCGCTGCCAAAGGTATGGTGCTCCTTCGCCTCCACTTTGAACTGCGCGTCAGGAGTGCACTGTATCTTGAACGTCTCGTCGAATTTCACGGCCCCGTCCGGCGATTTGCGGTGTTTAGTTTTGCCAACCTGCTTGGTCTTGCCGTCTTTGATCTGCGTCACAGTGACATAAATATCAGCAGACGGGAAGCCCGATGCCGACACGATGGTGAAGGATGCGGTGCCCGATGATGCTCCAGGTACTATAGCGCTGTGAATCGACGACGCCCCCGCACTTCGAGTCCGGTGGTGGTGCAGCGAGAGCCCGCCGTTAACCGGCCCCGGAGCCTTGGTCTGTGGCGGCGACTCCTCAAAAGCTGTCGATCGCTTTAAGCCCATCCCGGGTGTCGGTTCGGGGCCGTTCGTCGTGATGACCGGAATATCTATCGAGCTAGATGCGTCGCTATCGTCATCCTTCTTGCCGCGGAAGCCGCGCTTGAGGAACGATGCACCCTTGCCGACACCGTGGCCGACTACCCCGGCAACCATGGCTCCTCCCTTGATTGGTGCCCCGGCAACGCCCGTCATGATCTTGGTTGGCCTGGAGAATGTGCCCGCAAACGTCGATGTCCCCTGTCTCGTCCGCGTCACGTAGTCAGGCGTGAAGAGCAGGCGGAGGCGGAGCACACCAGATTTGCCGTCAAGGGCATACTTGAATTCTTGAGCTTTGAACGGCTCTAGTTGCTCCAAGTTGATATCAGCACCACCCAAAAAGTCGGGCTTGTCGGCAAAATCCCAGTCCCACACCGAGGCAGAGAACTTGGCGGCGGTCCTAGAAGGGACGGGGACGTTGAAAAATTCATTCCAAACTGGGTGGAGCGTCTTCTTTTGCACCTTCGTCTTGAACACCTCCTGGCCGTTCAGCTCAAACTTGACATACGGGTCACTTTTGCCGTTGGCATCAGCAGACGGGAGGTCCTGGGCGTCCAGGACATCAACCCGGAGATTACCCATGTTGTTGATGCTCTCGCTCGGGTCGAGCTTCATCTTCACCGGCACGTACTTGAGGCTGACCTTGATGGAGTACACATCGCCATCCTCGTCCTTCATCTTGAGTGTCGTCGGGTTGTTCTGCTCACCGGTCAGTCATGCATCTGCTAGGCCAGACAGCTTCAGGAATGGAGGCCGACTCACCAAGCATTGTTTAAGGGTGTCGAGGGTGTTACCCGACAAACGTGCCAGAGTGTGCTCGTTGCCACCGTCTTGTTTGTCCGTCCTCTCCGAAACTTTGATGGTTAATCTTGAAAATTCCAACTCGCGGATGAAACAGTCGCCCATCTCGTCAAACTTGTGCGTCCGTGACCTGGCTGTCGAGGAGACATAGGAAGGGAATGCCATATCGTCAACAAAGACCTCGATTCGGGTCTGACTCTTTGGTAAGTCTGCTTCCATGAGTCTGAAGATGACAAAACCGGATTCTTGTTGAAGCAGCTCTTGCGGTGTGAGGTAGACCTTTGGCGGCTCCCTGTCGTCTCTTGATTTCCTTGGGGACACGGCAGAGCTGGGCGTCGTGGGTGTGCGTGGTGTGCTGGGCTCCTGGTCCAGTGTGGGCGAGAATTTGCTGGCATCCGAAGGTCGCGGCACGTCGAGGGATTGCCTACCCTGGGCAGAACCGTCCTTCTCGCTTCCGGCTTCTTTTGCCTTCTCATTCTCCTCCTTCTGCTTTTCCTCCTCGTCTTCGGGGTCGGCGACATTGATGGTCGGATAGAATGCCACAGTGTAAGTGAGCACACCCTTGGCGGTACCTTTGCCGTGGAGTCGTAGGCCGTCTTCACGTACTTCCTTCTTGTCGTGGACTAACCACTCGCCGTTTTCATCTTGCGCCATGTAATCACCCGAGGAAATCTCCGTGAGACCAAGGCTGCGGTCTTTGCCCATGTTCTCGGCATCCATGACCTCAAGCTGCAGGCGTTCCCGTGGAGAATGTATTGGCACGTAGAGAACCTCGTCCCAGTCGGGATTGAGGTTGTTTTTGAACGTGACGGTACGAGCTCTCTCAATGCCTGACAAGACGACCCGTACATAGGGATCGGATTTGCCCAGGGCCTCCAAGTTACGTAGCTGCCTGGCATGCTTGAAGTGCAAGCGCATAACACCAATAGGAGTCATGTATCCTCCTGTGCCAGCAGCGATGCCCGAGATAGCCACAGGTCTCCACTGAGCCATCATTTTCACGCGGCCAGTCCTGGTGCCCGCAAGGTTGTACCATTCTTGCCCCTTTCCCATCAATTCAAGCATATCCTCGAGTTTGATCTGGTAGGTTCCGATGACCTGATCCCCGGCGATGTCGCGGTCGTCCTTGATTGCGACTCCAAGCTTGGCATGCTTTCTATCCGTGATCAGGATCTCCTTGGATCCATTGTCCCAGATGGGATTGTTCGTCCGCTTAAGCTTCTTGGTGGTGTGGACCTCCTTTCCGTTCAGAAGAAGCATTGCATATGGGTTGAGAAGACCGGACATGCTCTTGTTGCCGTCAAGCTCCTTGGCTTGTTCAACGGTGAACCGCAAAATACCTTGGTTGGATTCGGGAGGTGGTTCCAGGCTCCCATCTTCAAGCTTTTTGGGCTCCAGGACAGGGAAGAAGCGGACATCCATGAGCAGCATCCCTCTCGCCTTGCCGTCGTGGTTGAGTTCCAGTCTCTCATTTTCATGCTCATAGACTTCCTCGAGGTTCTCCAATAAGAAGGAGGCGGAGCCCAGTTTTTTGTCCTTTCTGATGTCATTATAGTCGTAAATATCGATGTCAAGGGAATCATTGAAGGAGGTGATGATGATGTAGTGCGTCTCGTTCCAGCGAGGATTGGCATTCTCCTTGACCACTTTGGTCTGGGCGAGCGGCTGCCTCCTGTTCAAGGACACCACGGCATACGGGTCAGGCGTGCCGGAGAACTTGTCAGTGTTCTTCAGCCCTTGGGCACCATGGAGCGTGACGGCGACGACTCCGATTGCCTGGTCGACGGGGGTGCCGGCCAGCATCTTGGCTACCTCGATTGGAAAGACGTTTGGCGCATACATCATGGGCTCGAGGGTACCATGTATCTGCTCCATGATGAAGCTCTCAAGCCCCGGGATGAAGTTGATGTCGAATCCGAAGGTTTCACCCCCGAGCGGTTTGCAAACATAATCGATCGTCGGCCTCTCCAGGAAGGACATTTCAACCTTCTCGACATGGGGGAAAGGCATTTGCAGCTTGATCTTGAGGCGCATCAGGCCGGTAAAGGCCATGTCCTCTACGATAACGTCCAAGCCCTTGCTCACCATGGCCTTGCCCACTCGGATTTCCAAAACAACCTTGGGGTTAATCTTGTTCTTGAGCTGGCGGGCCGTCATGTCGGCGGTATCGTTGGGGGTGAAGCTGAACATCCAGTCCATGATGACAACGTCGTCGTCGGCCTTGGGATAAGTCTTGACGTGCTCCATTCGGGGCGGCTTCGAACCGAGAGTGAAGGTCTTCAATTTCAGACTGTCCAAGAACGCCGGTGTGGCCGTACTCAGGACCTGGTCGACCGAATTAATAACGGTCTGAGCGAGGACCGGCTGGTAGATGGGCCAAAACTTGACCAGGAATGAGTTTATCCACTCGACGGACTCATGGTCGGTTTCCAGCTTTTTCAAAGCCATCTCACGCGTAATGTCATCCCTGAAGTTGCGGCGCACGCGGCGGATCGAAGTACGGTAGTAGGTCGAGCAAATAGCCATGACAATGAAGACCCAAGCAAGACCGCCCCCGAGGACTGCTACGAGCCATGAAGCGATGCAGGCAAACGCAATGACGGCGGCGTTGTGATACCAGTCTAAGCATTCGACCATGTCAGTCTGGAGTGATGCCCACGGCCAGCGACAAAGGAAAGTCCTTACCGCCAAAGAATTGTTCAGGGATCTGCGACTCGACCCATGTTGTGTGATCCAACATGCTTTCCCCCTCGTGTGCCGACTCGGTAGGCCATCCAAACCGGGGAGCCCATCCGGTTTTGCTCCAATCATCCTCGTCCTCCTCAACTAACTGGCCATCTTCGACTGGTTTCCCGTCCTTGTTCTTGTGGACTTCGATCGCGCCGGCCTTGGACGGTTCTGGGAGATCGACATCGGCCTTGGCGCCATCCTCGTCGATATCGGTCACGATCGCCACGCCTTTGGGTCTGTGATGGAAACCCTCGGGTATTGCCTGGCACAATCAGCGCATGAGAAGAGAGGGGATGAAGGAGCTGCGACGTACAGCCCTGGCTTGAGCCCTCTTCTCTTCTGGAGTGGCATCTGGATCAAACATGAAAGCCGTTACGCCAGCTTCTCTGCTGTCCTCAACAATCTTGCGCTCGGCATCTTCAGCGCTGACATTGCTTTCAGGATCACGCGATGCTTCGAGAGCGCCCTGCTGCTTGAGCTCGTTGGCGGACCGGGCAGTCGCCATGTTGCCCAACCGTAGGAATTGCGTCTGCAGACGCGAGTATTGGCTCCGTCCCTCAATTAGTTCAATGGGCAGTTCGGTCAATGGGTAAGAAGAGCAAAAGCGCTGTTGGTAACAGCAATTGATTCAGAACAGGGTGGCCACAAAAGGCCCAGAAGCTTGGTATCACGGGAGGATTGTGGCACCAACCGCACCGCACCTCACCACCGCCCCGTGGCTTTTCACTCGGAATCCGGCACGATGAATGGCAAAAGGGAAGTGAAAGAAAGGGAAGAAAAGGGGCCAAGGGAACGACAATTGCTATCCTAGAAAAATATAGTTCGGAACACAGAAGTTGGACCTGCGGACCGTTGGAATGAGGTGAGATTTTGGAAGAGAAAGCTATGATAAAGGGAGCTTGGACGGAAGTTGTGTATGGTCTTGGCACTGATCCAGCAAGCAAACAGGATGGAGATCGGCGTCGATCGGGTGCTACGTACGTCAGAAGAAGCGTGGGGACTCCCTGGTCGTTGCGCCCGGCTAGGCCAAACCAGGAATTCTAACGAGGCTGGTGCACTGCAAGTCTGCCACTGCAGCACTTCCAGGACGCATTTCTCAGCTGAACATGGAATGCTGCTCTCCATTTTACCGCTGGACAGCAGGTGTCGCTCTTGCATTGGTTTCGCCCGACCTTCCGTTGTGCCCCAGAAACACTATCCGAGCCTCTGCTTCCTGAGGTGGTTTTGTTACGTCTGTTTGTTTCCAGGTTGCGGCATGCTGTGCCTCGACTCACGAGACATGTCGTGGGAGCTCAGCGACCTAGTGAGTTGGTTACCTATGCTTCGTCTCTCCGGTCTAACAACCTGCTCTTCTCTCCTTGGCTCTTGTTCTGCCATTCACGTCATGTTGTCGCTGGACAGCAAATTGCCTCACCTCGTGAAGTTTTCCTAGGCAATCCTCTCCCAATTCCGGGGTCCATTAATACTGACTAGCCTAATCTTGGCGCCCAACCTCCCCCACCAAACTGTGACGCTGGTTCTGATTGTCCGGATCTTGCTTGTCACATTAGGGAGTGCATATTGACAGGTTGACTCGAGCTCGAAGTGGCCAAGCGAACCAAAATGCTGGGAGCCGAAAGAACACCGAAACCGACGATAGACCTGCTGTCTGCGGACAGCCTGATGCAAGAACACTTACATAAGACCAAGCCTCAGGCCTGCTGCTGGTCACGACTCACCGAGCTCCGATCTTAGTGTTTCCCACCGCCATCTGTCAGGGACTCAGGGCCCAGACGGGTGGGAATCTCCGAATCATAATGAGCTGATATTCCGAGGGGCCCTGGCTCGGTTAGTGTAAAAGTCAATGAAATGAAGATTCATCATTCATACCTATGTATCACCCCGACTCCGAGGGAGCCAGGCGAGACAGGGTGATGTTAGGCGGGAAATTGTATCGCTCCGTTTTGTTCAAATTTCGGTAGCCGGCTGGGAGGCAGTTAATTACGAAGTGATTTTCACAGGGTAAGTTACGGCATGTCCTTGGTATGCGTGGGCTGCCTCCCTCACAGAAAGTGGCACGACATTGCCTTTAACGTTACCTTTCCATCATCTTCATTGGCTCCCTCTCGGCACATCAGCCGACATGCAGAGACATACGAGGATTTGCAGGTTGAGTTATTTCCTTCCCCAACAATCTGCTGGCCTGGGCAGCAGAGCCCTAAATCATCACCAGCTTTTACCTTCTGATGAGAGCAGCGCTGATGAGTTGGTTGTGAAGCTCAGGGTGAGTGTTACAAAACCCATATCTCTGTACGTTAACTACCTAGCGTTACATCCGTACACAATGTCCTGCTTAGTGGGGCGTTCTGGAAGCTTCAGCCACACGTTCTGGGCCCTTGCTGCTAGGAACGGACGACCAATGAAAGCCAAGCAGCCACTTGTGGCGGAAATGGCTGATGAATGGGTTAACAACTTAACGCGTTTTCTCGTTTGCCATCCCTGCTACATTCATCATTTGAGAAAGTTGAAACTGCCTGGACTCGACTCGACCATTGATCGTCCGATTTCACTCTGATCGCAAACTATATTCGAGGATTATAATAGTTCAGAGCCTCTCGTCGCAAATAACTCTGCCGAGCATCGCGAAAATCCTTTGCGATCCATTCGTAAAGAGGGGAAAGGAAGAAGAAAATCCCAGCACAAGATGGCCAACTTCCTCGCCTCCATCTTCGGCACCGAGCAAGACAAGGTCAACTGCTCATTTTACTACAAGATTGGCGCCTGCCGCCACGGCGACCGTTGCAGCCGCAAGCACGTCAAGCCGTCGTACTCGCAGACGATCCTCATGCCTAACCTGTACCACAACCCGGCCTTCGACCCAAAGAACCGCATGAACGCGTCGCAGCTGCAGAATCACTTTGACGCATTCTACGAGGACATTTGGTGCGAGATGTGCAAGTACGGCGAGCTCGAGGAGCTCGTCGTGTGCGACAACAACAACGACCACCTGATTGGCAACGTCTACGCCCGCTTCAAGTACGAGGACAGCGCCCAAAAGGCCTGCGACGACCTCAACAGCCGCTGGTACGCCGCCAGGCCCATCTACTGCGAGCTGAGCCCCGTCACCGACTTCCGCGAGGCCTGCTGCCGCCTCAACAGCGGCGAGGGCTGCGTCCGCGGCGGCTTCTGCAACTTCATCCATCGCAAGAATCCCAGTCCGGAGCTCGAGCGCGAGCTTGAACTGTCGACGAAGAAGTGGCTCAAGATGCGGCCCCGGTCGCGCAGCCCTACGCGCTCTCCTAGCCCGGAACCCACAAGGAGGCGGTATTGAAAGTAAAATTTTGGGATTCTACAGATTCTTGTTGCTTCGAAGGGGAGATACATAACAGAAAGTCGGGTCTTCATTGTGCGAAAGGGGAAGCATGGAAATAAACTAGGATGGCGATTTATCGATACCACTGGCTCCTACGGAGTATCAAGGTTGACATTAGGTGTGTCAAAAAGGTCAAGGCTTGTTGTGAGTGGAGTTGAGGCGTTGGAGTTGGGCACATTCCGAGTACGGTTGTTTTTGTAATCCTGGCTCTATTTTCATTGTACAGCACCCAGTCGCACAGTATAGGGGGATATTCCTGGAGGAGCAGACACCCAAAGATCAAGCTGTTCGCTCCGCCTAAGCAGCTGCAACACTACCCTTATAGTGTTGGGCCTAGTTTAGCATAGTTGTAGTTATCCAAGACCTCCTTACATCGTAAAAAAAAACAGTGCATTGTTCGCTTGCCGACAAGAATTGAGACAATTCCGAAGGGTATCTGATGCTATCAATTGGGAATCCACACCCCATAAAGTGATATTGCCTGATAGCCCACGCCCAGTTCTCATGTAATCCCCTTGATCTTGGGTAGTCGAGAGCCCTTGACAGGTGCAGGGAGGCAAGCTACAAGTTTGTCACGTTCTAGTCCGCAGGTTAGCAACACGTTGAGGCCATAATAGCTACACCTGGAAGCCGAATGCACTTACCCGCCTCATTGTCAAACATAATCGAGATATCGTCATGCTCTCCAGGTAGCTCGGGCAAGTCTAGACACACAAAGGCAGCATCAGCTGCCTCCTGAGCCCCGCCGGCATCAGCCGGAAGGACCTTAGGTAGCGGAAACTTGGCATCGACGATTTTCAGCCCTGCCTTACTGCCCCTGCCGAAAACCTCAAACACGTCAGTCCCCTTGAGGTGGAATCCCATGCACTGCCCGTGCGAAAAGTCCTCGAAGAAGGCCAGCAGCTGGGCAACGCCATCCTGCGAAACGACCTGGATCCGTGTGGCCCCGGCTTCCCATTTCTTGTGGATAGGCACCACCATGCGTCGACGCGAGATAGCAAACGCCGAGGCAATTCCGTCAAAGAGAACCTTGAACCCGGTAATGGCCGCCTCGAAGGCATGCAGCTCCTCCTTCGTTGGGAACATGAACGTGCGGATGGTTGCTGAGTTCTTCAAGCTTTCCAATGCCTGCGCAAGACCGCTTGACAGGTCGCGCGAGACTTTGGTCTCGGTGACGGCAAGCGTGACATCGGCCTGGGGCTGGCGGAATATCATCAGGCAGCTGGGATTTTGTACGTCTAGTCGGAGTTTGAGCTCTCCTGGAGCAACGTTAATCCTGTCAGTAAAGGTGCCGTCCTGAAACTCATAGACCACCCGCAGCTTATCGGCCAAGACACACGCAGGCCGGTCCCCATCATTGTCGTGGTTGATAACCCTGACTTTGTTCCAGGCGAGGCTGGAGAGCACCTGAAGGCCTTTGTCAAGAGTGTCACCAAACCTCTCCGAGAACCAGACCCCTTGTACCGGGGACTCGCCAAAGACCTGCTCGCTACGATCCAGAGCCGTCCCGATAAGCAGACTATGCATCCGTAGCCTTTCCTTCTCATCGGAAAAAGACAATACCATGTTCCCCTTGAGCCGTCCGTTGTCGAATTTCAGTGACAGCGCAGGGTCGTTTGCTTCACTGCGCAGGAAGCCAAAATGAATGGGTGCTTGGGGAGAGTATGTCTGGTTGACGCCGCTCAGCGTCTTGGTCCTGGGGCCCGTGACCACTGCAATTCGGAATCCCCTATGATAGGTACGAGGCCCAGTCGCCGCTCCTTCCCTCAGGACACGCTCAAACAGAGCGACCTCACAGTTTGGCGTTGGTTCTTTGGGAAATTGTCTTGCCTGTGGATCATTGTCGAAGTATTGAAACGACCGGAGCGTAGATCTAAAGGTACAGGTCTCGTCTTGCCTCGGGTAAAGACTGGAGTGTACCTTTGCGCTGAACTCGTACATGCTGCGCAGCGTTGTGTAAGATTGCTGTGTGCACTGCACGCCAAGCATGAAGCCCCGAGGCAACCTCACATCAAAATTATACGTCTCCGGATGCCAGCGGACATCTTCCCAGAGAGGCCCGACATTCTTGTTTCCGGAGATGCGGAGCTGTACGGCCCCATTTTGGCTTGCGACAACAAACAAGATGTCCGGCTGCGTTTGGGGCCTTACTATTGAAAGAAAGCACGGCAGATGGAGACGCTGTGACTCTCTCCCTTGCTCCATCAAGAATACATCAACCAGGAAACGGCCGAAGCAGAACACGGTCGCCGAGTCGCCCACTGGGAAGCATTCCAGAATGGTCATTCCCGAGATGGTCTGTGGGCTAGACAGCGCCGAGCTCGACGAGCCGCATAAAAGTGCCTTTATATCTTGGGTGAGGGGCGGATATTCCACCCATATGGATCTGTCGATGGTCTGAGGCAGAAAGGCCTCCTCAGGCGGCAGGAAGCCATTCCGCTTCATTGACACGGCCAATTTCCGAAGGCTCGAAATGAGCGTCGCCCGGACGTTCTCGGTTTCGTTGTCAATCTGGATGCGCCCGCTGGTGGTGATGTCAGGCATCACCTCCTCCAGGAGCCAATAGCCCTTGGCCAGGTCGGCGTACGCTTGTTGCTTTGCCATCTCATTTCTCCTCTCCAAATCAGGCGTATTCGGACGGTCCCTGATGGCAACCTCCAGCGCTGACCGGCCCGTGAGGAACCACCATAATGCGGCCCTGGCAAGCTCATGAGGCGTGGAAGAGATCAACGGGCGCACGCTTTCGGCGTGCAGACGGAATAGCTCAAATAAGTGGCGTGTACGTGTGACAAACGCGTGCATCGCATCATCAGAAGCAGCCATCACGACATCTTGGAAAGTCGAGACTCCCTGCTGGGATTGAACAGGCACCCCATATTCGGAGATCTTGCTTCCCTGCCTTGATGCTGCGAATGGATGCTGGAAACTTGAGGCTACCGAGTACAGAGATGTGGGGCTATTCTCAATCTTCTGGGTCCTTTTCAATCTATCGGGGGAGTTCGAGAGCTGGCCTGGTGGGGTGTAATGTGTCTGTGTAGGGGGGGCGGGTTGTGTATCTAACGGAGGCTGAGGGATTGGAGGCAGCGGCGATTTCGAGATGGATCCTTTTGCGGGGATCGGCGGCGCTTTCGAGGGCGAGGATGAAGGCTGAAGTTGAAGTTGGATCGAATCTGGAGAGGTGGTGATGGGCGTCTCGGGCTCTGGCTCGGATGTGAAAGAAGCCGAGTTCGTCCTCTCGTGCTTTGACTGGTCTCCTGAGGCTGCCCTCACAGCATTTGCAAAAGCTCGACCTTCGGCCTCCCGCATTGCGGCCTGCTGAATCTCGATAAAGGATCGTCGCCTTTCATCTTGGGCAGCGGCCTGACTGTCCAAATACTTGCCAGTCGTCTGCCTGCCCGGGGCCAGCATGCCTGGTCCGGAGGCATCCGGGCCGGGCGAGTAACCTGTCTGGGTACGCCGCAGCGGCGCTGGCTCGAACGGTGCGCCACCCCTCAATTGAGTGCCGTCTCCGACGTCGCCTGGTCGAGCGGGAGCGGTAGCTGCAGTATAGGGCTTCGGTCTTTTTCGCTTTGATATTTCGAGCGTAGGGACGTCGCACTCGTCACCACCAATTCCAATGATCTCTGGGTATGCATCCACAAATCGCACAATCAGGCTTTTCTTGGGCTTGCTCCCAGGACCGAACGAGCGGGTTCGCACGACGAGATCCTGCTGCTGTTGCGGGGGATCTGTAGAACCGGTGACATTGAGGGCATTGGGGTATCGCGTGGCGTTCCTGGTGTCGAGTTTAGCAAGCACAGGAGGGCCGGCATGGGCGACCTGAAGCTTATCGGGCGCACCGTGGAGGAAGTCGTTCAGGTCGCTAGAGTCGTCCTGCGCCGTCTTGCGGTCACGATCGCGGCCAAACAGTTTCCCCATAATGCGGCCCCTCCGAGATGAGCGGGCATCATCTTGAACAGCGGTGGCCGAGGCCTCGTTTTCCGTCATTTTGTATCGAAGGTTGTATAGGATTTAGAACCACGGAGCGCACGAGGCCTCATGGGCTCCTCAACGCTTCGACGAGGCGGGCCCGAAATGAGACGTCGCTTTCGCTTCCAGGACAGAAATGGAAACGAAGCATGTGCTCGTCGTCAATGTCCGCCTGGCAGCCCAACAACCAACTGCGGCGCTGCCAAAAAGGCCCGTCGTGCTTTGGGCCGGAACTCGCATGTGACTTGATCGAGGTTTGGGAAAGGGCGAGGTCGGCGAACAGAGATGAGGGTGCGAGAGAGGAGGTTGGTGGTTTAGTGAATTAGTGGTTGGAGGCGGACAACGACAGCGTGCGAAACCTTGCCGCTGCCGCTGCAAGTGGCTAGCGAGTAAACGCTGGTTAGGGTCGTGTCAGGCGGGGCAAGACTAGTGTAACCAGGGGATCGACTTCCTAAACAGGGCGGGAGCCGTCGTGTCTTGCATCGGCATTGGATGGTTTTCCAAAGGTTCCTGATTCCCAAAACTGCGATCACAGCGACATGCTCTGATGAGTGTACACTTATGTGCTGTACCAATCCTCACCCAACGCTACACCTGACCCAAAGTGCCAGCTATTTACTATTCCGTTCGTTTCCTCCAGGTCCTTGCTCACCCAAGTCACCCCAGAGCAGATGGGAAATGTGTCCATGAACTTTTTATGTTTCAGCATCGAGAACAGACCCATCTGCGTCAGCGTTCCTCCACAATCTTGCAATCTTCGGGCGCCCCTTGGAGGAGGACCAAGCCACCTCCCGGCTAGCTGCATCCCTAGTACGCCTTGTTTTGGGTGCAACATCGTGGGTCCATTCGTATTCGATTGTCTTTCAGCCATGTAACTGCTAGGTGGCCAAGATGCAGGCCGAATACTAACAAATAAACAGCTCACTCCAAAGCAATGCCATCACGGATGCCAGCTGAGAAACGGAAACGCTTTCGGCTCGTCTCTGACTCGTAATCTGGACATTGACAAATACCTTCTGTTATGGCTAGAGCATCTGAAACCGCTGGGGCTGTCCATTTTGCAGATCCAATTTTGTCAACGCTGAGAGCAAAGAGTTCAGATATGTAGGTAGTAATTACTGTGCTGCTCGATCCATGCCCAGGTTGTCCTGTATTCAGGAACAGTCGAGCAATTCCTCGAGTAGGTCGAGTTCGGCACATAGATGGTCAACATCGATCCCTGAGTACAATGTAATACTTATCACGATTGCGAATACACAATGATTCAACTCGAGAACACAGTGTTAGCAGTTAAGTGGACTCTTCCTTGAATTCTCCGATATCCCTGATAGAAGCTACTTAGCAGCTAACAGCGCTATTCATACATACTCGGATAATATTCACACGGGATATCGTTCCGCTCACCCTATAAGTGCCTCATAGAATGCTTGCTGGATCGGGGCGGGACGTCATTGAACGTTGTGAGGTTCAAGGAAACTGTATCTATGCACACCTCTACGTAAAGGGGAGGGCATGTCGGTGTCAAGCTACTCCGTACAATACAATGTGCCAACGCCATACATTACAGTGCGCCTTGTGCCAAACTCATTATGAGGTGTTCAGTTGAGCGTGGGGGTTGGGTCGGTCTCGGTGCCTCGTATTGAGACCGACAGTCCGACACCGTCAAGCGGAGACGGGGCCGAATAACACGAGAGAGTCTGGGGCTTGTGGATTTCAATGGATCTCCTGCTTTGGAAATACATAAGCCACAGGAATGCCTACTGTAGGAGTTTGGTCGTCTTCCATCTTAGTTCTTAGATTCAATTCAACCGCCTGCAAGTTTTCAACCAGGCTTGCGCTGCATATACCTAATCCATCCCAAGAGGTTGGATGATGTAACCAGTAGGGGTCCTGCGGGCCCACGTCATTGCTCCCTCGCCCTTTCTGGCCCTCCCTTCATGCCCCGCCCGACCTCTCTCATGGCGTGCCAGCTGCGAATTCCGGCTGCCGTGCACGTAAGGTAGAAATTTCGTCACTGCCTAGCGCTGGCGAATTAGCATCACTCCAAGGCATCCCAAGTCTTGAAGTCTACTTTGCCGTGGACATTTGTAGGCGCATTTCAGTCCCGGAGCTTGATTCTCAAATCTGTTGTCCAGATTTTGGAGATTTTAGAGCAACTGCAAAACCTCGGCATACCCCACTTTTCGTCGTCGTTCTGTTCGCTTCTCATCCCAGAAAGCGTTCAGCTAAGGGTGAAATCTGCCGGAAGGCTTCAAGAATGATGGGTCTTGTCTCCGGCCGTCGTCGGGCGACTTCGAGCGCCAGTAAGTCTCGTGCTGCTCTGTCTTGCTAGGGGCATCATTAGTCAAAAGTGAAGGGCTCAAGGGTGTTGGAAGCCAAACGTCAACCATTAGGGCGCTAGGAGACTGGGAGCACGTCTACTAACAGCTGCCATGCAAACCCCAGGTAGTCGGTCCTCTGGAGATGCGAGCGACCCGATCGAAGATGACACATTGGTGGTTGAGCCTGACCAGGGAAACGGTCCGTTCGCACTACGACTAGAGGCGGCATGGGTACTGATGATCGATGTCTAGTCCTGTCGCACCTTATATCCCAGTTGAGACCCGGCGCCGACCTCAGCAGAGTAGTGCTGCCGACCTTCATCCTGGAACCTCGGAGCATGCTAGAACGGATTACCAAGTATGCCTCTGAACGACGCGCCCTGCTCTTGGAGCAGCCAAAGAAAATGTATTGGCGCTAATCGAGAAACCTCATATAGCTTCATGTGCCACCCCGAAATGCTACTGCCCATCCCTCAGATCGATGACCCAGTGGAAAGATTTGTGGCGGTGGTTAAGTTCTACTTGAGCGGCTGGCACATTCGTCCTCCGTGAGAACCTTTCCCAGGACCGGCTACTTGCCATGCTCTCTAACTCGGTCTACAGAGGGGTTAAGAAGCCCCTGAACCCCGTCCTTGGCGAGATATTCACCTGCTACTGGGACTTCCCGGACAACACGCGAGCATATTATATTTCCGAACAGACGTCTCATCACCCGCCAAAGTCGAGCTATTTTTACATGGTTCCGGGACACAACATAAGAGTTGATGGCACTCTGAAACCTAGAAGCAAGTTTCTCGGCAACTCGGCCGCTAGTATGATGGAGGGCACCGCAATCTTGACGCTGCTGAATAGGGGCAAAGATCGTTCCAAGGGTGAACGCTAGTGAGCACTCCCCCTCCGCAGACAGCTCGGTAGCCGGGACTGACACCTTGCGCGTTCCAGCATCCTTACGCAGCCGAACATGTATGCCCGGGGCATCCTATTCGGGAAGATGAAGTATGAGCTTGGAGACCACAGTTACGTACGGTGCCCTGAGAACGGCCTGTCAGCCGACATTGAGTTCAAAACCAAGGGCTGGGTTAGTGGCACCTACAATGCCATTGGTGGAGTAATCAGGAATGATAGTACGGGCGAAATCCTGTACGAAATCTCCGGGCTGTGGAGTGACGAGATGTTCATCAAGGACATAAAGGTAAGCCAAGGGTGTGCCTTCAGCGTGCTGAAGCTGACCCAGAACAGACCGGACATAAGGAAATGTTCTTCAACGCAATGCGAGCGAAACCCAGTCCTCCGATATGCCGATCCTTGGAAGAGCAGGATGAACGGGAGTCGCGTAAGCTCTGGGCCAAGACCGCGCAAGCCGTCAAGGATCGCAACCATGAACTTGCAACTGAGGAAAAGACAAAGGTCGAGGACAGGCAACGGCAAGAAGCCGCAGCGCGAGCTAACGACGGCCTGGAGTGGCACCCTAGGCTGTTTAGGCGAGTCAGGGGCGGTCCAGGGGGGCCGGAAGAGGGTGAGGAAGACCTTGAGTGGATCATCAACGCGCAAATGTGGGACAGGCCATCCGAGTCGCCGGGAGGATTGCTAACGCGATGAGCAGAGACGGTTCGACGCCTGAGAAGCAAGCAGCCCAGATCATGGCAATCTATCCGATAGTCAAGGGTCAGAAATTCAGCCAGGAGAACATGATTCCTCCGAGAGTCTCGCCATCAGGACAGAGCACGCAGTCGAAAGAACCTGCCAGCGACGGCGGTGACCTGATAGACTTTGGCGACGATAGATCGCCATACGATACGCCACAGTCGTCGGAGCAGAGTCTAGGAGAGAAACCGCCGCTTGCGCCATCGCACAAGAGTACGAGCGAGATTCAGAAGATGCTTGCCTCGACGGGAACCGGCAACAAGGAAGGGCCGCTGATTGATTTTCACAACGACATGGAGAAGAGCCTACCAAGCAGCGTCAAGAGGGCCGACTCGGAGAACGAGTCGCAGGACGAGTTTGTCGATGCCCAAGACTAGGCGCCCTGGCATCACGTTCTACCGTCGGTTGGCGGCGTCAGGCTTTGAATATGAAAAGGGATGAATGGGCTGTAGTAGTCGCATCAGTGGCGAACAGGTGGCTACTCAGAGAGAAGGCAAGTCGGGCTGATCCGGTTAGCCTCGCCGCATAATAATAGATATGATACCTCGCAGCTGCATTTTCTCTGCGGTTTGCTGGCGCTAGCATCATGGTTTGCGCGGGCTTTATCTTATGGTCACGCTTGTCTCGCATATTATTGTGCTTCTGATCTGTCAATAGTCTCACTGCTCTAATGGATATCTAAGATGACCTCCCATATCGCTGCCATTGGTAGTCATACAACGCCGCTCCTCCAAGCGAACATGGAAAAACGCCAACATGAGCACCATCACTTGTATCATTACCATCCCCAAGCGGCGTACATCTCCCTCAGCGTCTCCCTCGCGTACGTCATGGGGAAGTCGTGACCGCCGGGCACCATGCTCCAGTGCACGCGCTCCCGGCCGCCGACCAGCGGCAGCGCGTCGACGGCGTACTCGTCCGGGTCGATAATCTCGTCGCCGTGGCCGAGAATGACGGCCGTAGTTCCCCGCTCGCGCCGCGCAAGCTTCCGCCAGGCCTCCTCCTGCCCAATCAGCGGCGCGTCACGGATGCTCGACATGAAGGCGGTGACGAAACCCTCGTGGTGTGACAGCTGCCAGTGCACGTAGCGCATCACGCGCTGCTCGAGGGCCGTCCGCGGCTCGCCGTACTCGTCGTCCCAGTCGTTGGCTGCTGCTGGTGATGATAATAAGGGGTCTGTGTCGGCGGCCTCGGTGAGCGAGGCGGATACCGGGTCGGGCTTGGGCTTGGTGCCGTTATGGGAAACGGCGGCGGCGGCGGCGGCACCGCGGGTGCTGTTTGCCCGGATGGGCTTGCGCAGCCGCTTCTTGGTGATCCACTTCAGCAGGCGGGGCGGGACGAGGCCGCTGGTGAAGACGGCGCGCGTGAGGACGCCAAACGACTCCGGGCGGATGAGCCCCGCGGGCGCGAGCAGCACGAGCGACGAGACGAGGTGCGGGAAGGTGCCGGCAAAGTGGACGGCGATGCCACCCCCCAGCGAGTAGCCGACCAGCTTGAAGGGGCGTGCCGGGTCGGTCCAGGCCACGTCCGGCGACGAGGCAAGCGCCAGCAGCATCTGCGTCGTGTACAGGCGCGCGTCGTGCGGCAGGTCCGCTGGGTTGTCGGAAAAGCCCCGCCCGAAGAGGTCGAACAGCATGACGCGGCATCCCTTTTCGGCTACGAGGGTGTGGGCTAGCTTGGTCAGGGTCATGCATGACGTGGTGATGCCGTGGACAAACAGGACCTTGTCGCCGTCAAGAGGACCCCATTCGTATACCCGCATGCAGCCGTACTAGAATGTCTTAGTTCAAGAGTGCTATTGTGAAGCCACCAAGGAGGGTTCATCGTACTGGTGTTTCAACATCTCGTGCGCCGGGAAAGCTGTCCGGCTTGTACACGAGCTTATCATGCTCATCCTGTGAGAGTGTGGGCAGCACGGTATGCAGGGGGCTGCGGATCCTCTTGGGCTGTGTCGGCCACAGAAGGCGGTTGAAGAGCGAAAGCAAGGCTACCGTCGCAACAACAGTGGCTGCTACTATGAGGCCTGTGTTGTCGCCGCTCCCAGTCTGCGCCGGCGCCAGGCCGGCGCGGTCAATGACACTCATAGCGCGGGTACGAGGGGGACAAGTGGAGGTTTCGGGGATGTTGACAGGTAACCGTTACCTTAACTTTGTGTTCATAGAGTCCTGAGTTCTCAGCACAGGAGATAAATGAGAGATGGTAAATGAAAAGAATGTCCGGCTGCGACAAACACTCAAATGAGCGCGCGAACAAGTGAGATGAATCTCCAGGCAGAATTCGAGGAACGTTGGAACGGCCTAGCAATTGTCAGATCACACGCCAGTCCGAGAACAGGGCTGCGCCCACGTGGCGCTTAACAGTGTAGAATGAACGAGGCGTGACTGCGCCTTGCGCTCCTTTGGAAATTACGGTTCTCGCGAGGCTGTCACAATGGTCAACATACGGGACATGTCGAGAACGCCTAGGAAGGATGCTATGGACTGATAAGCTACTGGTATTCGGATGAACGTCTGAAGTTTGACTATTGAAAACCGGGCCGGTGAATTGACGGAAAACGAAACAGGATGCATGCAACTGGGGTTAGGGTTCGTAGCGCAGTTGGTGTCGGATGCAATCATGCAAGCCATCTGATCAGGAACATCAGGTTACAACAATGGCAGAACCCTCTTGCACATGATGCGCAAGAACATGTCGTCTGCTGTTTCCTCGACTTGTTATTTACACATGATCTCAGCTTCAAACTATGCGGTTTGAGCGTTACGCCCTGCCGGCCGTCTTGGCATGACCCCCATCTTGCTGTGGCGGCGCCGGTAAACGGCGAAGAATGCCCCCACGTACACGGCACAGTCTCAAGTGTGGGGCACTTGCTCCGTACGCTCGCACACAACCGGGCCAGTTCTCGGCGTACATTCCGAGATCCTCTCTCGCCTACAGTACCCGGTTCCGGCGACCAGCCCCCGTCAAGTTTGCAAAGTGCAAATATTTCAACCTGGATGGATTAGATGTATCCGCAACTGGACGGTCAATGAACACCCCCGTCCTTTCCTCCAGCCAAGTCCGGCGCATGTATGTATGTACCCGCTGTTAGTGGAGCCAAAATTTTTGTATGTGAAAATCCTCCTCTCGACTACCCCTCTTAACAGATCCTGCCTTCTCGGTACCTGATGCTTGAAAGTTCCCTAGTCCAACAGCACTCGAGAGCTCTACAAATGGAAATCAACAAGCGTCAAGAGGATGTAGTCAACCGCAGGCTCTGGAGCCTAGGATGGCCGCCAGTCTTAGGCCTTGCGCCACTGCCAATTGCAAAAAATTGAAGCCAGACTCATCGATTGCCCTCAACAATCCAAACACAGCCTACTCCGTAACCCTCGAATGCAATGCAGATGCGGCTGTCACGGAGCCAACACTTCACACATCCGCACCATCGGTTCCGACAAGTCGTGAATCTGAAGAACAAGCCGACCACCGAGCGATCAGCGGTCCTGCAGGTAGTCGTTTCTTTTCATTCCTCACCTGGCAGTGTTTTCAAGCAACTTGAATCTAAGTACTTACATACTTCTTCCCGTTGCGCCCGTGTGCTCATTCGCAATATCGGTACGTGGAAATTCTCCTGTTCAACCCGTCGCACTGGGTCAGCCCTGTCCGCTCCGTCCCGATCTCCGTCACACAGAGCAAAGAGAGGTGATGTCGCGTGTCGGTGCATCAGCCTCAAAATTCTCTCGATCGTTGGAGTACATTTGCGTATGCTGCCAGTGACTATCTGTCCGCAATCGCGGATCCACCGCATCCACATCACGCCATCCATCTGACGGCGTTAATCATCTGTCGCTTGGGTGGAAGCAGCGCTGTAAATAAGACAGGCGTAGCTCGCTCCTGGCAGCCCTGACTCAGGGCGTTCCCCTCGGCAATTAAATGTCCACCCACGGTTGGCTATCGGCCGAACGGGCGAATGGGCTGTTCGGCTGTGCATTGTTCTGTGTTGTGTACATCCATCCATGTTAGCCTTCAGGACCGCGGTCCCATCTCGACGATGCTCAAGATGGGGATGAGTGACCACGACGTCGGAGAAGCCAGAAGCCAACACTACTGCAATATGGATCTTCAGCCTGAGCAATTTTTTGCAAGAGCAAGCAGGGGTATTATACAAGACATGCCAACTCAAGTCTTCTCGCATCAACATCAACGTCATCCAAGACCCAGTACAGACATACCAGAACAAATTTGGGTGATTCGTATAGGCGGCAGGCGCTCGCGCCAATCAACCTCCAGTAAGGATACCGCCCTGAACCAGTCGCTTTCCCATGTAAACATCAAAGACCCCATGCAACCAAACACGCCATCAACCAACGGGTATTATGCCGAGTCTACCTCTACTCTGCCGCCTCCGCCGCCTTCTCCCTCGCCGCGTGTTCCGACGCCAATTCTGCCGCGTGTTTTGGCGCCAATTCTGAGGGCGGCGTGGCCGGTGCACTGGCCTGTGTGCTGGCTGGTCCCTTCCGGGCGCTATCCACGAGGTCTTGATGCCCTGCGATGCCGTGCTGCGGGATCACGACGGCGCCGTCCTCCTTCTGATTGTTATCCGCTGGCGTCCAGGCCAGGTAATCACGTCGAACCTGATCGTCACCGTTAGAAAGCGAGCGAAGGAAACAAAGACGGGCAGTAATGCATACCTCAACGTAGTCGTAGGCGAACTCGCCGTGCTGGTCATCGTCCATGCCGAGAAGCTCGGCCTCGGAGGAAGCACGAAGGTGCAGGCCGGGCACAAGGTCGATCAATTTGGCGATAATGGACGACATGACGAATGAGTAGGCGGACGCGGCCACAATAAACGCGATCTGGATGTAGAGCTGTTTGTAGTTGTGGTCGAGGAAGCCTCCGGTAATGGCCGTGTTGACGCCATCGAGACCGATGATATGATTAGCGGCAAAGAAGCCGTTGAAGAGGAGACCGACAATGCCGCCGATGGCATGTTCGGCGAATACATCGAGAGCATCATCAATGCCAATCATAAACTTAACCTTGGTGCCAAAGTTGCAGGCGACGCCAGTAACGACGCCAAGCACAATGCTGGCCCAAGGGGTGATGACACCGGACGCAGGGGTGGCGGCCACCAGGCCCGAGATGGTGCCGGAACACCAGCCAACAAGCGACCACTTCCGGGCGAGACGGAAATCGAGCAGGCACCATGTCATGGCGGCGAACGTGGCAGTCAAGCACGTGTTCCAGCAAGCCATGGTGGCACGGAGGTTAGCGCCAAAGGCCGAGCCACCGTTGAAACCAAGCCAGCCGAACCACAGAAAGACTGTGCCAATCGTGATGAGCGAGATGTTGTGCGGGCGGAAGTTGAGCATCATCTTCTCGTTGCGGCGGCCGAGGATCCACGAGTACGCGAGAGCCGAAAAGCCGGATCCGATCTCGACGGGGCCACCGCCGGCATAGTCGAGGACGCCGTACTTGAAAGCCCAGCCATTGAAGCCCCAGACCCAGTACGCAATCGGGCAGTACACCAAGGTAGCCCAGAAGAAGGTGAAAACCATGGCAGGGACGACGCGTCCGCGCTCAGCGGTAGCTCCAATCACGAGGGCTGCTGTGACGGCGCAGAATTGCATCTGGGAAACTCGTTTGTTAGCCAAACAGACCGAGCGCGGTTCGTGCAAGGAAAAGCAATCTCTCTCTCACCTGGAAGAAGGAGTACAAAAGCTCGGGAACAAGCGGGGAGCCGGGTGAAGGATCGCCGAGGGCGTTCATGAGGCCGAATTTGTCGAGATTACCGATGAAGCCATTCGTAGCCGTGTTGCTAAAGGCGAGCGAGTAGCCCCAGAAGTACCATTGGAAGATGATCACGCTGAACGACATCATGGTCACCCAGATAAGCGACAATGCCGATTTTCTCCGCGCGAGACCCGAGTAGAGGAAGGCGATACCGGGCACCATGAGCAACACCATCGCCGACGCGACGATGATGTAGGCTTGGTCGCCCGCATTGAAGGCTGCGTTGGGGTTGGTGTCTTCGGCTGTGAGTTGGGGATTCCGCGTCAATACCGTTTTTTGTCTTGCCTTGTTTCGGGACGGCTATCGGATGCGGAGGGCGGCTTCTCTAGCGTTTGCTTACCTGGAGTTGTGCTGACTCCGCTCTCGTCTGTACTCGACATTGTGACTGCCGGTTGTCCTTTGCGGACGTCTGTCTAGCGAGGTGTGATGATCGTCGTCTAAGGAATGTCGGCCCGCGATAGTTGCAAAGTAAACGTGAAGAATTATCGGAAGAGATCCTGAAAAGGATCAAGAAGATGAGTGAGGGTGCAACGGTGAAGGGCTCGGAGCTCAGGCACGGGCTCGCGAAAAGTTGAGAAACGACGGCCGAGGGTGGGATCGAAGGTTGAGTACGGGTATATAACGCTCAGCATAACAACAAAAGGTGCATTCGATCCGGTCCGCGGACTCGCACGCATACATATCAAGGGTAGGGTGGGGAGCAGCATTAACCCGCTCACCTCATTGCCTCTACAATACCTTACACAAATAGTTTGCGGCAGGCATTTCGATATTGAAGAGTGGCCCACACAAGGCGCAGCCCTGTACGTCCTTGTACTGTACCTCAAGTGAACACGGCTTGATAAGCCGCCTTAGCGCGAAAGCCCAAATGTGGGCATGCGGGCTCCGCCTGCAACCTGGAATTCCGGATCAATGCTTCATCGAAAGGAACCTCGTTTCATCGTCGAGGGAACCGGGCATCTGGCAAGATACATGGCTATGGTCTCAAAATTGTGCCAGGTGGCTCTTTCATGATCAATTCTGTCTTGTGGTATGCAAAGCAGCACCCGATGTATGTAATCGAAGTACTGTACTCCCGCACTACGCACTGCAGGTAAATGGCACTTCCGGGAAAGTTCGTTCTGGAAATACCAGGTACGTACCGAATAGGTGGCCACGAGCGAGGTGTGGGAGGACCCCCCGCTCCCGGGATGCCCGCTCTCACACCCCGGCATCCCACTGCAACATTGTCCTGAGGTAGGGTGACAAGGGGCTTCCACTGCTCTGGACCACCGTGAACCAATGTGTGGTGTACGGTAGGTGTGGTTGCTATGGGATTGTTGCCAGATACCTGGGCTTGAGATTCTACTTTTGAGGAGCGACTTGAACAATATCAGTTCAACACCACACTGAAGCCAGCGGGGTTGGTGTACATCCAATGATAGACGCGATAGCCGCTCAGAGCTGGGCTGAGAAGCAACGGCTGCCAAGAGACCAAAAGTTTCAAACCCCACACTCGCCGCAGTCTCGGCATCACGACTTCATCTAACCGCTTTCGAATCTCGTACGGTAAACAGTCGCCTTCAGCTCGCCTAACAGCTGAGGTGTATCGTAAAACGAGGAATAAGTGAATACTTCACTTCAAGAACCATGTTTGTTTGAAGGTTAGGTGGGGGTTTTCAGACACGCGACCATCTGAGAGCGGGATTGGAAGCGCTCAGCTGAGGGTCTCTACGGGTTGCTGTGTGCTAGGTAGGTAAAGCCACTTGATAAGCTGGTATTCAGTTGGTTATTCATGGGAACTGCAATCTTACAGTCTTGTGGATTTCTGGCTCACCGTAGTGCCATCTTCTCGGTGATCCTCCCAACACACATGCTCGCAGCGCAACCAAGTTGCTTCTGTTCGACGCCGTCAACCACTGATCGCATCACTTGGAACACTGCGCTGGGTTTGAGGATGGTGTCGAGGCTGCGATTGGTGTGTCGCATGACCAGCCAGAGAGATGGCCAATGACACTCGCGGATAGGATATCTGTTCCTGGTGAAACGCCGTGCTGGACACGCTGATTCGCCTTGCGTATGTATGTCCAACAAACTACCTGCTTTTAGGCCTCGGTAGCCTGGCATCGGCTTTTCTGCAGGGCGGCATGCATGAGACGGCACGGCGGGCACTGGGTTCTACCCAATCGATCCCGCAGTGCATATCTCGAAAGTTGGACCACCAGGAATGGAATGTTTTGCGACTTGCAATTTCGCGAGATCCAAAAAAGTTCTTGCAACCCGAGGAAAACGCCCTTCGATGTCAACTTGTCAAGGTGAAGAAAGCGGTATTTTGCCTAGCGTCCGAGGAAGCGGTAATTGGGCAGCTAAGCGAATGCCAGGGACCAGTCGGTAACGTGGGGACCAGAGTTCCTGTTACCAAATGGGTTTTCCTTCACAAAGTCCATCTGCAAGCAAAGGACCAATGGCATGCCACCATAGCTTTTGCCCTGATTCCTCTCTGCCGAATCAGAGGCCCGGATCTCCCCTTATCTTGGGCCCACTTTTTCCAGAGATCTTCCACGCATGTCGGGCTGGGACCAGCCTTGCGCATCTGATTGTGTGGAGTTTGTGGAGCCAAGACGGAGGTTGTGAATCACGACGCTGACATCAAGAATTTTTCGTCTGGAGTGTGGTACTGCGGTAAGATTGCACATCTGCGAAGTACCTATTTTTGACCTTACGTGTTGAGTAGTACGTAGCTCTCCTGTACCGGCATCGAAGGTTATAAAAGTCTAGTTGGCTTGGAATCACTCTCATGGACGGTAACAACGGGCTGGTTAGACTAGACGAACGAGTGTTGCTCGTCAATGACGAGCCCTGTTGGATCTCAAATAAAATTCAGCACGATCGTACATGATCCGCGTTGCCACCGACGGGCGAGTGGCTCGATAAGGGGAAGTTTTGAAGTTCATTGTCCCTCCGTTGGGATTGGCCGAGGACAGAACGCCGAACAAGATGCATTCTGTCCTAAAGAATCTCTTGAGTTTGCGCTCGATCCGAATTGGCTGAAGCTCTGGGTTTCTTTCAGGCGTTCTTGCGCTGTGACACTGCTGTCTTGTGTTGGCGACCTTGATGCACCCCAGACGAGTTTGTTTCTGAGTGACCCCACTTTGACCCGACTGGGGAAATGGCGGAGTGGAGACAAGCGAGTGTCGGCTTTTGCCAAGAGATAACCCAGGGTTCTTATCTGTGGCCGTCAGCCCAATAAGCGCGCGCGGGATTGCGCAAAGTGAAATGCCAATGCTTTGGACAAGGCACAAGTAGAGGTACCGTACGGTACAGATACTTGCCAGTTGCCACATGCCCGCAATCTTGGTTCTGTGAGATCACCATTTTTCGACATCCGATAAACGGCAACACTTTGGACATTCTGGTTGTCTTTGTTTGTCTCTTATACGATGTATATTCGGGCAATCAAATTGGCCTTCTCTGACAATTACAGTCCCTGTTGGAGGAAGTCAATGGCAGATCTGCCTGACTGCGGCCCCAGAATTTTTACCGTCCATCCCCGGTTTTGACGAGCGACGGGAAGACGGCGAATGTCCGGACTACCGGAGCCAGACTGTGGAACCAGACTCAGCAGCATCTGTGAAACAGATGTCTAAAGTTCGGGAATTGTCGGGCCGGTGCCTGAACCATATCCTCGGTGCAGAGCCGGGTAGTTTACCACGAACGGGACGGGCAGTTTACGGAATACCACCAACGGCTTTAGAGCAACGTCGTACAATAATGTTTTCTACAATACATCCATCGGTTTACGAATACCTACGATTACACTTCACAATCATCACAGCACCTCTCTCCAAGACCCGAACAATACCAAAAAGCTGACCAAACTGAAACCCTCCAACTCAAGGCGGTGAACCGTCGTCAACAAATCCATAAGGCTGCATCTCATAGTCGCCAAAACACGCCTTCTCGTACTGTGCCAGTCCTGCCATCCTATCCTGGGCCGCCAGGAACGCTTCCAATTCGCACCAGCCGTCCACCCTCGAGGCGTCGCACTCCGGGAGGCTCCACCCCAGCGGAATGGTCCGCTGGTTCAGCACAAAGTGAACGTACTTGGTCTCTCCCCCGTCGCCCAGATAGCCAGACCTGTCGGGCAGGACGGGTCGGGCCGTCCGGATGATCTCAATGTCCAACCGGGCCCCGAAGGGCGTCATATTGGACACGGTGAAGTTGTGCGGGCCGGGATACGACGACGGGTCGAGGAAGCCCGAGAACTGCCGCAGCCCAAAGGCCGTCAGCACCGAGACAATGTTGGTGTCGTGGGAGAAGTCGAAGTAGAGGCTCTGGTTGAGCGGGAAGGTGACCGTGTTATTGTCCAGAGTCACATTAATCTGGGAGCCCGAGTATCCCAGAGTGTGGTTGCGCAAGCGCGCGACAACTTCCTGCTGGTAGCCGATGCCGATAGCACGCTGGGAAAAGCCAAAGTTAGTATGGTGCTCGTTCCGTTTGATATGGCCACGCTGCCGGGCGCCACTCACCCCGGTCGGAGACCCAAATGCGTGGTTGCCGTGAAACCAGAGGTCGATCGAGTACCCAAAGCCCACCCATTCTTCGTAGGTGAACAACTCGCAGAAGCGGCTGAATCCATACCCGACCTGCGAATGTGAGCTAAACCGGCAGGTATATGTTTGAGGTGCTTTCCCAACTCACCGTTTCGTAGGCGCACATGGTTTGCGCGGCATAGCTATCTTCGATAGTCCAGTCGAAACCGTCCATCAACTTGCCCAGACGGGCAGTTGCTGCACACTATCAGATGAGCCCGGGAGTTATGAGCTTGAACGGACAGCGACGAACCATTCTGCAGGTAGTTGTTAATCCAGATACTGGCAGCCCCCGTGCCAGCGTTGACTTTGTTGGAGTTTGGGCAGTTGAGGTAGCCGGCCAAAGAGTTGTTGAACCTGTTCTCCTCAATAATAACCTCGATGGTAACATTGCGTGTCCATTGCAACCCGAAGAAGCCGGCCGCGAAGTACTCGGCTGACTTGAGCATGCGGTCTTGGGTCTGTGCAAGTTGGTTAGCACGCTTGTTCAATGCTCGTCGGATTGTGTGAGTACTTACCGTGGTCCGGATGATGATCTTGCTGTTTGGATTATACAGCTGGGCATACATGTATGCATGCAACACGCCCGAGTCAAAGAGCTCTTGTCGACCTGTTCGGCACCAGTCAGAACGCAATTGCTCCAATATCAACCACCAAGGAGACAGCAACTTACCCTTTGGGACCAGAATCTCTTCCCCTAGCTGATACTCCCAATCGTTCAGGAACTCCAGCGCCCCTTTTGCCTTGAACTTGCCCTGGGCCTTTTTAATCCTCTCGCCAAAATCGGCCACGTTCGCCTGCTGCGTGGGATACCTCGACCCATGTCTCGAGAGCATCTATCATTCATCCCACACCATGTATTAGTGCTCCTCCCTTCAATACCGCTCACATAGCTCAGCGTCCCAACGGATCACATACACACACGACAACTCTAAAAAAAAAAGTGGCGGCTACTCACCTGCACCTGCAGAATCTCAGCCCCTTCCGGAAGCGGCCACTCGTCCACCCCGAACCCATCACTAGGCCGGTACGGCGCCAGGTAGCCCATCAAGTTAAAGATGCTCTGATCGCCCTCGCGCATGCCCTCGACGGGAATTGCCGTCTGCAGCGGCTGGTTGGGGACATATGACCACCCAAACCTTCCCCTCGTCCCCGTGGCGGTAGCCGTACTCGTACCCGTACCCGTAGCAGTTGTCGTAGTGGTGCTCTCAACAACCTCCCAGGTCCTCGTCTGCGCGAGGAAGGGCGCCTTGCCCGTGCGCGTCGGGCCTGCCCACAGCTCCGGATACGTTTGGAAGTACTGCGGGACATTTGGCTTTGGGCTACAATCCCCGCTGTCTGACGTCGTCCCGGGCCCGGGCCTGCTGCTGCTCCGGAACAGGGAGGCCAGGCTGCTGTTGGCCGTGACGAGGACGGCGAGCAGGACGGCGGCGCAGAGTACGAGGGAGCAGATGAAGCCGGCCAGAAAGGTGAGATACCCCCGTGTCTGCAGTGGGGAAGACGGTTTTGTTGTGAGGGTGGGTGTTGCTACCCGGGTCGGGTCGGCATCGGCGTCGGCGTCGGTGGTGTCCTCACGGGCCGGAACAGGCGCGTACCCCGAGGATTCGGGCTTGGAGGTGGAAAGGGGGTTCCGCATCTTTATCTCTATATATTTTCAAGTTATATATAAACTTGATGGAAAGCGACAGTTCTGGCCCATTTGACTTGGCATTTAACACGGGTTATTAGCGAGACTGAGATCCGGGCCGATGACGAGGTCGGAGAATCGATGGACTGCTTACGAGTTGGATTAAGGTTCAGGTTGATGTGAAGGATGTGATGATCTCACCCTGGTGTGAAACTAATCAGTAATCAAGCATGGGTAAACTTACGAAAGAATACCACGCAACAGTCGAAAGTTACAGGAGTCTCTTCAAAACGCACTATCAAGCAACTATTGAAGGGTCGTTCACGATGCTTCCTGGCTCTGTATACTGCCCGTTATGACTTTGTTAGCAATCTACATTGAAAGTTGATTCAGTTTGGAACGTCGCTATAATCCTAGCTAATGCATCTGAGATGACAGCATCTCTGTGGAAACAAACTTGATAGGAACGGTACCGAATCGAAGACGGCTCTATATCATTCTCAACTCTAACTTATAGTCAAGCTGAATGGTGGACCTGAAGTAAGCAAATGAAAACAGATGGGTTTATCGTAATCGCGGGTATCGAGAACTCCCAATCTCAAATGCACAAACCAACGCCATGCTGAGGGCACAACTGCCATACTGTCGTCCACACTCTCAATACCAGAAACTTGCCACTCCCCTTTAATCGCCATTTGCTGGCTGACCGGCACTGTGCTAGCAGTTGCTCGCCACTAGAATATCATCAATTCGTCGTCGTCCAGTCCTCTTGCAATGTCGTACATAAGAATTGTGTGGTCCCTATAATGAAGTATCAGCCGGTACATAACCGGTGGCGTGCTGCCACGAGGCGGGTGCAGGCTGAGACGGCTCCCGCGGTCGTTAGGAACGGGTGATATGGCAATGCCAATTAGCGTGCATGGTGGACGCAGGTTGTCTTCGAAGCGGCGGGGCAGGACACGGTCGACTCGGAAGCCCCGCCGCACCGCCATGTGCTTGAGCTTTCCGGGCGTCTTGGTTGGTGTGATGAGGGCGACCCTTCCGACCGGTGAGCCAGCCACGACCAAGCTCAGCTCGGGTACGTGAATGACCATGTTCACCTGCTCTGCCGCAATCGGATGCAGTTCTAGCGACGTGGTCACTCCGGAGCGGTTGTGCGAGGTCAGCACCTGCTTGCACACAATGCCACATTCTTCTTGATCGAACGGATGGAGCTCAATATCCGTTAAGGATGTGCGTAGAAGGCAGAAGCCTCTAGCAAGATGGGCAGGTATCTCGGCTTTCGCAAACGCGATCTGTTTCGTCTTTGCCTGCCGCTCCTCAGAAGCCCTGCTAAACAGCATATGCACGCGGGTGCTATCCAGATGCCATAGCTCCCTAAAGCTGGGAACAACAGCTCTAGCCAGTTTTGGGCCATCAGACACGTTCTCAACGCCGGAGACCACTATATGAGAAAGATCAAAGGGTTTGAAGGAGGGGTAGTCGTCATCCTCGGCCCAAGGGTCCGTCGACTGTGCTTTCAGGTCGGCTGCCACCGGTTCTGAGGAGTCCTCCATTTCGTGCTCAGGGTCGCTATCAGTCTCCGACATGTACTGATCGTCGTCCAGAGCGAAACACCCCTTTCTCTTTCCGCTGTGAACGCCGGCGTAGTCATACTGGGTGCGGTGCATCAGCACACTGCCGGGATCTGGAGCAAGTTCCTTGATATAGTACAGGCTGCATGTGGTGTCCAACCATTTTTGTTTCGGCGATACGATCTCGTTGCCAGGCAACCCGAGCGCCTCACGGACCGTTCTCGTTGGCCTGAAGCTGCTATCTGGGAGGACAACCACGCCCCAGCCCCTAGAGCTGCCGCATCGTCAGTTCCGAACCATGGTCAGGGTGGTATCAGGGAGAATTTCATACATGTTGTGCAGCGTATCCCTGATGGGGTAATCCGGCCATTGAATGGGACACGACTCCATCTTCCAAATATCGAGAAGCCATGCGTTGCCTCTGATGTCCACAGCTACGACCTTGTCTGCTTCGCCAGCTTCGTCATCAATAAAGGCAATATCCGGGATATTGTGTCCTCCAGGGCCCAATGGGAGCGTTATTCTCCACGTCCTCGTTCGTGCCGGGAAATAGCGCTGCCTTTCCAACGCGGCCTGGCCAGAACAGTCGCTGGGGAAGCTGACTGCTTTGGGGAATTTGGCCGCGGCCTTTTCACGAAATGCAAACGCAAACACAGTGACCTCGTGGAGGTTGGAGCCGACGGCAATCAATCGGGATCGCTCGTGGACCGCCAGCCCCCATGCGGACCTACCTACGTTTTCGTGAAACAAGGCCTTGGGATGCGACGGTTGGTGGCCGTTAGCTCCGCCGTGGGTGTGAGCCTGATCGCCGATGGTAACAATATAATTGGCAATCGCATGGGTATAGTAGGCCGTGACGTCCCCGTCGTCGTACGCGAACAAGACAATCTCCAGGTTGCCCAAATTCCCTACTTTGATGTGATTGATCTGGTGCGGAAAGGACGGATCGACCTCCCCGCCATAACATAACGCCAACTTAGATGGACGCGGGTGAAGAATGAGCGACGGCGGAGGCAGAATTCGCGGCGCTCTGCGGGGCTGGAAGACATAGACTCGGTCCTGGTACGCAGCAAAATAGAGCTAGTCCGTCGGACAGGTCAGCACAGCATGCTCCGGCTACTATGCCACTTCTCCCTGGGATCTTTCCTACATTGTACCGTTGCGATAGCGCCGTCAAATTACACCTTCTCGACGCTATCTGCGGAAAGGGATGCTGCCCGTGGCTATGGTCACTTTCGGGACCAAGACCGGCGAAGGCCCCCTCGACTGAGTCATACATCTCGGCATCGCCGTCGTTTTCGTCGTCGTACTCGTCGTCGTCGTCGTCATCGTCATCGTCGTCGTCGGAGGCCATATCGTTAATTTGGAATCCTTGGAATACAAACGCCTTGATATCTTCGACAACATCCGAACCGAACTAGGCGATAACAGGCCGGTCAGCTCAGATAATCACCTCAACAACTAGATATTAAGCCGGTTGGAAACCTAGCACCTACCCTGCTTGCGGCAGTTTGGACATGGCAAGTCGGGCCGACATAGAGCTCTGGATACCCCGCCTGGGCATCTGCCTTGGGATCCATCATCAAGTTCCGTTGACCGACCATCGTGTCGTTAGACGAGCGCGGGACATTGTTCGGGGAGAGAGATGTCAAATTATTGTGTGATCAAACGACGGAGCAGAATTAAATAATCAAGGAGCAGAAGGCTCTCGGAGCGATTGTATTATTTTGGTGGAGGGGCTCGAATGGCCGGACGGCCAACACATTCCGAGCCAGATGCTAGGTAATGTAAGTCCGGTCGGGTATGTAACCTCCTGACGTCGCCACTGCCTTTGCGGGCTTTGATCGCTACCTGGCTTATCGATAAGGCTCGAACAATCAGCCTTGGCACGTCACAGCTGCATCACGGTGGGAAACTGACATGGCCGAATTCATTCGGTATGTTGCGTGTAGTAGAATTCTCACCATATTTGAGATTCTTACAATCCTGGATAAGTAGAAGGGAAGAGATTCGATTGTTTAGGAGTTCTAGGTAATCGGTCTAATCTCTATTGGAAGCCGAAGGCAGCGTTTCAACAGACCAAAACCAAATCCAAGGTCCCCCGACTCTAGACTCTCGTGGTATCAAGTGCGCACAATACCAACACCAAGACTTGGTACCCCATCTTCAACCAACCTTTATGCCATGTTTTTCCCGTTGTGCGTAAAACCCAACCTGATGAGGCAGACGCCCAACGCCGTGGCGCCAGAAACAGACCCAAAGCAAGAGACAGACACCCTAGAGCATTCATGCATAGTCCCTCTCTTTCACCAGTTTCCTGCCAGCCCGCATCAGCTCTGTCAAGTCCTTCATCCGGTAATCCAGTACGGGCGTGACCCAGTCGTCCTCAACAAGCGAGTACGTCTCCTGCTCGTTATCCTTTGGTTTCCGCGGGTTGATGGCCCAGTACCCAAAGTCGGCGTCGATGGCCTTGAGGTAGCGCAGCAGGTTCGCCCAGTAGTTGGCGTCGCCCTGCCCGGGCTTGTCGGGCGCGCCAAACTCACCGACCCACACGGGCGCAATGTCGCCCTCGACCAGGTACGCCCAGTTTCTGCGCATCGCCTGGACAAACGACGGGTAGGTCCGCTTCGAGTACCTCCCTTCCAGGCTGCCCCACCCGCTCCACGAGTAAACGTGGGCCGAGTAGACGACGCGGTCCGGGACGTCGAGCACGACCGGCCGTTTGGCGACGCCCGTCAGGTCATTGCCGGACTCGGTCCCGCCCACAATGATCAGCCAGTCCTTGTTCAACTTGAGCAGCGCGTTGCCGGCTCGCTCGGCAGCCCTCGCCCACATGTCCCACGTCATGGTCCCCCAGACGCCGCGTACCTCGTTGCGCAGGTCGGCCCCGACGACGAGAGGGTTGCCGACGAAGCGGCGCATCACCTCCTCCCAGTGCTGCACCCACTGCTCCTCGGTCTGCCGGACGCGGCACATCATAGGCGGCAAGTGGTCGTTGGCCCAGCCGGCATCGCAGGGGTCGGCGCCGCAGCACCACGTGGCGCTCGTGATGTGGTTGTTGACGATGACTGCGATGCCCTGTGCCGTCAGGGCCTCGACGACGGCCTCGAGCACGTCGAGCGCGCGCGAACCCACCAGGTCCCGGTTGGCGCTCAGCAGGTGGGGCAGGATGGTCGGGTTGGTCATGACCATCTCGTCGCTGTAAGGCAGGCGGACCGAGTTGAAGCCCATCCTGCGTATTGTGCGCGCAATCTCGTCGCGGTGGCACACATCCAGCCCGCCGGGAATAAAGAGCTCGTCCGATGCCCCGTACCAGTTGACGCTCGACAGCTTGAACCGCCGCCCTTGCTGGTCGACAATGTCGCGTCCACGCGTGCGGAGTGGTAGCCGGTACTCTGGAGACGAGAGGAATGTGTCATCGAGTGGCGGTGGCAGCCCACGCTGGCTGAAGAGCCGCGCCGAGCGGTCGGGAACCCATGGTATTGAGAGTGCGGCTTCGGCGCGGTACAGGTGGAGGAAGAAACCGCTGGCTATGAGCGCTGACAGGAGGAGGATATACATTGGCGTAGTGAACTGGTTCTTTTCCTTCTTCTTTGTCGTGATCGTCGCAGAGGCTATGTGCCTCGTAGCTATCGGCTCTTCCGCACGTTGTTGACGACGGTGAGACCCGGGCGAGAATGGAGGGGCGTTGCGATGATTATCGCGAGGGGCAGAAGTTCGGTGTTCCGAAGTTACCACTGCCTGCTTGGCGAAACCTTAAAGATGGCCAATTGCTCCAGGCAATGGCTAACTTCGGTAAAATCTGTTCAGTCGCGTTCCTTGAGACATCAGCGCCGTCGTCGCTGACTAGGTGAATCGGGCTTTTTGAGGTTAAGCAGCTAGATTGCAGGCGTCGTCAACCTGGTGATTGATTTTAGGAGGGGCGGCACCAGCCTGGCGGGGAATCCTGAATCAGCAGTCCTGCTCAGTTCCTTTAGGGTGTTGATTTTGACATATATGTAAGGAGACAAGACTAAAATGACGATCGTTGGAGGCAAGGCAGCTATGTATACAACGAATGTCGGATGTCCTGGGTTCCAGGTTGTGCTGGCGCCGCAGGTGCCGGAGCAGGTGACCAAGAAGAAACAGAGTGCAACTCCCGCGTCACAAATGCAGGGCTGAAATGCTGCAGCCCGGTCGGCCGACTCGGGAAGTCTTGGCACGCTGAGCCAATCAAGTTTTGCCGGGCTCCAGCTGCAACCGGCCATTCCGTCGAATTTGTCCAGATCCTCGGGCCACTCACCCCAACGCATGTAGACAGCCGGATAAGTGCCGACACTTGGATTTGGCTCGCCTCTTGAAACATATTCAGGTGTCTCTTGAAGTGCCGTTGCCAACCATCCATTGTACAATACTTTATAACGAACCTACAAGATGGCCGTTAATGCTTCTAATCCTCACGGTACTTGTACATACAGCACCGCCGGCTTCCATCGCAAATCAACCCCAGTGAGCACCGGGCCGGCTTTCCGGCCGCGTCTTGTCCCAAATCATCCCGGGCATCATTCTATTGTATGTACATGCCGGAGTCATGCCCGGAATCCTCGGGGTCCGTCGGATTTGACAGACAGGTGAAGAACCGCCGCCCCTTCGCGATAATGAGACTGGTCAACACAAGCGGGTAAGCGACGGGACAGGGGTCGTGCCGCCATTGTCCGTGCGTCCCGAGAGATCCGTCGATCATCTCACCCGGAATCTGTCATCTCCTCCAGGCTTACACTAATAAGTAGACTCTCATCCCCAGCCTTGCCCAGCTTGTCAGTCGCTCCGGTCTATTCCCGTCTCATTGTCTACGCCATATGCAAGACGGACAAGATTCCTAACAAATCCACCGTAGTTGGGACGGACAACCGCGTCCGGTCAGAGTGGCGGGATGTGGCCACTCGCGTCCGCTTTCGCTGATATGGTGGCATATATAAGATCGCCGGGAGCGCTCGCGGAGTTTGCGGACGCCAGAATCCAAGATATTGGGCAGAATGGGCCAAGGGCCACAGGTTTCCAGATCGTTATATTATTTACTCGAAAAGAAGAAATTAAATGAAGGAGTTGCGCCCATGCGTCTCGTCGTAATCTTCATATCCTGTTCATGCCCAGCGGGTTGACGTATCTATCGTGTTCCGCGTGTGGTGATTGCGCTCGAGCGTACGTTTCGCGGGCGTCCCACGTCACTGTCTGAGGCGGGCGCGGGCTCGAAAAGGATCTTGCTGGTGCGTGGTATCGTGCCGTGTTGCCAAAGTAGTCCGGAGTGCGGCGGCCTTCCTTGCTGGGATAGGCGTAATCGTTCTGCATCGGGCTACCCAGCGGCGACCTAGCATGTGTCGGGGAGATGGGAGTCACTACGGATGGTGTTACTGAATCGTCCATGGCCTTCCCGGAGTCCCGGGACAGCATCTCGTACGAACGTGTTTCATTCTTGAAATCGTCCAGCCGTGCGTCGACTGAGACGAACTCCCTCTTGTTCCGGTTTGGAACAGAGGTGAACAGATCCCGCCAACCCGTGACCATTGACCACCGGCCGAGAAGAAGGGCGAGCCAGAAGCCGTTCATCTAGTTTCGCGATACTGTCAGCAAGCGAGATTTTGGAACGGATACGAAAAGACTGTGACTCACCCCTAGGAGAAACAGGACGGCCCCGACGGTCGCCTGGTTAACAACCAGCGGGCTAGCCTCGTCCAAGCACGCAGACTTGTCTCCCCCTGATGAAGCTAGGCATAATATCCAGGGAAACGCAATCTGCATATCGTTCTTGACTCGCTCTATAGTATTATCCTGGAAGACGAAGACAATGGAGAAGAAGATGACGTCGGCAATAATGATGAGAACAATAGCGATGCCTCTCCATTGAAGCGCAATGACGCGTCGGACACGGCGATAGGCTTGCTTTGGCGTCATGGTTCGGATGCTGTTCGTGTAGGAGGGCATGCCGGAGCCCTCGGTCGAGGCACTGTTGTCGGCAAGAGAGGCGAGGTAGACCTTGATGCAATAGCCGAAAGTCCCGAGCTGAATTATGATGGTCAAGCCCGCAAAGATCAGCAGGGGGATCCAGAGATCGGCAAGGCTGTTCTTGTGGTTGATGTGGCACGTCTGTCCGAACCGGAACGACACCCCGCTCAAGACGAAGGCGAGAACTACGCCGATGGCCGGAATGCCCCAACCGAGAGCCTGAGAGAACCACATGAAGTTTCGGCCAACAACCAGCTGCCAGCAAATCTGAAGGTGTAGGGAGAGCGATCGTAAGAAGACCCACATCACGCCAGCCCAACCTCCCATAATGAGGAAAAAGCCTGACGCAGCACACATCGAATTTGTGCTCATTGAGTTCGGTGTGATTGCATCATAGCACTGGTCTGGGTTGCCTGCGAGCGGAATGACAAAACCGAGCTGTGGTACGGCTTAGCTTCTTGCCATGCAACAACATATCAAGAACGTGTAGCGGATTCTGGAACCTACATTCATAAACAAAACGGCGGTGGTAAGGCTGATGCTCAGATAGTGCCTGTGTGTCTTGTCGACAGGGAGGGCTGCCCAGGACACCAGGAGGAACAGGCAAAAAACGGTACTCGCAACGGCAACCCAATTCGCCGCCGAGTTCATGGCTTCGAAGCTATCAGGGTAAGCCCATTCTGTCATGGGACAGGGCAAGCAGCAGGTGAGTTCGGGGCTGAGGGCCTGGCACACTCTCCCCTCAATAACTAAAAAAGCGGTATTAGCGACGTATTGTTGGGCAGATGGAAATCGAACAACTTACATCCGCCATCCGTAAAGAGGGCGTTCGAGAGGAATGGCGCGGGGCAGCCGCCGGTGTCGTTCGACATTTTGATATGGGTTCGTCTCGCCAATTATTTTAGATCGAGTCTCACTTATCCCTCGTGTTCGATGGCTTCGTCCCGCCCTCGTTGGCCCGCAACCAGTGCCGCAGGCAGAATTCAAAGCCTATCGTTCCCAGCCAGTCTCACGGAAATCCAAGTTTTGAACTGCGACCACAGTATAACCGAGTGTTGCTCGCAGGATGAGAGACTTCTGTGAGGTATGACATGCGCGCGCACGCAAAGCTTATGTATCCATTGACCCAGATACCAGCCCAAAGGTTCGTTCTCGTTGAGTCGCCGTGTTTCGAGGTGAGATTTCTACTTCGTATGCGCCCGGATGATTAAGACGACATGATAGAGCGAGCTTGAAGGAGAGAGTAATAGGTAGTCGGTATGAAGAAGACGTATGCCGAGTCTCGAACAAGGAGCGAAGTTCGATATTCTCGTCACCGGCGTATGAAGTGAACAAATGGGGCTTTACAGCGCGAAAGAAGAGAAACAGGGAAGGGAGTGCCTCGTTGAGGAAAGGGGGTGGGGTGGGACATATGTACGATGGATCCTGTCAAGATCTAGCGAGGCCCGCGTGGGTGACAGGGCCGACTCAGGAACAGCACCTACCGTATACTGCGGTACCCTAGCGAGCTTAGAATTTCCCTTGTCACCGAGAGATGAACGAGAAATGCCATTTCGCCAAGGGACCAGCACGGCGTGAGCGAGGGGCCTTGTTCCAACGAGCCCCGGGGCTGGGTTGCACTCACCCTCCATTGCTGTCCAAAACTTGCATCTCTCCCGAAAATGGATCCTCATTGACGGATTCTCATTGGGGGGGCAAAGGTTGAAAGTTGGTACGACTGGGTCCGCAAGGGTCCAGTCATGATGGAGGGGGAAGTCTTACCGGGCGGGCCAAGACATGCAGGAGGGAGGCTGTCTTTTTGGAAGCCACAGCCATGTTCCTGGCTGCCTGATGGCCCGAACCCACTCGAGCCACTTGATCCAAGCGAAGTGAGGATTTCGCGTGGACTTGGCGCATTGGCCTCAAGCTGAGTTTTATGCTGATCAGAACGCTCGCACTGTGCTCCTCCGGCGCTCGGTTTAGCAGTTTTGCGATTCGAACATAACGGAACTTGCAGACATGTCCTGGCACGTTTATCGGTCCCGGCCGGCACGAGAGGCGTAGTGCACCGCTACTTGCCAACTACATCCGACAATTTAACTGCGTATGTCGAAGTGGTGTCGGTAGCCCGCGGCCCGTGGCCCGGCGGCCCCGTGGTCAACTACGGGAACACAGGCCATCTCGAGCGGACTCCTGAGCTTCAAGATCTCGAGCCGAGAGATAACTTACTTCGATGTCTCCCGGGCGATAGGTGGCCAACGGAAGGTAAGGAGTTAGTATCTAGTGATTAGACGAAACAAGACTGTCACGAGTACTGCCTTTGACACCCAGCTCCAACAAGAGATGGCGAGACAAGGAGCGCCGTCAGAACGATCAGATGGCAATCGGCTTGGTCGAACTCCACGCCAAGGTTCCAGGTTTTTTCCCGGCAGAGAGCCACAGAGCGGCTTCAAGAGAAGCCACCAGGGCTGTCTCGGACCTCTCCGTGCCCACTGCCCAGATGCAAGCCAACCAGGCTGGAAGCGCTCCCATTCCGATTTGAAGAGGATCGCCAAGGTCGGTGGCTGTTGCACGAGGCATCAGACCTCAGCCTTTTGTGTAACGAGGCACTGGCAGTCCTTGGAACTTTTCGGGACTGCTCGTCCAACTGGCGGACTATTTCACTGTTCAGCTCGAAGCTTGACCAACGAGAAAATCGCCCGGTGATGCACCTCTGGCGCCTTTCATGTCGTGGTCGTGGGGTGCCTGCTGTGTCGCCCCTAGCCATGTTCTCATGCCGCCGCCCATTGAAGCTAGGTGACATCACAGCTCCTCTGTTGTCAAGGTCGATACAATACGTTCGATTGATAGTTGTCTGCGAATTCATGAGTTATTGGCCTGCATGTACTGCAAGGCAACTGCAGCGATCGCACACAGCATTTGGATTTTTCTTTGGGCCCCCTCCATTTGGACTCAAGACTGGCTGGCCTGAATCGATTCTTACAGAGTTTGATGCCGGTCTCACATCCTCAGTGGTCGTCCAATTGCCGTCCGTGCCTCTCAGCGACCGCTTGCGTAATCAGGAACGTTAAAAGATAGCTCAGACCACAAAAACACGGGTATTCTGCTAAGCTCAACACCCGTAAATTTGCTGTACCACACGGACCACCCTTAACAATTTGGTAGGGAAATAGCCTCCGCACCTGCAAAATCGCTATCGCTAACAGGATACATGGCTGTTAGTACGCTTCAGAGCTCCCCATTGGTCTGAAAAAATTCTATAGAACCTTTCATCTTGAACAGTAAGCGTTGGATATCCTGAACGATAAGCGTTGGTCATCCTGAGCGGTAAGCGTTGGATATCCTGAACGGTAAGCGTTGGATATCCTGAACGGTACGGAGGTAAGCGTTGGATATCCTGAACGGTACGGAGGTAAGCGTTGGATATCCTGAACGGTACGGAGGTAAGCGTTGGATATCCTGAACGGTAAGCGTTAGCCCTAAACGGGAAGTGTTGAATATCTTAAAAAGTTAAAGGGTAAGCGTTGGATATCTTGAACGGTAAGCGTTACTATAAAATCGACTATTTGTATAGAGTAGTAGTTGTAGGACAAAGAGTACAGTCCTATAGTTGGTAGGAAGATACTATGGTTGGCGGTGGTTGGTGGTTGGCTTGAAAAATCAACGGGCGAGCGTCAGCGAGCCAACTCCGCTCGTATCAGTTGATGAAGCCAAACTTTTGTCCAGGCACTCCCTTAAGAATCACGCGTATATCCGCATATCAAATACGGATATGCCCTCAATCTTCCAAACGGCGTGGTGGCGGCGCGAAACTCTCTACAAGTGTCGGGTATGTACTGTATGTACTGTACACGTGTGATCTTCATCAGAAGTCTGAGGGGAGTGAAACGATCTGGGTTGTAACAGTATGTACTGTATGTAATCCGTACTGTACATGCCTTACATACATACTGTACGTAGTTACCTCCGTATCTGCAGCGGAGGACCTTTACTCAGGTAGTACGGTATGGCTCAGCGTGCACACTGTCAACAGCTTGCAGCTTCGTGGTTCTGCCGCTGGCTGATCAGGTGCGGGGACGATGTCACTTGGCACTCTCATCACACAGCTCCCGAACCTCTCACAGTTGAAAGACACAGACCGTCATCTTGAGTGGCCGAAAATACCTCGAACCTCAACCATTAATTGGACTCGAAAGAGCAGCCACGCTGACAACATCAGCTTCAACGATAAATACCTTGACGCCCTGTAAAAGACGGCTGGACCCTTAGCTGGCCAATTGAGACACGGCAGGATCGGCCGTGTCCAGATTTCCGGGCAGACGGTTACTGCCTCAGCGCCAATGCAGATCTTGGTCTCAGTGAGGTGGTATGATGCTGCCGAAAGAGGGTGTGATGCTCAAAGATGCTCATCCGAGTCGCTTCGCAATTTCTAGAGCCGCATTACCACGCTCTTTGTATGTGTGTCGTCATTCCATGGACAGCATGGTCGGGACCTGACACATTTCGAATCGACTCATGGGTTATCAGGAAACCGAAGGGATCAAGGGAGTAGGGGCATGGCCTTCGCCCTTCCGCTAACGTTGCTCGCCAACAGGTTCTACTCTTTTAAAGTGGGATCAAAACTGTCGCTTCCCCAACGAATTTGGCCGGTCTAGAGTCTATTGGGCTTGAAGACCGACTTCATCCTACCTCTCAAAAAGGGGACGGAATGGAGCTACGTGATCTCAGAGTTATATCACAGGCTTCGTGTCCATCTCTCTTCATCGCCGTCGCCAATGATGGAACGGCACGGCTTGAGGAAGCAGGACGTCTTCATTGGATTAACGTTGACGATTACTACGACACAGCGCAGTCCCTTCCAAGTTTGCATGGGCAATATATCGCACTCCGAACTTTGCATCTCTATGCAAAATTTCCTAGCGAAGCTGACACCACAGCTCACGCACCCAACTAATCGATGTACGTGTAGTACTTGGTATCCGACTATTACGATCCTCGAGACAAGCAAGGGGACTGCTGTTAACGCTCTCCTGCGCTTGTCATATGTCCGACTCTGTTGTTCGAGCCTGCTTCTCTACATGTACTAGTGGAGAGGATATCGACAGCTGATAGGCAGGGACATGGCTGTCAGTTACAGTAACCCCTCATGAAGACAATGACAGTTTTTGAAATGGCTGGTGTGCCTCCAACTCAGGACCTTGAAGAGAGCTAATGCGGTAACGTTGCAGTGCAGGTGACGGTTTAGTTGCAACAAAATCACACAGTCTGGTCCGCGATTGTATTTACAGTAAGTTAAACTGGAAGCGATTTGCGATGATGGAAATCGAAGCGCTGACGAGTTGCCAGTGAGAATCAAAACGAGAGAGAGAACGCATCTCTAATCCGATGGTCTACTGCACTACGCATAGAGTCAGCTTTCTCTATCCGTACCTCCGTAAGTAGTATCTGAGTCTTCACTTTGTTTCGTCAAAAGACCACACGTGTAAACAATCGGGCGCTGGTGCAAGGTCAGGCACCCAGCCTCAAGTGAGACATCCCCACCATTCCGGACCCGAGATGTCTGCCAACCCAAACGGCCGATAGGAACGGGAGGCGCTAACGTCTTTCGGCTCCATCTCCGAAAACGGCCAAGGCCAGGGGTAACGACGTGCTACCCAGGGCCAGGAAAGTGGGCCTCTTCAGGGTTCTTATTATTTCGCAATTCCCGATCGGCTCCCCGCCATTTTGAGACGCCAGCGACTCGAGGAAGTCGAGCAGTGCATGCTGCGTTGTCCATGGTCAACATATATATCCACACGTAGGTATGCTGGTGTAGGCATCCATCAGTGCGTAGTGTAATTCATCGTACACTACCGTCCCCCCAGGTCTATCAACAACGCCCTTTGAAGATCGACGAACAAACGAAGTGGGCGAAAATAGCGAACACGCGGCCTGAAGAGCTCCTTTTGGAAAGTGCATGTCTGACCTTGCGTAGAATACAGTACGCATCACGCAGTCCTTTTACACGAAGCTACCTAGCCTGGCAAGTTAATATAAAGTATGTAAGCAGTATCACACTCTAGTAGTGTACCACCATATTAGTGTACGAGGGCCTGCTGCCGGATCATACCTTGGCCACGGGTGTAGGCCCGATTGCCTGGTGTGGCAGCTGTGGCTGGGCCGACGCTCGCCTGATTGACGTTGTAGTATTTATCGGTGATGAATGTCTGCTGGCGGCGCAATGCGGGGAGGGGGGGCCTTTGGAACTGTTTGGGAACGCTTCACTGCCGAGTCCCTCTGCCATCTGACACTGACTATGTCAGGTACCTGCATAGCACCGTTACCTTAGCTTAGCCATCATGCGTTGCCGGCAGCATCTATTGCAGGCCGCGTCCGTCTGACACTGTTTCTGGAACCCACTCGGAACGACTGGCGGCAAGATGGCCCAGTACGACCGACATGAATAACATGAAGATGGGACGTTATAAAAACGGGTCGGTACCTTAGGTAGTAGGGGAAGACTGGCAACGACCGGGCGTCATAAAATGCACCCCCGATTTCCAGAAGGAATTTGAGACGCCTGCCGTCAACCGCGGACCCGGATCATGGACTGCACTGGACTCAACATTTTCCAAAACGAGAAGAGCCCCTGGAACCTCGAATGTTTGTGGTACCGAATATGGCTGAATATTGATTACCAGGGTCACGGTTAAATGTGGTTGCGAAGTTGGTGCCGGGATAGTACGGTGACATGGCTTCCCACGTTGGTTCCGTTGGTTCCATCATGAGCAAGATAACTCGGTAGCATTCCGTCACTAGACGGGAGAAGTGGAAACGATTTTTTTTCAAACTCGGGGCAGACCCACTCAAAACCCCTGGTGCCCAAGAAGTGCCCAGGAGCCCTACTGTGGTACGCTAAGGTACGTCCAATACTCGGTAAGGTTGCAAGTTGTCAGCGGAGGACAACTTGGAATCATCTATCTCAGCTATTGTCGCTCTGAGGTATGTACGTTGGACCCGAATCGTTCAATCCTGGGTCCAGGGTTGTTGCACCTCTGCCGTGGCCAGGCAATGCGCAGTAGTAACAGAAAGCATCAAGCATGCCTCTGCTTCCGATTACTGTACGTAGGTTCTTCACCTAGGCTACTTTCATTAGTGGTTCATTACCCTCCTTTTAACGAAGATTTGGTAGTCTTCTCAACTCGTAGTACTAGCTACCCTAGAATCCAGATCTAATCTGAACTCATTCACACCAGTCACTAAGGCTCTTCCCACCACGGATGCTCCAATACTTCGTTGATGGTCGGTCTGGCCGTTGGATCTGGGTTCGTCATGCCAGATATCATGTCGAGTGCCATAGGACCAAGTGCCTTTCCCCAAACCTCGAATCTCTGGTCCGGGAAGTCTCTCAATGCACGCACCGCATCGGCTGACACGCCCTTTAAAACGTCATGCCAGTGACTGTCGACCTGCTGGAAAAGGCCCGTGGTCGCGGGCCCGAAGTACGAAAAGTGTCGAGTCAGTATCGCTTGTTCCGGACTTATACCATTTGCCGCCAGCTCCGCCAGCTCCTGGTCGTCCTCGAGAAGCAGCAAATCAGCACCCCCAAGAGCATAGATACACTCCCAGTCCGGAGGTTAGCAGCACATCGTGGGGTCCCAAATGGATCCCTCAGGTAACCCACCACCAGTCCAAAAGAAAACACGTCGGATGCCTTTGTCACACCACTTCCGGTTTGTCCTTCTGGGCTTCGCCACATGAAATTCCCCAGCGGATGTTTCGTTCGAAGAGGCGTTTCCCTTTCTGGCTTGAAGGAAATATCGAAATCCCCCAGAGTCGCACTGAGGGACCTTCTTGTTGTTATCTGCGGCGTGTGTCCAGTTGACGAAGATGTTATCCGGCTTGTATCTAAGTAAGGTAAGGTAAGTATCAGTTAGCTCGAACGGTTACGAACTAGATAGCGGCTTTTGGTGTTATTATTGAGAGAATTATGTTTCAAGTCACCCGTGACGGTATTTCCCAACATATAGAGCACTTACCGTTATGGAGCCAGCCTTTGACGTGGAATTCTTGAATCCCCTCGCCTGCGTATCGTAGGATCTTCTTCAACTCGTTGGCAGGTACGTCGGGATCGGCGCGTACCAAGCTGAGTAAGGTGTCTGTAAAGTACGAATTAAACGACGACTCGTTCGTCGTCGTTGTATCAATGGGCATTCGAAGCCGACTGGCACCCGCAAGCTCAGTCGCGAGGAGCCGAGAGTGACTGTAGATGGACTCAGATACGTGCTTGAAAACAACAGGCTCGTCTCCGCACCTGCCTCGGGAGGAGTGATAGTAATGGTTAGAAATCTATGTGGTTGCTAGTGAAGTTGCACGATAACTGAAGGGCGTGGATCTTGAAAGGCTAGGAATATACATGGCTTTGAAAACGGTGGGCCTATTGCGCTCGTCGTGGTGAAGCACCTTGCCTCGGACGTACTGACGACCGGATGTGCCAACTACGAGGGATGCCATTCTGCTGCTTGTGCTGTAGGGAACCCGGCAGACAAAGCCGGCAAGACGATTAGCAGACATTGATGGAAGTTGCCTTCTCTGGGAAACCTGCAAAAGACGGCAGAAGTACGAATGAGACGATTAAGGAAGACAGGAGTGCTCGGAGGTTGGAGAGTTTGACGGACTTCGGACGGGAGGAAAGCTGGAATCGTAGGTAGGACTGGAATCGCCAACTTAAATCACTCGTGGGTCTGTGCGGCCTATCTTCACTGCGAGCGTAAGGTACCATACAGTATACACAAGCATTCCGGGTATGATAAGAGATCGCAGAGAGGGAAACGCTTAAAGTTACTCCATTATCGGAGAGAATGACCATGGGGATGCTAAACGTATGACGTTCTGTCTCTCACGTGCGGCTTCTTAAGACTACGGGTCTTTGAAAGAATATCGTCAGCCTGACTGAGCACAGCCTGCTTCCAGGCTAATAGCATCAGGTGGGTAGTCTCCGTGATCTACATGATGGGTTCCAGGTTGCCCCAGACTCCCGCGAGAAGAAGAAGTCAACGATCGAGACAAGAGCAGCGCAAGACCCATTACAAACAGATTGGCATTTGCGTCAATTCAAAGTGGACTCGAATCCAAAAGCTCCCCTCGGGTAGCTATGGTACGTAAGCTACCTACCTTAGGTACCTTACCTGACCTAGAACTTTCAAGAGTGATTTATCACCACCTACAACTATACCAGCTAAGGTAGAATAGCCCCAGCTGTGGTCTGTCCAGCTATGAGCTAAACTTACCCGGTACATTTCAAGTTAAAGAGATAGATTATCTCGCTCGCGGGGCAGCGACAAAATTCAAGGCCTCCGTACCTGAGGCGCATTCTGACAGCTCTATGTTCAAGGTTGAGATTCTTCTTTGAAAATCCCTGAATTCACAGAAGGGCCTAGCGCTTCAGGGTTGGACCATCTTTTGACGCAACTACTAGTATCTTGATTGTATCAAAGACCAACTACTAGTACTAGTATCTGGTGAGCAGAGAACGAGGGGTGGTGAACTTGTCTCCGGCATTGCTAATACTTATCAGGTATGTCAATAGCAGCAGCACGTATGATGGGAGAGTATATGTACATGTAGGTAGGTATGACTCGGAATACTGCTATGCCCCCGTGATCCGATCCCCTTTTACCTCGCCCGGCGTTAGCTGATCTTGCAGTTATGGTACTGCGATACGGTAGACGGTGCCTCAGGGCGCCTCCTTTGAAGGACGCCACCCGATCAGCTCAGGGCCTAGGCATGTAAAAGTAACACGCCGTGAGCAACTTGAACTAGTATAGATGAGGATGCCAGCGTTGACCCCGTCTTTGCGGCGACTTCCGTTGTCATCTCGCCAGAAAGAGATGTATTGGCTCAAATTACGACCGCCGTTCAGTTTGGGCCGAATCATCTGACTCTGCTCGGTTTATTTAGAATCACCGTGCCCATCCCGAAAATGTACATGCATCTTTATAGGGAGGATATTTACCAACCTGAGAACTGACGGGATGGTCGCAGATGAGGCCCGGTGAGGTATGTCCCTAGTTTTCAAGGCAAATCACACACCAGACCAACCTATAATCCATAGATAGATTACATAGGTACGTCATCTATCATGTATGCACGTACTAACACATATCAAACCCTGTCAGTGATCCATGACTTGATTGCCCTGCTCCGTTGTTGTTTACATGCCCCTGAATCTACCACACACGCATTCTCTCCTGGCCCGGCCGGGCCAAGTTTCAACGAAGGTTGTATGCCGCTACCGGTCATACCATCTATGATCCTAGCTCGTGCTACGCACCTCAAGCCCAAGAAGCTAGGTACCTAACAATGCTTGACTCTTATGCGTATGTATATACCCCACGGTCTCCACAGATGTCTAAGTCGAGGCAACTCGAAAGCAAAGAAGGCGACTGCTAATCATAACTGGCATGTCAGATGTCAACATCGCAAGAATCCCAGTTCACCTCAGCTAGGGACCTGAGTACCTATAGTGGTGGCTCTGAAACCAGTGGCACCTAGCACAGCAAGGGAACTTTTGGGAGAGACGTCTTCTGTCAGTGCCGCGACATGGGCCTCCGTTCTGGCAGAAGTTCCCCAGCTCAAGGGAGCAATTCCCTCATCAGCTAGTGTCCTAGGCTCGGCCCCGATGCCAGTTGATCCGGTTCGCGTCAGAGTGTGGGGAAACATTATCGTTCGAGAAATGGCAGTGTCCGTTGGAACATAACCCACTGCACCCGTCCCCCAATCCTTTCCGGCTAATGGAGGTTGGGCAGCTATGTCAGAGGCTTCGTCTGTGTAACCCGCTGGATTAGGCGCATCTCATGCCGGATTTATGTACTTGCAACGTTCCACAGCATCACGAGTCCCCATCCCCACACTGAATGGACAGGATGACATACGCTGGTGTGACCCTAGACTCTAGAGCTTCCCCGTACCCGCAGCCTAATGTCACTGACAAGAGGAGAAAGGGGAGAGCAGCTTTGGTATGGTGAAAAGAATGGAAAGGGGCATGAAAGCGGGATTGGTACTGGTAGAAAAAGCGAAGGTAAAGCAGACGACATCTCCTCGGATGCATCTACCTGCATCAACTTGCCACGACCCATATGTAGTACACTCACTACCTAACCTCCCTGCCTCACCTACCTGGCAGGGCAGAGACTACTGGTCGTTCATCATGCTCCCACGATGGTGGTACAACCCGCCTTGATAAGCATCTTCCAAAAACTCACCAAAGACTTTAGCGCGACACACCAAACCTGATTTTGAGACCGGGCAACTTGGTAGCAATACGCCATAAGTTGCGGACGCAGTTTTCACATCCCGCCAAGAAACCTCAAGTTACACAGTTAGATATTATATGTGCTACCAAAGCACTCGCGAGCGGCACTACTAGGTAGGGGTATGCCCGGAAACTATGCCAATGAGCCATGCGACTGGAGAATGCCGTCAACGAGAGGGCCCGACGTTAGAATTAGCTCTTGAGGCAACTAGACGGGGTCCCTCGGCACTGGGCATCGCCACCGTAGCTTAGCACTACGTAGTAGCACCCGTACACCATCATCCCCGTCACCCATCAGCCGGATAGGGATGGTTACATTAGTCCAGATCAGGACGACCTCAGCTTGCAGCCAGGAAATACCGAAATCCCACGAACAGCGAGGAGTCTTTATATATATAGCTATATACTATAAGAAGGGTGGAAAAAAAAAAACCAGAGAAGATCAAATCCCAAAAGGACGATGCCCTTGGCTTCGCGATCCATTCTCAGGACTGCTTTGTTCGAGTGTTGTCTCTCGGTATGTGTGGCGATGAGCAGACATGAGAGAATAAGACCATATGCGACAGACGGCTCGGATGACAAAATGAAAAGCAAAAAAATCACAAGTCCCTTACGGCATGTCGCCGTGCCATTTGTGGAAGAGAATCCGTGGTGTCACCGTTGAAGCGGGTATGTTGCGGGCAATGAGCTCATTTAGGGGACGGAGAACGGGGGTGCGCGGCTTGCTTGTGTAATGCACATGCATCCAGTGTAGAACAGTCTAACCTCTAACAACGATTGGGGGCCAGGCGCAAGATTTTCACGGGTATATCGCGATGTTAGGGTAAGGAACCGCAAAACGAGGCGCTTCCTCCTTGATAACTCCAAGCCGATTTGTATGCCTTACCTAGATAGGTAGGTGCGCAGAATGAACGGAGGGTTCTGGCTTGACCCGAGCCTATGGCCGATCGCGACCCTTGTTGATTACCTAGTTGATGACAACGATCCCAACCTCTCTGGCGTGGGCTGGCAGTGATATCGTACATAGTCGTTTTTTGGTGCGCTCTACCAGTCAGAGAACCCGCGGTCTTGTCTGGTATGGAGTATCAAGATGAAGATCCCAGAAAAAAGCTATCTCGTATGCTTCTCCAACCCTTGGATTCCAACGGCGCCGCTAAAATCTCAATGGCCCATCTTTAGTTATGAGCCGTGAAGCGGTGTGACAGCACTCTTGCTTGGGCGTGCTAAGGTAGCGTTAAGCACCTGCCTGTCGTGACAATTGACTAGTAGACGCAGCGTAGCGACCCGACGATCGGTTAAGATCTGGTGAGATGAATCATGCTGTGCGAGGCGCTGCGCAACAATTCGGCTTTCCTCGCCTCCCTAATGTAGTGTATGTATGTAGCTGTGCCGCGCATTTCCCTGTTTCTTTCCGGGCCGTCTTATTGTTGTCTCTCTTTTCGGCTGGGCAAGGTCACGGACCCGCAGGTCGGTGCCGGGATGTTTCCCAATGGTCTGGGTCCAGCCCGTCCCACGCCCCTGGGTCAAGATCGTCTGATCTGCCGGAACAACAGAGCCGCAGAAACATGGCTCAGCAGAATACGGATAAAAAGAGCAGTGCTCACGGGCACCGTGTGTTCCAGAGCCAAAGAAAAAGGGAATCTCGGGGTTTTCAGATGGCCGGCAGAGAATTGGACAACATCCCGGGATCCGCTTATTATTAGGATTCCCAATCATTCAAGCGTTATCTCGACTGGTTGGTTTACTACTCCGAACTGCTCCGATGCGAAATCGAAATTGCCCTGCGAGTCCCTGGACATGATCCCTGGGAACCCACATGCCCCAGCTCGCCTAACCTTTTTTAGTTGTGCTTGCAGATGTAATGGATCGAGACAGGGGACAGGGCCCGGGCCCTGAGGCGTTAAAGAGATCCGGGGAACTGCTGCGTCACATTGGCTCACCCAACCTCAGGGATCGAGGCGGTTTGTCATGCGCGCCTTAGCAGAAGCCCATGAGCGGTGCAGGACTCAGCTGTGTTGTAACTCGACAGCATCCGGAACCTGCTTCCGCCAGCCGCCCTGCGCCTTTCATGCACGACCCAGCTGTGCGGATGCCTCGAGAGGCTTGGCACCAAGCCCAATCCACCATGCTTCGTCTCCTGGCTCGAACTTTTGATAGCCTTTCAAGGTGAAGTGAAGGTAGCGAAATCCTCAGCGAAGAGATTGCATCGTTCACGATGCTGTCGGTCAACAACTACATGTGATGAGACAATTCACTCCTTGTCGATAGCCGACGGTCCGGAAAAGGGATGGATAAGTCGCCATGCCGAACGAGGTCCCCGCAAGTGGCGGCCAGGCGATAACATCATTGGCCCTTGAACTTCAAGCCAACGCATGCAGAGGAGCAACCGTCGACCTTTTCATTGGGAAATCAACTAGCGATGCAGATGCAGTGTGAGCAGATGCAGAACCAAATCTCCGAGGTCTCTTCCCATCTTCCCATAAGCCCATTGCCCACCTTTTCCGATTTGGCCCAACAATCCCGGATGACCGTGGGAATATCAATGCCCACCAGAACGCCGCCGTCCATTTATTTTTTTTTCCCAACCCGGAATGCTGCCTGGTTTTATGCTTAGTCCTCGCTGACACACGATGTAAAAACATTACTAAAATATCAAGACAGAAAGATAAGGTGAACGGGGTTGAGGGGGATCGAATCTTGCGGCCGCGTTAGTTTGGCTGACGGCGCATCGGGAAGAAGAAGAGTGGCATTGGCTCCAGGTGCCAATGCTTGACACCTTCCTCCTTGAATGCCTCATGCCATTCGCGTTCAAGCTCGAGAGGAACAGGCCATCCTTGCTCGGCGCTCCGGAGGCGCATGCGCACCAAATGTCGTTTCTCAGTTGGAGACTTGCCGTTTATGAAGCTCTCGCGGCGGTGAAGAACACCCATGTTGTTGATGAAGTGCATATCCCCAGCTTGCGTTTGGATCTCCATCTGAGTGGCCTGAGCAATGGCTTCGATGGCATCCAAGGCTTCGACCTGTCGGCACGTCAAAGAGGGCAGGTGATGGGGCCGGGGATGGGCCTCGCTGCCCAGCAAAGCAGCCCGGCCAAAGTTCATGATGAGCCTCGAGTCTCGGTAGAATATTACTGGGCGGCACTGGAAGCGAGGCCTGGGGTTTTTCTAAGTTAGACCTGGAGCTGGACATCGCCTGGTGAAAATGTCACCTACAAGGCAAACGGCCAATCAGACCGGGCCAGAGTACGGATAATGTCAGGTCGCGTCGCTGCCAGAACATTGTAGATGGTGTAAGCAGAGGCAATGATGCATTTGCCGCCGGCTGCAGCAGTGCTGCGTGTCAGCCAGCTGATGACGTCCCCAGCCTCTTCATTGTGGAAAGTCTGAAAAGAGTAGACAGCGGTCAGCTTCCGTTTGAGTACTTAGAGACAGAGGAGGAACGATGGGGAAATTCCGGTACGAACGATGGACTTTGTGGAATGGCGATGGTGCTCAGACGCCTGCTCAGTGCTGTTGTCGGCGACAATATGGACTATCCCGAGTGTCAACTTGATCCGTCCTTATGATGACGGTAAGGAGTCTCCATGACTAACCAAGCATGTTTCCGCGCTTGTCCTGGCGGCCACGCTGTTCAGCGATGTACGACCCAATACCAAGGTATACCAAGGTGAGATCCTCCACGGAGTAGGATGAAGGATCAATTCCACGAATGATACAAAATCCCCTGCCATTGTGGATCTCGCCACTCAATGCCTTGAGCTCTGTTCCGAGTGTTGGCAGTGGGAAGTTGGGTGGGCCCACCAGATGTCCGTCTTGGTCGAGGGCTGCCCCCGAGGAGAGAAGGTTAGCAGGAATCAGGCACCAGCAAGCTGGAAAGAACCGGAGGACACTTGCACTTGTAATGCTCAACAGCAGCCTTAATCTCGGCGTGCCATGTGTCGTTCAGGACAAGGATGTAGTCGGACGTAGTGGCCAAGTCGGAGCCAGTCCATGTCATAGGACCCGTCAGCTGAGCTGGGAAGCCGGGGGGAAGAACCGGCACATCGGCACTAGCATTGGCAGCCAGAGCCAAGCTGGGTACGCCGGCGATTGGAGTAATGGCCGGGGCAAGAACGGGTCCAGCACCCGCAGCCGACATCGTGACCTCGGACTCCCTGGTCGAGGCTCAGGCCCTTGCATCAAACGCATACACCCTATCATGCAATGACCACCCTTAGTCCTCACAGACCTGGGTGGGACCTTGGTGAGAGGTAGTCACTTACCCCGAACCAACAACAGGCTCGCCCAAATCGTCGGGTGCGCGCAAGGGTTCCGCTCAAGCCGGGGTATCCGACCTTACCTTACAGGGTGTCGACTAGCCAGAGACTTTGATGGATGGTGGGCCGAGAAATTCTTGAGGACCGCACGAATGATGAGTTGGACCGGATCCAGATGCTGAAGAGAGAGGTCAAAGGCCGGCGTCCCATGGTTTTTGAACCGAAGTTCAAGACTCGGAATGGAAGTTGCGGCTGGCATTGAGTGATATGGAGACTTCAGGGGCACTGGGCTGGAAAAAGCAGCCCTGAATGCACACGCCAAAAAAGATAAGCCTGGAAAGAGCAATCATCAAGTTTGCTGTGTAGCGGTCATGGGATGGAGATCAAGGGAAGTTGCAGACGGGCTGAGTGAAGACGCGCTTCGTCACATCAGCCGCCCAACATTGGCATGCTCTTTCTGCGCGCAAGATGGACATGCCGTTTTGAACATTTGGGCATCTAGGTCTCTGTGGACAGCCACAACCCTTGCTACTCAGATACACTCGCGAAGGCGTGTAAGAGGAGCTCTCTAAGAGGAGGGTCCATGCCGTGTGGGGAGCGGCCCGAAAGCAATGGGACGCCGAGACTTAAAGACACACCATTAGTCTTGTGTTGACAAGAGTTGGGTTGGTAGTCTAGGTTGGCACTAGCAACGCCTTCAACTCGCGGTGATGAACGGGAAAGCGTCGGGATGTACCTTGACCAAGGGGATCGCCCTTGCCAAAGTCCCGTCCATCCAAACAAGACCAGCAAGACGACCCTTCTGGCCATGGAAAGAGTAGCCATTGGGATAGCCCTTTGGACTCATAAATGGTTGTGATCTGACATCAAGAACGATCACACTATGTGATAAAGTATCTAGAACCCCGAAGTAAGCTTTTACGATGCCAGCATACGCAGAGGGCCACAAGAACCTCCTGAAAGACTTACAGGGTTCAGAGATGTTCCCACACCAAGAGTTACGCTACTCGTGTTAGAGGGAAAATGGATCGAGTACCCACTGCAACTGTGGCGTAATCAAGCACCGAACAACAGATGCAAGGCATCGGACCAGTGCGAAAAACAACAATCGAAGCTCCAGTCTATCCGCAGTAGGCCAGTAAAACTTACCCTGGAAGCGTTGAGCGCGGCAGGGAGGGTATTTGGGTACCTACTCATAAGCCAGCAAACACTACCTTCGCACATCATTACGAATAACAGTACGTGAGCATGTCTTCGCTACCTGTTGTGCAACCTACACGCGTATGATGGATTGCCGAGCAACTTTTTTTTCTTTTTTGAGGACTGACGGGAGGGAAGAAGGTGGGGAACGGATCGGACTTCTTTCCACGATGCGAGCTTCCAGGACATCCAAACTACCAACAGTCAAAGCATCCCGAGCTGGGCTGAGCTAGGGGATCCATGCCTGCAAGTTCCCTTCTCACACTTCGGCGAGCCGTGTCATGAGCCCGAACCGAGGAGCTTCGGAACGTAGTTTGGGGGACCTCGATGGATTGGGGTTTATGTGTAATATCCATCGCGATCAACAAGACCCCAGGTTATGGCCGCGGAGGTCTCAGATGGCATGGCATCATCTGTGTAACTTGTTTTAAGTGTCTCTATCATTGTAGGTGGTTCAGTAGGTGGTAGGAGACGGCATACTAGTCCAGGGCCATCCACATGCCGTTCCTCACACACGCACACACACACCTGCAGACAGGGTGCTGGCAGCAAGCCAAGCTCATCAGTTAGCTGGTCCAGATCGGTAACACACCTCACTTCCCCGGGTACTGTAGTACTACATTGATTACCTAATACGAAACTGTACTTTTCCCTGATGCCAAATTCTTTATTTCCAGCTGCCTCTCGACCGATCACGCAGGAGTGATTGCCCTTGTGGACGTAAGACACGGAAGAACTGGAAGGACAAGTGAGGACAGGCATCCAACATCACCAGCAATGTTATAGTTGGTTTATTTCTTTTTTCTTCTTGTTGTATGGTCGCAGTGAGCTGCATCGTGTATGCCGGTATGGAGTGTTCGCTGTAAATTTGGCTGAGCCTGGGTATGAAAGCATGGAGACGACATGGAGAAGTTGGACGACGGTCGATCTATGCTCTGGCTCCCCAACGACGCAAATTGTTAGTTGCCAACGATTGCAAGAGCAAAGGCCAGCCTTCCGCGATTGGTCACGTTTCGATGGAACGGAAGTGTACTGTACAGTACATACACTACTTGTACTAAACGACGCTAGTAGGGATTCAATGATCCACACAACTGGGCCTTCGATCGAAAGGTCAAGTTTCTCGGTGTTTTGAGTTCTAAAAACAGTCCTTGTTTCGGTGACCATCCAAGCCCGTACTCTCTTCTCAACTTCGCTGAGAAACAGGTGAAGTAGGTGTGTGTCAGCAAGGACTGAGTCGTAGGGGATTTCACACTCCAAGCGTCAGCAGAAAGAATCCCTCCATGATGATGTCGATCTGAGAGTCCGGAAAGCCCGAGCGTCTGTGACATGAGTCTCTTTTCGGCCCGTAGGCACGAGTCTGCCCTTCGCCGGTGCAGTCCCCCATTTGGGAAACTTAGAGATTGATCCTAAGGTTGCTGCAGCACCGACAGCCGACAGCTCTTCCTGGACGTTTCCTCTTCGGTGTGCGTGTGCTGCATGAGACGATCTGCAATTCTCCATTGCCTGGAGACCCGAGACAAAACTGCCTGCGCCAGGCATGCGCCAACTCGGGCCCCAATCAAACTGCTTAGGGCATTATCCGCGGCTGCCAATTCCGCTCGAAAAGCTGGCTTACGTAATAGTACTCGTGCTCGTAAGCGTCACTGAGCCACAGCGCTTCCCATTCCCGTTCTGCATACAGGAACAAGCGCACAGTGTTAGCCCAGTTCCGCTGTTCTGATGGCACGCATCCGAGATCTGAGTCTTGGTCTGGAGTTGGGTTTGCTCACTATGCTCAGCGACGAACCGCCTGACGAAATGGACGAATGAGATGGCTTCATCATCAAGCTCGGCCAGGCTTTGAAGGTCTTCGTCTTTGCATTCATCCGAGAATGGGTATATGGCTTTATTGCAGTAGTGGAAGTAGGCGAGAAGCGTGTTAGCCCCTGATTGTCTGTCAGTACGGGTATGTGCACAGGTCCGGATGGCGGGAGACCCTGTGCACTCACCTAAGTTATACTCTCTAACGCTTGCCTCCCTGGCAAACCGCCGCTATAGTCGCCACTTGTCAGCCGCCGCTGCCCATCGCTCTTTTCGACCATGGACGGTGAGGCCGGGGCACCCACCTTCATCCCATGCTTCTTAGCATACTCTGCGTCGTGTTTAGTAATAAGAGCAATGTTGTGTAACAGGATAAATGTCACTAGGTATGTCGTGAGCCAAGTCTTCTGCTTCTTTTCCTGCGTCATTTTCTGCAGTTCTTCGAGCGTTCTCCGGCGAAGTTGTGGTTGAATCTGGTGGATCAGGACAGAATCGAGCTGTGCCCCCATCACCGGCGGCAGTGGTATTTTCCCATAGAGCGGGCTATCCCTGTCTTTGATCATATCTGCAGGCATGTCCAACGTGTCGTCCCCCACAATCTCGAATGACTTCGTTGTTAGCCGGACCGACATCCACAGATCGAGAGTACTGAGGAGTAAATTCTTTTCCGCTGGGGAGGTGGAGGAATCCATCGCTGCTTTCATGGCAAGAGCATAAGTCTTCCAGAGCAGCTTGTCTCGGGCGCCTAGCAGAGAATTGCAACAGCTGAGCAGGCCATGCTTGATGTACTGGCTCAAGGCGGCTTTGGTGTCCTCCATATCGACAATGGCGTAAGGGGGAATCTCCACCTCTTTCTTCTGGCCGTTTGGCGACATCCAGGATCTCTTCAATCTGTCGCCCACCTGAGGTTGGAATTGCCTAACCCGCAACCGAATCGATTTGCCCGTGTAGCCTTCGGTAACGTGGATGATCCTCACCCGACTCGACTCCCAGTTCCTAATCTCGTCCATTACGCTGTCTTTCCAACGATCTGTCCATTTGCATTCGTCTTCTCTCACCTGTCCGGGCTTGAGAAGCTTCACATCCGTGATCTTCCAGCGCAAGCAACTTAGCCGATAAATCCTTGTTGTTGTCGCAATCTTCTTGCAGGACAGACAGGGGCCTTTTTCGTTGTCGGGGTCGAGGTTACACTGCAAACAGGTATTAGGACGCAATCCGTAGCCTCATGGGAACAGCCGCGCAGAAAGTTTGGCAGACGACTGGCGAATTGGAAAGTACTAACCCGGATCCGCTGCATTCGACATCGGATGCAGCTGCCCATCTTCCTAGTACGGGCAGTTTTTTCCCGCTGGTCCTGATCTCGAAATGGTCCACGCTTAGCAGGCAGCGGTTTGTGAGGGGGAAAGAAGTCAAAGATCGCAGGCCCTTCCTGGCCGCCTCCCGAGCTTCCAGTCCCCCCCTTAGAATCATATCCTTGCAGGGAATGAAAGCTTGGAGCTATGGTCGCGCGAGAGGTGTGGTCCTCGTAGGATGACGGCTCTAAGCTGCTAGCATACGCACACGGCAGCGTACCTGTTGGAGGGGTCGAACTCGTAATGAAAGGAACTTGGGTCTCTGACTCCGTGGAACCACCAGGGCCATTCGGGAAAACATCATAGCCGGCAACCGGGGAGGGGTTGGGGTAAACCATCGCCTCCCTACTGGCAGCAGGTTGGATGCCCATCACTTGCGCAGGCTGCAAGGGAGGGTAGCCCGAGAGGTACTGGGTTACCAACCCAGGGTCATCGCAGGGTAGCAGGCCCGTTGGCTCCGCAGCGACGGGCGTGGCAGCCAGGGAAGCTTGCTCACGAGACTGGATGCAGGCCATGGAAGGGTCGAGTTCTGGTGGCTTGATGCTGTCGTAGCCATATGAACTGCTTACAGGAAGCGGTTGATATGCTGAAAAGATAGTCAGTAATCCGTCCGGCGGTGTAGAGGCTGGCGCAGGACGGTGTGTTGGGGGCGTACGCGGCTGAGGCTCAAAATCAGAGCATGGAGGGCACATGGAGAAGCTTGCGAAGCAGTCAGCCAGTCGTGAGCCAGTCCAGCCAGATGAAACACCTCCATCGGGCAACAATCCATAAGGCCCAAGACTGGCATTCACGCTGGGGCCAGGCTGGTTGGCATGGGGAGACTTCTCCTGCCCATTTTGCGCAAGATGATTGCCAATGTACCGGCCCGACATGTAGGAGCTCGTGTCTAGTCGAGGCTTCTTGTGAGAGCGAGGCTGACCACTGCTGAGATCTAAAAGAATGGGCAAGGACCAATTGGTAGCCGAGGCGACCTGCTCCAGGAAGAAGTGCTGATTGTCTGGTCGGTCGGGCTCCAGGAGCTTGTCGACAGTGGTGGTGATGCTCACCCTGGTCGAAGGGGCCTGCTCCAGTATATACCGGTGCGCGCCTGATAGGGGTAGCGTACTGGAATCAACAGAGGGCGAGGGATAGGCCAAAGCCGAGAGAGACGGCTCGGCAAGGGCGGTGTCGTCCTCGGGGCAATAAGCCCGTCGCTTTCTAATATTATGGTTCTAGCAATGCATCGTCAATTCACTACGGATCTACCGAGCATATGGCGGAAGGGAGGGCACGCCGAGGAGAAGTGTGTGTGTTCGGACCGGTGAGGTAGGGCCATGACAGGCAGGGCAGGGCAGGGCAGGGTACGGTGACCGGAGTGGGTGAAGCAAGGAAATAGGGAAGTGACACGAGGGGGGGTGTGAGAAAGAGGACACGGCTTGAAAAGCAAGATGCAGGACGAGAAGCCACGAGGAAGATGGATAGTGATTTTTGCCATGCAGCCTGCCGCGTGCCCGGAAGGAGAGAAGGTAATTCTTACCATGTTGAGAAGGAATTGGAGGTCTCGCGTTGGAGACTACCGGGGTGTACTCGGTCCACAGGTACCGGTATGCAAGGGGGGGAGGACAGCACAAACGCCCGTAACAAAGCAATCAGGGGCCAAGCTTTCCCAAACATAACCGCAGGTGGCAGGAGGGAAGGAAACGGTGGGGTTGGCACGGAGGCGGAAGCACCTCACAAGAGCGCCATCCCCACGAAACAACAGCAAGCTCGTACGTATGTGTGGAGAGAGCTGCGGGCGCGTGTGAAAGCGGCAGCCGCAATGAGGCGCCGTGACGAGAATGGAAGATAGATAGGTCAAGGAGACAAGGGTAGTGGGAACGTTTGGGCGATGGGCAGTCGGGTAGCACAGTAAACTGCTGCTTTAGCCTCTAGCTACCACCTCCGGGAGCTTGCCGGGCACTGTTGTCGTTAGCGGCGGTTGTGGCGCCGAATAAGAGCCGCCGACACCGATCTTATGTGGCGTTGTGACTGAGTATCCGCCAATGGCCAGGGTCGGGCGGAATGCCCGCAAGGTTGCGGCGGGAGCAGCCCCGAAGGGGCTCAATTCGCTGCTGGGAGCTGGCCAGGGAATTTGGCAAGGAGTCGAGGTGCGAAGAGGATGCGGATGATGGGCGCTGGCGATGGATAGTAACTAGGGGGGTTTCCTAACGATATCCGCTGCTTTCCGAGGCCAACTCTGGCTCTTGTGGCCCGGCGTCGGGTGCTGTCGTGCCGCTGCGCTGCCCGATTTGCAATTGCAACCTGGCGTTCTGTGAGGGGAGGTGTCTGTACTCTGTACCCGCGCAGGAGGTAATACCTGCAATGTCTCACGGCGCAAGCTGGACTGGCACCGTGCTTGCTGCTTGGGTGGAGACAGGAAGAACCGGTCAAGAATGAGATTGTCACGTTTGTTGGTAAAGGATGGAATCGGTGAGCGTTTGGACGAGACGAAGTGAAAAATGAGAGATTCACCGGTCGCGGGGGCGCAGGATACGGCTGACTGGAGTCGGAAGCTTTGCTGGCGCCTTCAGGCCTGGCTAGGTAACGGGCTGAACAGGGGGATAGCAGGAGATCAAATGTGACTAGACATGGTTGTGTAAATGCGAACGCGAAAAGGCGGTCATGGGCCACCAGGGGCGTTCGACTCGGCGGGAGAGATGCGAAGAGCGTCACCTTGCGTCTTGGGAAAGAGCTTTTTGCCGGCTCTTCCGCGTCCTGGGAGACTGCCAAATGCCAATGCCTTGGGTCGCACGAGCACGAACATCTCCCGTCCAGGTCGCCCGTAATAAGTGCTGGGCGAATGCTCGGCGCTCGGCATCGTCAGCCACCCCAGCGCCACGTTGTCGCCCGGATTCCTGGAACGCGGGAGGTGGAGTTCAATTACAGGGAAAGGAGGTCGTTTTCCCTACCGCGTAAGGGAAAGGCGCCGCAGGCGGACTACCGACGCTAAAAAGACGCGAAAATCAGACTTCGGGGTCGCCGTCCTCGCAGCCAATCGCAAGGTTCGGCGTACTGTGGGCCTCGTGTGCAATTGGCTGTGCCTGGCGCACGGTCGTGGAAAACGTATGATTTCGAAAGTGCATCAGCTAACGTTAAGCAATGCACCTGCCTGGCTGCAGCCGATGCTTCGAGAAAAAGCCGATTCCTGATATGATACACTAGTAGCTAAATGTACGGAATGCACCAGTTTTACCTCAGATACCTATATAGATCACACATGCCTTACACTAAATACATTTTATAGTGGTAGCATGTGGAGCGTCATGTGTTGAGTAGAGATAACGTAGAGCAATATCAGAGCCTCTATAAAGTCTCTTCGCCCGATCGCCCTCCAACAGCTCTCAAGCTAGACGTGTCGGAACCATGGAACTGCTCTGTTGTTGGAATCGCTAGCAGCAACTCGTGACTTGTAACCTACCATTCGGCCGAATATGTCTTCCGCATTCATGATCTGGATTGCACCTTTTAAGCCTAGACCAGGAGTTTGGGAAAATCCCGCATGAACCTATAATTATTAATTGTAAGCACATCACCCCTTACCGCCTCGGAATTTTGGCGGTTTCGGGCAGATGGATACCTACGTGGAAGGTAGCATTATCCAAGCGAGTCAGCAATTCATAACAATGAAGACCGTTCGGTTACCCGCCGTTGTCGTCGACACTTGGATGTTACACGTAGAGGTGTATGTACATACGTACACGTGATATACACCAAGATACGTGTACAGCAGACTAATAAAAGGTAGTGTAGTGTACTTTACGGCACCGTCCACACGGATGCAGACTGGAATCTCTCGAATTCCTTCCCCGTGGAGCACCATGTGGAGAGGCATGGTTTCGAATCCTTCGGGGAGTCTTGGCAGGAGCCGAAGAAGCTTCCAAATGCCCTTCCCCTGGGCCTGACAGGTGACAAGCCTGGCGCTAAAATGGCGGCCGCCGTCTCGTTTGCGCCGTACATTCGGCAAGAAAGCCGACAATCGACTCCGTACATACGGATACCGTATAATCTCGTGAATTTGGGAAATTAAAGTGGCTTAGTCAAGCCCAGCTCAGCGCAGCAAAAGCGAGCAAAAAGATGCAGGACAGCCACATCTAGCCACACTTGCCCGTGGTGCCCTGGTGCTCCCATTGGTGAATGTTTGGCTTTCTGGGATGGGCATATCCACCTTCAATTTCCCAAATTCGCGAGATTATACGGTACACGTATGTTATCGGTAGGTACCGAATGGACCAGCCAATCACACCGCCACCAACGACTACTACCCGTAAGATTCGTATGTATGTACAGTACTGTACAATACTCCGTACCTCCGTAAGGTAGTTACACATTTTTCAGGCTGCCCTGAAACACCTGACACACACTCTCATCGGATTACATGCCCTCGAACAGCCGATGGTGCGTATGATATTGTAAAGAACCTTACATAAGGCAATTATAAAGATGTACTTCTATACCCCGTACTTCGTACATACACCACATGTGACATGTCGGGCCGACCAGTCAGAGGGCGCTTGCGGACCATGGAGCAGGCTAAGAAGTCCCGGATGGCTTAGGGAGTAGATGCATCTCCCCTCAGTTCGCTCCTCCATCTTTTATTATTATCACCCTACCTCCGTACTCCTGCCTCACTCGGCATCCCATGGCGGCCGAAAACAGCATGGGCTCACGCGAAGCCTCACCTGCCCTCTCAGCGACGGAGGCTCCAAGAACCGAACCATTGATGTCGCGGGCGCATCCAGTCCATGTTGCAGATGATTGGAGGCAAAGACTCTCACCGCCAATCAGGAAATAAGATTTTGTCCGTTGACACATGCCGTCACATCTCATATTCGAAGTCTCCCCTTTGGTATGTACACCATGCACATGGTCTCGAGATGGCTCCTACCCGACCTCGGCACTCGATGCCAGTGGCTTCTTCGCCCTTCCGTCTTCCCGCCCTCCTTGATGGTGAGGGGATGCAATGTGGGAGACGGCGCCGTCCGCCTTGAGCCGATCGAAAGTTGTCTAGAGCCGCTTGGGCACCATATCCTACACGAACTGCGGCTTTCAGCCCGAAAGAGGCGCGGCTCAACCGCCTAGCCTATTACTACATGCCCCAACGACTTCATCCAGGCCCGGGAGACCAGCCCGTTTGCCTTTCCACGTGTATTGGGGCCCAAGTGATGTTACAAGGTGCACCGTGCCATGCACTATCCGTCAAAGAAACGCGGGGTAAGTGGCTGGCATCACCTATAACGTTACCACACGTTGTTTGCGAGGACCACCTGTAACCTCCATCCCCCCAGAGCTCCTGTCGCTACACCCATGGTAGTGTTAACCTTTTCTCCTCGCATAGCAAACATCCTGCAGTTTGGGCATAGCGCACTCTTGGGACTACGTACAGTGCCTTATAAGTTGTCGATTTCTTTGGTCCCAATACAGACTGGTCGTCGCTTAATCAACTGATGAACCCCCCTGCTCACCGGTCAATCTGGGCTTGCAGATATAGCCGGCCTTGTGGAACTCCACGTGTTACCGGGAACCGGGTCCATATGCACGCCGCCTTCACCGGTATCTCAATCCACGTTTGCATATCATCGCTTTCGCCAAACCACCACGCATCTGCTCCGCAACCCATCCCCCGGGTACCTACCGGGCCCGGCTCGGACAAATCACCCCAGACGGTGCGAAGGATGACGACGGGACCCCTCTGGGGGCTACAGTGTATTGTACTCGATCATCAGGCGCCACCTGAGCGACCCAAGAGCTGGCGAGTTCAAGGTAGTTACCGCGCAGAAACGTGAAAGTATGGCACCAACATGATCGCCCAGGCTGACGACTAGGCTCTGAGGCGTTTGACTTTCTCGTTCATTTATCTTTGTCTACTTCCTTCAGAACGCTCGTATCCACCAGTGTTGCAGGGCAACTGATCCGAGAGTTATGGTTGGCACTGTCTCTGCCATGCACCATGCATGGTTCGACGGGGACTTGCCGAGTTGGGACAAAACTTAACTAGATACTTACCATGTCCGACTGCGTATCTTGTCAGCTAGGTTCTCTTGGACGGAGGCTTTGCGGCCGTGGAACTGAAGATAGAGTGGATTTCGGCGCTGGCATCATACCATCAGGGGCGCGAGCTGTTTTATAGCTCCTGCTCGAGGCATCCCCTTCTTACCTGGCAAGTCGCTAAACCGTTCAGTTCGCTGACCAAACTGTCCCGTGCAGATGCATATCCAAAGACCATACCATATAGGTACCTTGGCAGTCGTGCTTCCCTGTCAGCCTAGTTCCCCGTTTCGTGGATTCGAGCCGAGCCGACGGTGGTGGCACCATGCTGCTACGAGCTGCGGTACCCGAGTCGAGTGATAGGAATCTGAAGGGGTGCGCACTGTGTGTTGCGAGCGACAGCACTGGCAAACCTGAGGAAAGGACCTGGCCGCATGAGCTACACCTAGTCCCCATATCCCTCGGCATCTCCTGAGAGGTCCGATGGCGCTCCCAAGGCCGGTTTGTCTCGCTTGTGCATGTATGTACGATACATGGAATACAGTATCATACCCTTTTCTGGCGCGTTCCAGATGCCGACAGTCCAGCTCGAGGAGACGGAATCCGTATGTTACCGCAGCACGTTTGCACAAACGGGCGTGCCTTCCCGGGCGCATGTACAAATGCATATACGGATCCTGCATAAACCATGGGAGTAGCAGTTACACCAAGGAGCAATGGCTACTGACCAAGTTAGTAGGTACGAATACCCCGACATAATATGCGCAATGTGGAGAGCTCCTGCCTTGCCTGGTGCTTCCTTACAGCAAGCCCACCAGCAGTCGGTAACGTTACTGGACTGCTAAGCATGGTCGGAAAATGGGCCAAAATGGCAGCAGCCTTCGCGCTTGAGCAAGCATTATTCACGTTCAAGCGGAATCCCGGCCGTCTCAGCTAGGTCGGTGCCGAACGAGTCCCTCGCGGAATTCTCCGTTCCCTTCTCGGCGCATGTTTGATCTCCGGCCTGCCCACTCGTTGGCGTCGATGCCCGCGACCGATCACGGATTTCGGACTATGCCATGGGAAGGAATACAATAGGCCAATCAGACGGTGTTGGGTACCATCTCTCGCGAGACCTTCCAACAACAAAGGAGAGGAAACAAGTCTTGTTATGCATCCGATTCGCCGTTTGGTATCAAACCAGGGCAACGATTCTGTCGTGTTGAATGGCGACGGCAGGATCTCGCGATATCATCACCGCCATCGCCTTCGGATCACAAACGTCAAGATACCGAAGTGGTTGAAGGGTACGTTGTAATCGGTGAGTTGGAGCCTTGAGAGATGTTTCCATGCGATTCAAGGGCAGCCAGACGGGAATCGCTTCGCGTCGCTTCGCTTCTTTCAAAAAATCCGGGCACGCGCGTCTTATTAGTTATGCTAGCCAAGTCGGCTATGTGCTGGTCTAACAAACAGATTGCATCTCGCTAGCAATTGGAGAACTGCTTGGAACGGACAATTCAAGCTCTTACGGCCGGCGTCTAACTTGTGCTGGTGCAACTCGAGTGCAGTTTGCCCGGAAGCGCTGCTTGTCAGTCGCCTTTTGGTCTTGATGCGTTGCTTTGTCGGCAGTTTCCGCCATGGAACTCAACTCGTCGTCTATCCACGACGTCATCCACCCGACCGCCGCCTTCTCGCAGACCCGCTCTTCCCCCAGACAAGCCCCTGCCAGGGGTACCTCTTGGCTCCAGTCTCAGCTCAACCCGAAGAACCGAATCGACAGCCTCGATCCTCCGCTAAACCCGCTGTGGAGGATTGATGGTTGCACTGGTCTCGGCACTCAATACTACGTCCTGCCGCTCTTCGTGGGGGACATCCCGCCGATGCGCTTCGATGTATTCATACCCGAAGAGGCTGCTGCTGATCCGCTTCTCCGTGAGCTGCTGGATTTGAATGCCGCCTTCCACACAAAGGATGCCGCCGCTGTCCGCCGACTCGGCATTTCCAGCCATGTGCTGCGCACGCTGCAGGCATGGACGGTAGAAAGAGGCGAACATCATGGGACCTCGGTAGCAGCCATGTACACAAACCTGCCCTTTGGGTCGCGCATCATCTTTGAAAACCTGGACATGGACATCCGGAAAATCAAAATCACCATTGCACCCACTTACTACGTGGAGAAGCAACTGCTGGCGCTAGCAAGGCTAGAAAAGAGCCTCGGCGTCGCCCCTGAGCTGCTCCCTGAGGCCATTGATATATCACGCTTAAGCATTGTCCAGCAGCTGCACGACAGCGTGTGCGTGGTCCGCTTCCACACGAGCCCGGCAGCCAGCGTGGGCGGAAGCCGTAAGCAAGCGGACGGCAAGCTGTGGATTCTCAAGGCTCTGACCAGCGGCACTAAGTACTTGTACGCCGAGTTGCGGAATCTGCTGCGCATGGAACCGCACCCCCATGTCATTTCACGGCCCGAATATCTGGTCACCAAGTACTGCCGGTTCGGCGGCAAGACGGCCGTGGTTGGATTTATTTTGCCGTACCACACCGGGGGAAGCCTTCGAGATGCGCTGCCGCTGCTGCGAATACAGGGCCGCCTCACGCTGCAGACGCGGCTGAAATGGGCTACGCAGCTTAGCTCTGCCATGCTGCACGTCCGCGAGAGCGGCCGCATCTTCTACCCAGACCTGCGGTTGGACAACATTGTCCTCACGGCCGCCGGCGACGCCATCATGGTGGATTTTGAGCAGCGCGGCGTATGGTGCGAGTTTGCCGCCCCCGAGGTCAACGCGCTCGAGTACGTCCGCATCCTGGCGAGCGACGGCCCGATTGACGGCGACGGCGACGGCGACGGCGATACACAAGAGACTTGTATTCCCCGTGAAGCACGCGAGCATTTTGCCGCCATCCTCCACCGGCTCCTCCCGGGCTGGGAAGCGCTGCAAGACGCCGAGGAGTACTCGCTGCCGCTCCCGCACGGCCACGCGAGCTACAACATTCCCTGGCTGTGCCTGGACGAGACGGAACAGGAGGCGGCCGAGGTGTTCATGCTCGGCCGGGTCCTGTGGTGCATCTTTGAGGGCCAGAGCGCCCCGCAGCGCGCCGCCGTGTGGCAGTCGTACTGCCGCGAGCCGGACATTGAGTTCCCAGAGTTCCGCAGCACGCCCCCCGCGCTCAGGTCGCTCATTGATCGCTGCACGCGGGGCAGGCGCCAGCCGCTGTCCAGCTTGGTCACGCGGCAGGGAAGCAAACTGGTTCTGCGGCGGCGGCAGCAGCAGCAGAAGCATAGAGAAGGTGACGGAAGTCCAGAGGAGGTTGTCGAAGCGGCCAGGGCGTGGTGGAGGCGAGAGGTGGCTGTCGCGGAGGAATATCTGGAGATGAGGGAGGAGAGGAAGAGGCGTGGGCAGTGGGTCGGAAATTACTTTGGGCGGCCGACGCTCAAGGAAGTTTTGTGCGAGCTGGACCAGTTCGCCCAAGAAATGGGCAACTCTGATCTGGTTGGCAAGCACTGAGCCTGCAACTTTTCGATGATATGGAGGGGTAAACAGGAGCCATATCGGATGCGGATATTCCCCGGTTGCACTCGAGCTCGATATATCGATGATCATCTGCTTCAAAATGCGGAAGAGGTAAATCTTACTCACGGCTCGCATCTTCCTGCTCCGAAACCAAGAGAAACTCAGAACCATGGGTGTGTTTGCATTGTACGCTATTCAACCTAGCTACAGCTGATGAAGCCCACTATCAAGGAGAGACTGTCTGAGTGCCCGCTCCGAAAGGGTGTGCCCCTGTTTTTGGATAGGTTAATTATTATGCCTATTAAGGTACCAAAGGGGTGGTACAGGACTCCGGTGATGGTATAAGGCTGGCGTCAGACCTTCTAAGACAATTCTATGTACCGTACAGAAAGTCTCAACACACTGAAGGGATAATTTTTGGGGGTTTCCGTGGATTCTGCCCGTTGGCTGGCTTGATTAGGTCTGCACAGGGGACCAGCCCTGCGCCTCAACCTGCTTCTCGCTCACTCCCCTCTAGCTATCACATCTCCAAACCTCAAGCTCCTCGAGCTCTTTTCTTGGAGCTACCGGATCCCTGGTCGCCGCTCTGAGAGCCCGGCCGCTTCGAACCCCTGCTAGTGCCCCTGCCACGAGCGCCCCTTGCGCTCTGGCTGCCGCGCCTAGCGGCGCTCGCCGGTGTCTCTGGCGTAAGGAACTGCACCGCGGTTGAACTTCCGGTGCCAGGATCTCGAGAAGGCGCTGGTGGGTCGGCCAGGGGAGGAGGGGTTTTCCCACTCCGGGGTAAGCCGCTGCCGCTTGCGGCACTTCCGCCTTCGGTTTTGTGGCCGCGCATGCGGGTGACCAAGTCGCGCATGTTGGCTACATAGGTGGGCGGGGCACCGTAAACGCCAATGGTGTCCATGATGCCTTCGAGTTCCTCGACAAACTGGCTCTGGTCAACAAGGGGCTCTAGGGCGGAATAGACAAAGCCACTGTCCTGGCTTCCAACCAAGCGCGAGTACAGGGGTCGATTGCCGACGACCGCCTTGAGGATGCTCACGAGTGACTGTGCTGCTGACGAACGGGCCCACCCGATAAGGGGGTCAGAACGGCGGCAGATGAGCTTTTCAATCTTTCTCACACAGTTTTGGATCTGCGTGGCGGCCCAGGTAACATCTCGAGGACCTTCTACCGCTTTTTCTTGTCTGAGGTCTTGAGCAGTTATGCCTGGGGCTTGGACAGCCAACGAGTATTCATCGATGATACGGGCCACGCGCTGCTGGATATTTCGAAACGGGTCGACAGCCGCATCGAGGGGACTTAGTTGAGATCGGACCCACTCTGCAAGGGAGTGTGAAGCGAGCATAAGTGAGAATAGACTTGCTTCGAGGTCGCCACGGCGGATCAACGTCGCGGTGTTATACGTTGACTCGAGGTCGGGTCGGAAACCGTCGGTCTCCCAGGGCTGGAATCCGGCCACGGCGGCGACCATTTCTCGAGCTTCTCTGATACGAGCACGATTCGGAGGGGATGTGTCACTATCGGGGTCCGACATGTCGCAATGTAAGCCATCGGCTAGGATATCGAGCCGAATTTGCGAGATTTGTTCAAAGGGATCGCCAAGTTCTTCGGGGAATCCAAACTCTGTCAACGTGAGCTCCGAGTCGGGATCGTGGTCGTACAACGCTTGCTTCGAGATCTTGTCAAAAAGCCAGATGAGATGTTTGCACGGTCTGACATGTCGATCCCTAGCGTCTGGACACTCGCAGCGGGGCGTTGAGAAGCGGCCGCTGTTTCGGGCGCCAATCCTCACGGAGCAGGGCACAACTTCGTGCATCTGAAAGGCATAGAAGCGCCCCGTCTCCTCGGGATCTCCTTCTCTTATGCCGCACAGCTCCAGTGAAATTTGCGGCGGTTCCTGGGCCGGCGCTTGGTTGAAAAGCCCCCTGACAACTTGGCGAGTCTGGGGGGAGAGTCGTGAGATGTTGTACTTGAGCCCCGTTGGCGACGAGACAATGTCTGTCTCGTCATCATCGTCGTCCGCTTCTGCTTCCCATTCACTCGGGTCCGAAGGTGAATCGGGCTCTGGAGCCGAGGGACTGGTGTGAACTGACTGCATCCGGCTACGGTCCCGGTGGACAGGCGAACCGGTCTCTAGAGAAAGCTTGCTCATCCCAGTAGTAGGGGACAGAGACATTGACGCCCGGAAGGAAAGAAGGCAGAATGGGGTATACGAGGTCTTGATGGAAAGAAAACAACCAGGGGACACGCGGGCTGGGAGAAACAGGCACCCCGGTGAAATCGGGGTAAAGAAGATGCGAGTACCTAAGCGTCTTTATATGACTGAAACGGCCGCCCGGGTGCCGGCAATGGGGCTCGGCCCGGGTCTCTGGCCAGCCTAACTCGCTGGGCAAGGACGGGGGTGAATCATGGCAGGGCAGACGCACTGTTGGCCAACGGCCTCGTGGGGCCCCTGAAGAGACACACAGAAGATGTACAATGCTCAGGGATGACCTGGCCGCTTGACCGGCACGATCCGCAGAAAGTTTAATACGGCCCCGGCCATGGCCCTGAGCCTGTCTTTCCTTTCTTGTGCCGAAAACTCGGAGAAGGTAGGAGGTACCTATCTTTGACGGGAGCCCCTATTATGTGTTGGAGCAACATGAATGGCTACCTGCACGCCTTCTGATTGCAAGAAGCTAGGCAACCCCCTGACTGCAGCCTGGAGAGCAGCGTGACGCAAGGTGGAAAGGAGAAGCTGAATGCGTAAGTGATTCCAACGACGGCGCAGCGATTGGACGTAGGAGAAGTGACGGCTGTGGTGAGTCCCAACAATCTTTGCTTGCTGGTTCTCCTCGAACCCACACAACCTAGAACGCCCGGTAGTGCGCGCTACTGGATTACATCAGACTGGTTTGGCCGTTGCTGAGGACACAGTGACGGATGTGGACACCGTCGAACTTGACCCTGCCACCCTGGCATTGCCAGTTTAACACGGTACAGGATGCTGAGGAAGGGAGGACCTAATGAGACGAGGGCTGGAATGGAGAGATGACAGGTTTGCGCGTCGCGAAACCAGGAACCTGGAAGGTGCGGGACAGTCCAAACGTCGGTCTCAGTTACTACGACTGAGCATCCATTGGGGTGTCGCCGGTCGCAATGGAAGGAACTACACGTAACCTATCCGTATTGGGGAGGCCGCTTTGGCTGTACTGTGCTCCTTTTGCCTGCAGTGGTGAACCGACCTGGAAATGAGGTTGAAGATCGCGGTTCCGCTGTTGCAAGACCGTGCACAAACGTCACGCTCAGCCAGGCCCGTTTTGCAGGCCAGCCCAGCCACTTCAGCCACTGTTCTAGGCGCTCCGATTGGCTTGTGGTAGATCAGCCCTGCAGCCCGCTCTTGGACGTCGGTTGCTTCTTTACCCCCCATGCTCCATTCGGTCTTGTCCTACCTTGCACCATCTGACGTCCGTTATAAAAGGGGTGGACATGGCCGCTGTCTCTGCGGCCAGTGTTGCCGGGCTCTCATGAGTGTGGTGCAGGTCAAATCGCATCCGGCCCTCTTTCTCCTCGACTTTGCTTCGCCCGGCCCACCATGGCCGCGAAAATGGGCCTCCCATCCAATCTTTCCAGCTACGTCGCACCGAAGCGGTACGCTTTGGCTCCCTGACCGTTGCCGGCTCGTTTACCCTACGAATTGGGTCGAGCGCAGAACATTCCAGTCAAGTGACAACCGTCGCAACTGCTTACCCTCCACGATCTTGCGAAGCTTTCGCATTCACTTTGCGCTTCGCCTGGGTTGGGCTACGATTAATTAGCAAAATAGGTTGCTCAAGAGGCACGCGATTGTCCTCGCACCTCTTCTGCTTCCTGAAGTGTCTATCTCGAGTACTAACCAATCCGCATAAACCTGCTCTAGGCGCTGAGCTCCACCCCCGGTCGAGCTCCCACCGGCCACAGTTGCACACCGGCCTTGTATCACACTCGCTTATCGCGTCTATAACCAACATAGGCGGCCGTTTCCTGGGACAATTGCCAACAGCCGGTTCCCCGGTAGCTTGCCTTGCGAGGCTGTAACCTTGTTGGGTCTCTCCGGGACGGGCGAGCATTGTGTTTGCCCAATCACACGTTATTTGGAGCCATTACCGAGCATAACCCCCTTTTATCCGCTCCGTCAGGGGAGAAAGTTGTTTGCGCCGCCAAATCTTTCCGGGGAAGAGCAACTCATTGGGCACTCTCGGTTGGCAAATGAGGTTCCTGCTGTGCTATGCTAACCCCCAGAATGTGTGCTCTCGGCGGTGCCGAGCATTACTCCTTAGCGACTGCGCTTACTCTGTTTACGTATGTTGTCAACCATTTCCAGGGACACACTTACCAAATCACACATCGCAGACAGTTGCATGCTGAACACCAGGCGAATTGCGGATAGAGAGGTCCTGCTATTCGGACTGTTCGGGCCATGTCCTACAGTGTCAGGACTTCTAATCGGCTTGATGTCCAAGGAGTTACATTGTTGACAAGACATCAGTCGCGGGTAACGGGTCTCACTGCGTCTTCGAAACGCGTGGGCCGACTAGACATCTTGTATCTATCCTATGCTATCGTTTGCCGAGAATCGCTATGTGATAGCAGGACGCTCACTCATCAAACGGAGGTACACATCGCTATATCCATAAGACTTGAATCATCACAGCTACACCGTAACCCCGTTGCTCGTTGGATGCTGGCAATAATTCAGCCTCGCGGCCTCATGCATGAGGATGAATGCTAATAGGCTGGAGCAGCGAGGCTAGATCGGCCGCGCTTATGATCCAATCCGGCTGTCCGGCTGTTCACGGGGCCGTCCCGGGGGAACGGTACCGGAGCCCCACTGCGTACAAGGGGGCCAGCGCGGCGGTGCAAAGGCCCAATCGCAGTCACGGCAGCCCCACACATCTGCGGCCGAGAACTGCACCGCCCAGTTCCGTCTCCGTGGGGAAGCTCTTCTAGAGCTCTATGATTCCGCTCACCCGCCTCAATTGTGATACCTGAGATCCGTGCATGTATTGTACAATACACTACCATTCTGGAATCTGACCACAGAGAGAGAGCTATCCCTTCTCGGAAACACACTCTCTTCGCATTACTAGCATCGCCTCGTTTATATGTACGAAGGAATTTGCCCGGCAGCCCGATTTTGTAGCGTCCCCGTCCCACCATGCCGCCTAGATTTTAGCCCGGCACCGCCCTGTCCACATACACTATTCCCTCCCACTCACATGACCTAGCGACAGTCGATGTGCCGGCATATCCAGATGCGCATTGGTGGCCGGGACAATCCCCAATCGTGTCCTTCCGGGCGTCGCCGGTCTTGTAAAGAAGCAGAAACACAGCCTCTGCTCCAGACCCAACATGCATGTTGCGCGCTTTTTGCCTTGGGTATCCTCAGCAAAGGAGAAGAATTGATGCCCAACCTTTCTCTGCCAGCAACACGCGCAACTGTCACTGATCGCTCGGAGCCGGCCTGTCAAGCATCGATTACTCATGTCTTCCCTCTATCATAAGGTACCCATTCATCCGGCAGGCAGGCGGGCAGGCAGCATTGCGTTTCCGGCTTTGCGTGCGCACCGACTCAATCTCACAACCACATTCCCGTTACAGAAGCGGTAATCTGTTTGGCTAGATGGCCGAGATACAGCTGTGGTTTCTCATTTGCACTCGGCGCAATCAGGTTAACTCCCGGGCGTAGCTAGGTAATTAGCGGGTACGGATTTGGCGACCAGAACATTTGGGAATACTCGGGTAAGTAGAGTGTACTTCTGTTGTTATGTAGGCACCTCGCACCCATAGGAGGAAAGTTCCTTCTGACGATCAGATTGAGACTCTGACTCGAACGAGCTACCGCACAGCCATTCGAGAACAATGCTTGGCCATTGCTGGGCGTTGTTTTGCTTGTGTTGCCAGGAAAACATGGAAAGAAGTTTACATTGTAGAACGCACACGTAGTGACGTAAACACAAAGGGGTAAAAAGGGGAAGGTTAGGAGCTCGTTGCACTCAAGCAAGAATTGAGAAACCCTCAAATCCAACCCCAAGTCGCTTATATAACACGGACAATCCAGTCACTGTACTATTCACTGCATCAATTACGAGGAAGCAAAATATCGAAAAGGTGCTTGAGAAGGATATATTCCTCAATAGGCCAAACACGTCAAAAGATGCAGTGTAATCAAACACGATAGCCTCAACACCTCCACACACAGCCGCGCCATCTCGGAGAGTCTCCTCCCTCCTTTCCTAACTGGAACCCCCTTCGAGTCCTTCGGCACCATCCATATCCACCAGAAGGTCCAGAAGGGGCACCATAACGCCACATATACCCTCATAACAAGAACAAGAAAACCCCATCCCTTTCGGCCCCCTTGTTGCTCGCCTCGACACACCTCCCCTCATCACCTCACCACGAACCACGTCAGGGGCGACAAGAGCCCAGAGGCAACAGGAACGCTCGTAAGATACATGAAGAAATCATACCACAGGGGGCCATGGGGGGGGAGGGGGTTATGAAACGGTGGTATGCATGTATGATGATTCCTGCCGGAAGATGAAATGCATGCTCCATATACCTACAACGAACATAATGATCTCAGCGTTGCCACCAGCTCGACCGCTTGACAAGCACGAAACAAGGTAAGAGGGGAAGCAGAAAAGCCAAAGCATTTTCCGATTACTCTCTATCTCTCTCGAGCCGGTTCCGAGAGTGAGAGGATATGATCGAGACTCCCATCGCATCCATGCCCCATCCAATCCAGTGCCCAGGCCCCATTCTTCTTCGCAAACGCCAGGCATGCATGCACAGCACGAACAAAACATGGCTTTGTAGTATCCGGGGGATGCAGAACCCTTGTGTTGTTCCTCGCCCAAATCCAGAATTGAAACCCTGTTTTCATATCGTCATCAAGTCAACATCTGAAATGTCGTGAGGTTATTTATCGCCCCGTAATTATGAGCTGATACACTGGCCCCTGTCCTTTTCGAGAGCAATGATAGTTTGCCTATTGCATCCCGCTGATCTTGCGTACTGCGGCGGAGGTCGGCGTTGTGCCGCTAACGCTGCCCACGCGCCCGCTGGTCTTCCGGACGCCTGCTTCCCGCACGCTGCCGCCAGCGGCGGCGCGTTTGGGGCTGCTGCTTCCCCGGACCTTGGTCAACACCCCAGACGCGGAGCTCGCTCGCTGTACTTGATCATAGGACTTTGTCCGTGCCGCTGCCGTGCCAATGTTTTCGATGTCGTGGGAGGCGTCATTGTCAATGACCTGGTAGATGGTTGTTGTCGTGGTAGTCGTCTGGTGGCTGACAGACCGTTCTCGGGAATCCGGCGAGAGCGAAGCGGAAGCCTTCCGATGCGCCCGCATCCGGATATTCCACTCTTCATCCGACTCATTGCCCTGAGACGTACGCTGCATCGAGATCTCTGTCCGCGTCTCCTGCTCAACAACACACTCCTCCTCAACCGTCTGCACAGCACTGCCGCTCCGGTTGTAAGGATGGTGGCGGTCCACTGCACTGCGGTGCGTCTTTCGCGGCTGCCCTGGCGTGGGCGCTGGGAGGTAGTCTTCTTGCACTCCAATGTTGTTATCACGGGTGTGGTCACGGTCTACCTCGCCCAGCGGTGTCCTGGCAGATCCTCTGTTGGGAGGCGTTGACGTCCCGTTCTTACTGGTGCTGCGCCCAAGGTTCGATTTTTGCATGGCACGGATGGGCGTGCTGGGTTGGTGGCCCGCGCCGTTCGCTTGGGCAGCAGCTGCGAGAGCAGCCTCCTTGCGCAATTTCCTCTCCAGACGCTCCTCAATCCACCACTCGCGGAATGTACCCTGGTTAAGGTGCAGCCAGTGCTGCTGCGGGCCGACGACCATGCCGGGACGCATGAAGCGCATGTAGGCAATGATCTCGTTGGCGGTAAAGCCGTGCCGGTAGATCAGATAGGCGCCAATCAAGCAGCCGGTACGACCTAGCCCGGCCTTGCAGTGCACCGCAATCCCCTTCTTCTTGACTGTTATCATTTCGTGCGCCATCCGGATGAACTTTCGAACCATGGACAGGGGCGGGCAGGTCCCGTCCTCGAAAATCATATCCATGTGTTGGATGCCCAGCGCCTCGAAGTAGGAGGCATCGTAGAGGACAGAGTTGAGCCGCACCACGAGGCCAATATTCCTCTCGGTGAAATGGCGCAGGACATTCTTGAACGGCTGGTTGAGCGTCGGATGGGCATCCACGGCAGCCAGCGACTTGGGCAAAGCGTGCCAAGCGTCACTCCCTGGGGGGGTACGATCAGAAGGTGTGCTCTGTGGGGAGGCGAAGGCCAGAAAGTTGGGCGTAATCCAGTTGAAATCACCCTGTTCGACGCGCTCAAAGCGCTCGTACTCGTCGAGATCAAACGTCTCCAAAACGCAGCAGCCCTCTTCCTTGGCCTTCCAAACTCCGTAGACGACGTCCTGCACGGTGATGCCGTAGTCGGCTTGACTATAGCCAGCGTCTCTGAACGGCATCAGCGGAGGATCGACCTGAGCGACGGGTGCGAGGGCCAGGTGAGGCGGCCAGGACTGGATGAGAACCATATAGCACGCCAACAAGCATGAGGCATTGGCGCGACCTGGGTAGTGGGTTGTCAGCAAAAGCACGTCGGAAAAATACGCTGGCAACTGAGGGGGGCACAACATACTTCGCGCGTCTGCCCGACTCCAAAAGACAATTGGCCTGTCCTTGTTCTCCTTTGCGCCTAGAATCTCGTGAAATTGAAGGGCAAAGCGATAGAGGTGGCCGATATGCAGCGGACCAAAGTCGTGGTGGAAGGCATTGTAGAGGAGCGTGTCGTCTACGGTAAAGTAGTAGGGCTGCTTTTGGTTGGATACGCTCTGAGCGGGCGACGGCCCATCGACGGCCCTCTGTGACCTCTTGCTTGGGGACCGCGGAGGCGGATCGGGGTAAGGAAAGATGGTGTTGGCATCGGGCGGTTGCAGATACGACGCGAGATACAGGCGGTCTGTGGCAGTCCGCATACGGATCAGTAATGGTCATTAGGGTGGACGAGACGTCATTGAGCGTCGAGTGCAGCCGATGCGACCGAATCAAGGCAGGGCAGGGACGCACCTGGAATGTACTCAATAACCTGACCCAGATTACTGGAGTAGCGTGAGGAAGTCGCCATGCCGTTGTGGCCCCGCGTCTTTGGGACCTGGTAAAGCGGCTGAAGGAAGTGTCGATGCGCCCGTGGCTCTTCGAAATTCTGCCACAAGTATGCGCCGACCAATCCCCAGTCAAACTCGGAACACTAAATGCGTTCTCTTCGTTTTAACGCTCAGTCAGGTCCAGCGGTGGGCAAGGAGCGGTTGGAGCTAGGTAGCGTAGACACGCGACGACTCTGACGATGCGTAGTTATGAGATGCTAAAATGTCAACAATGGGCGGTGTGCGGAAAGCTATTCAGGCCAGAGTCACCAAGATGGCGGACTGCGACAATGACGGGATGGATGCAACTGGGAAGGAGAGCATCTGGGTGTGCATTTTGCAGCAGCCGACTTTTGTAACGGTTTCCCGAATGTTTGGATTCTTGGGTGTTGTTATTGCCTGGCCTGTCAATCTGCCAGGGTGCCCTGGGCCGCTGAGGGCCCCCGGGCCAATCAATGCTGCGCTCCCTATTTTTGGGGCCTTGTCGCCATAGCAACGCCGACAGGCAGGGGTCCTTCAGTGAGGCAAGGGCCAAAAGCTGCATTGACTGCCTTATCTTATCGGGCACAATTGCCCCACCATCTGCTTGTTCAGTAGAGACCTGGGGGGTTGCAACAATTCTCCTAGACAACCGTCAACCAAAGACAACCTTGAGTGAGCCAGGCTCGTTACCAATATTGTTGCTGCCAGCGCAGAGCGCAGCTATGGCGACCGATGCGACAGCTGGGCTTCCTTGCGAACTGTATGTTGCAGCACTCATCTAGGGCCAGGCAATGCAAAGCCGAATGCGCTCATGATCTATCCCGCTAACCACTCCCTTTACCCCACACAGCACACTCGACATCCCCTTCCCCGATGCGCGCCTCGCCTCCGTCGCTCTCAATGCCATCCGGGTTGACAAAGAACTCTCATTGTTGGTAAAACGAGACCTCTCAGTCATTCCCGCCGACGGATCCTCGGACCAAAGCGTCCTTCGAGTCGAGTATAAGGCTGCCACGAACCGCATGCTCCGAGTCGCTGTCAACTCTTTCCTTGACAGCCTGGCATTGGTATTGGAAGTTATGGAGGAGTTGGATGTAGATGTTGTCGAGGCCCGGCAGAAAGAAAACAGCGGATGAGATTATTATCGTCGAACCGAGCGCAGTGTGCAGTCATGATGTCGGCTCTCTAGACTCCCTGTCGCGACGCCAGCCGTTTGATCCCATTCGATTCTACGAAGAGCCTGGAGAGATGATGCAGCGCTATGCTGAACTTCGGTGAAAGGGTATATGGGAGAAAGCTGGCCATGTCCAGCGTATTGCATAAACGACCACCCGTCAATGCACGACAGTCCCTTGCGGGCCCATCCCATGACAGCTTCTCAGTCCGTCTCCCGCAGCTACGAAGATGGTTTATCCCATCCAATCATCATAACTGTTCCTCCTTGACATGCTGCCCTGGTGACTCCGCGTCAGCCTCAACTTGGCGCTGCAGTTCCGCATCCGCCGCCGCATTGTCTGGTGCGGCAGCGTTCTCCTGGCCGTTGACCCCATTCACCCCGTTCGGAATACCATTCCCCTTAGCGACGCCCTTCGGTCGGTGCCGAAACACCTTGATAATGCCATCCTGCCCGGCACTCACCATTGTCGCACCGTGAACGTCAACCCAAAAGCACACGCCTGTGTGGGCACCCGCAATCCGCTGGACCACCGCTTTACTGCCAACGTCCCACATGACAATATCACCGTCCTCGCTAGCCGACGCTATAAAGGCCTGGCGCCTCATAACAGTGCCATCTGCCTCCTTCTCGGCGGTTCCGTCGTCGATGTCTGTAAGGACACCAAAACACCCACCCACGGAGAACGCCTTGTTCGTGTGTCCCTGATATGTCTTCTTAACCAATCCCGAGACATAATCCCATAGCCTAATAGAGTTGTCGAGGCTGAAAGCCAGCACAAAGCGGCCGTTCGGGCTGAAGCATACGTTGGTGACGGCCGGGTTGTCCTCGTGCACCAGGGTGCGCAGGCACTGACCAGTCGAGGTGTCCCAGATGCGGCTGCGGAAGGGGGAAACGTCAGCCACGGTAGCGCCAGGATAGGATTACCAGCAAGTAGATACCACTCACATCAGGCCATCTGTAGAGCAACTCACCACCAGCGTCCCGTCCCTGCAAAAGTCAATCCCACTTACGGGATCGCTGTGCGCGGGCAGACTTCTCATCAGCCGACCCGCCCTCACGTCCCAGAGAAACACGGCCTCATCATAGCTTCCACTGGCGAGGATATTCCCCTTTGGCGAAAAGGCAAGACAGTAGACATAATTATGATGTCCCAGCAACGGGCCCCGTCCGGTCCTGCCTCCCCTGGCTCCGCCCGCAGTCCCGTTTCGTCCGCCTGTCCCCCTCCCTCTCCCCGTCCCTGTCCCTCTCCCGCCAACCCCCCTCCCGCCAGCCCCAACCCCATTATTCCCAACCACGTCACCGCTCCCGCCGACAGGGCCGCCCATGACGGCATGCGCGGGGCTGCCCGTGACGCGGTCCCAGAGCCGGATCGACTTGTCGTCGGACCCCGTGGCCAGCGTGTCGCTGTCGGGCGCCCAGGCCACGCACGACAGGCCCGCCATGTGGCCGACCAGCGTGTCGAGGTGGGCGCCCGTGCGCGCGTCCCAGATCTTGGCCGTGCCGTCGGCCGACGCCGACGCGATCCACCGCCCGTCCGGGGAAATGCGCACCTGCGAGACGGCGGCCGCGTGGCCCTGCAGGCCTAGGTGCGGATGGTAGCTGGGGAGGATAGGCGCGCGGTCGCTGCGATTACGGCGGGAGTGGTGATGGTGATGGTGGGTTTGGGCGGTGGTTGTTCCTGGGTGATGGCGGCGACGGGAGGAGGAGGAGGAGGACAAGCTGCTGCTCAGGCTCCTGCTCCTGCTGCTGCTCCTGCTGCTGCTTCTGCTTCGAGTCGGGGTACGGCTGTGGGAGAGGGAGCGGGAGTACGAGGCGCTTCGGGACCGCGACTGTGAGCGTAGTCGGGATCGGGAGCGGCGTCTTGAGCTGGAGCTGCGAGAGTCGGACGTCAACCGGGAGCGGTATCGTCTTCTGCTGCTGCTGTTGTTGTTGTCGTCGTCCTCGTCGTGCCCATCGTCCACTGGTGAACCTGAATCCCTACTTCTGCTGCGGGAACGGCTTCTCGGCCGGCCGCGCCGGATGGAGAGGCTCTGGTCCGGAAGGCGTCCCGCGGGCGGTGGGGAGCTGTGTCGCGCCCCATCGGGCGTTCCGTAACGCGGCGTCGAATCCAGACTGTCATCGTGCACCCGACGGCGTTTTGGCGGCGGACCTAACGTTGGCGTTCCCGCAGCTGAGTCGAGATCCGACATTTTCAAACCTTGTGGGTTGTGTGGTGTGCTTGAGTGATGAAGCGCAGTTAGGCGCAGTTGGAAATGCCTGCCGGAAAAGTTAATGGATCGTCGGCGCTGGAACGTCACCTAAACGTTATCAGTTTCAGGGGCCCACATGTCCCTTTTGTTCACTCACCAGCCGATTGGCCAATCAGAAGCGGCACCGGCTGAGCATCTCTCCGCTGATGCAAGAGCCGAAGAGCTAAGATCGACCGTTGATAGTTCCGCTGCTTCCGCCTGTCAACACCACATGAGATGACCCGATGTTAAGTTGTTCCCGGATTCATTCAAGTCGGATGGTTCAAGATGCATTTACTGGACCAGCACCGCAACTTAGCCAGATGTCACGATAATATCATTTCTTAGGATCTCTGAATGAACGTTACCTTGAGCAGGACATCGCTCACGCCACTCTTTTGATGTCTGAACGCTCGGTCTAAAAGCGCCCCGAAAGTAGATCGCAATCTCATGCTTGGCAATAACTCAGGTTCTTGAAGTCGCCCTTCTTGCTCAACGACCCGTCGGATTGAACAAGAGTTGGTTACCTGACCAAAGGGCCAGCAAGATGGACGGAATTCCAGGCGAAATCAATCTTGTCACGCTCAATTGCTGGGGCCTCAAGTACATTGCGAAGCTGCGGCGAGAGCGGTTGACCGAGATTGGAAGGCAGCTCGCCGTCGCCAGTCCGCAGCCGCACATAGTTGCGCTACAGGAATGCTTCACCCAGGAGGACTACACGAGCATCCGCCGCGAAACACGCTTCATCCTGCCCTATGGCAAGTTCTACCACAGTGCCGCCTTTGGTGGCGGCCTGGCCATCCTGTCGCGGTGGCCCATCGAGGAGAGCACCATGTACCGCTACCCGCTCAACGGCCGTCCGACGGCCTTTTGGCGCGGTGACTGGTTCGTTGGGAAAGGCGTTGCCTGCGCCAAGATCCGGTACGGACCGGGTATGAAGGACGTGATCGAAGTTTTCAATACTCACACTCACGCCCCCTACGAAGGCGGGAGGCCCGACGACTCGTACCTCTGCCACCGCATCGCACAATCCTGGGAGATGGCCAAGCTGCTTCGCGGTGCTGCAGAGCGAGGCCATCTAGTGGTTGCGCTGGGCGACTTCAACATGATCCCCATGTCGCTGGAGCATCGGCTCATCACGGCTCTTGCCCCTGTTCGGGACACTTGGCGGGTCCTCCATCCGGACAGCTCCGTCGGGCCCGCCCACCACCCGGCCGAGAAGGCCCGCCACCGCCCGATTCCCACCGCCGAGTTCAACATCCAGGAGAACGGGGCTTCCTCGGACGGCCCGTACAACACTTGGCGCTGGACAAAAGCACAGCAGAAGCTCCTGGGTCCGGGGAAGGCCCCTGTAGCCGTTCCGCCAGACACTATCGGTATGTCACCACAAATTGCTATTTCCGTCGCCTCTCCTTGCTAACCTGACCTCGAGATCGCTTCGGAAAGCGCCTAGACTACATATTTGCCGGCTCCGGCGACATCCAGGTCCTCGGCGGCGGTTGGGTCGTCAAGCGCGTCAGCGTAGGCATGATGATGCGGCACCCGGAACTGGGTTGCTCGCTGAGCGACCACTTTTCCATGGAAGCCACCCTCGTCTTCCACCCCCTACAAACTCGCCAGCAATCCCAACCGCTCACCGAGTCAAAACCACACCGCTCATCCAACACCAAAGCCAACCCCACAGCCAAAACCTCCTCACCCACAGCCGAGAAGGCCACGGGGGCGACCCCGTCGACGCTCCCCACCAATGGCAACATCACAACCCCACTAACAGACGGAGACGGCAAGGAAAAGGCCCATTCCCTTTCACTCTCGGACGACCCCGAACAAGAAGACGCCTTCCACAACGGAACCTACCTCCAAATCCGGCAGTCCCCGACCCCGAGCGTGGTCCGCAACGCCGAATCATACGACACCCAGCTCCTCTCCTTCCTCAATGATGACCGTCCCACCACCACCACCACAGACAACCCCCAGCTTCTTCTGTCCTCGAGCGCATACGACGACATGCTCGCCGTGGCCCACGCGTACGCGTCCCGCGAGCGCAGCCAGCGCAAGTGGCGCGCGCTGCACTTTTTCGCCTCGCTGCTCGTGACGCTGGCCTGCCTTGTGGGCGTGTGGTTCAGCCCGGCGAATTATGTTTCTTTTATCTTGGTGCTCGTCAGCAGCCTGAGCCTGGCGGCGGGGACAATAGACGGCCTGCTGGCCCTGCTCTTCTTCAAGAGCGAGCTGCGCGCTCTCAAAGAGTTTGAGTGGGAGGTCAGGAACGCCAAGGCCATGACGCTGGGACGGGTAGGCAGAAGCGGACTGGGGTTGATGGGCGGTGCTGGGGAGGCTGTTGGAAGGGTCGGAGGAGTGGATGACGACGGGGGGTTGGATGACCCAGCATGATACATACGGTACAAATCCACATGTTGGTAGCATCGGAGGTACTTGTCTATAATACCCAACCATCAATGTCCCAACAGTTGCTACAAACCCACGATTTAGTATCTCATGCCAACGCTCACAGCTGGTTTCTACCCACATGTATTGTACAGCAATGTTTCAATCGCCATGCTCTAACATTGATGCTTTCTAATTGCTATTTAGCTTCGATACCTACTAACTACACGCGCCATCAACGCGGGCTCGTCTCCTTCAGCAGCCCGTCAAACATCAGTCTCGTGTCTCACCTTACCATTCTGCCTGCACAAATGCGCAGCCCAGTTGTTCACCGCAGACTCCATTGACCCCGGTGTAAAGCCCTCAAAGCAGAAACATCCTGGCCCCAACATTGCAGAACCCCCACGCCATTGATACATTGGTGTCCTTGGTCATGCGCTTCTGGAGCCTGAAACTGTCCGACCTGGTATGCCGCGGCATACACACCGCTCGCGACACCCTCCCTTGCATTCTCATTCCGGCTTCTGGCCCCGCCCTGACCATCGTTCGTCCCTGGCGCACTTCGTTCTTGACCCACCGTGCCGATACTCATCCGCCGCCACTCGTATCCCAAAAATGCCGTCCGCTTCCTGATATCCATGGCAATTGTCCGGGTCCGTTCGTCCCGTAGTAGCCGGTCCCGCGGCCGCTTGCGCTCACGCCGCCCGAACCTCGCAACGAACTCACGAAGTCTCGCGCGCTCGACCACCGTCGTCCCGGGCAGTTGCTGCTCGATGTAAGTATCCAGAACGCGTAAGCGGTCCGCATCCATTGGCGTGGCAATGGCCGCGTAGGCTACCTCCTGGAGCGTAAGCCGGAGGGAGCGGAGTATGCTCATTTGCTTGCGGGAGAGGGGAGGTGGAAAAGGAGCAAGGCCCACTGCTGCTGGAGGCTGCAAAAGAGGTGGCGTGGGAAACATCATGAGGGGATTGGTGACTACTATGCCATCAAAATGTTGAATTTGGCCTTGCGTAAAAGACGGCTGGTATGGATGGGCCGTGGGGTGGTGGTCTGCCACCAGATGAGGGCTAGATATCACCTCTACCCCTGAGTTCAGCTGAGACTGTGGACGTGACTCCCATTGCTGCCCACATTGAGGTTCTAGCTCCGGCACCAGAACGTTGTCTTCTCGTCCTTCTTCATCCTGGTTGCTCTCATCCCAGTCGCTGACCGACTCCTCTCCAAAATAGTGCGTATCGTCAACGGAATAAAGCCTGGGTACGTGCGGCGGTTCCAATTCGTGTAGTCTCTCCTAGGGGACGTGGCGGAACCACTTGTGTGCCTTGATGTCCTCGGCGTCGTAAGGAAAGACGAAACGGCCAGCAAAATCGCGGATCCCGCAACTCTCCGATTTGGGGCTAGAGGTAGTCTGTGATGTGCTGGGCGAGCCAGAAAGCGTAGTTGAAGCAAGATCCTTCATGCAATACCGCTTGGAGCAGAGACGGTACTCCTTGTCTGTGATCAACGAGGCTATCAAGTGCTGGCAACGACGAGAGACCGCAGGGCGCGCCGGGAAGCCAAACGTCTCACGATGATGCAGGATGTTCTTTTTGGTCCGCTGCCGACTCTCGTCGGACATGAACGGTGTAAACCCGTAGAGACATTCGTATAAGATGACGCCAACACTCCACTAGTCGCACCGAGCGTCGTACTTTCGCCCTTCGATCACCTCAGGCGCCATATACTGGCTTGTTCCCACCACGCTCATGGCAGAGGAACGGTTTCCGCAGCGCCTGCGCCAGCTTAGCAGCGACTCGCCGTTTGGAAGGTCCTCCTAGCCGTGCTTCTCGATGCCAGTCATGATGCCGCTTGGCAGTTGCGTGGCTGCCAGCGTGTCCAGCCGCTCGGCCTGGTCCCGTTCATCACCTTCGATGTTGATGCCCAACTTATACAGTAGGCTGTATCGATGGCTGTTGTAGTAGGCCATGTCGTGTGACCAATGCCCATCAAATGCCAGACCGAAGTCGCTGATCTTGAGGTGACCAGACGCTGAAATGAGAAAATTGTCTGGCTTGATGTCCCGGTGAATCCATTTGAGTGAGTGTATAGCTTCAACACACATGATAATCTCGGCGATGTAGAAGCGCGCAATCGTCTCATGTAAGGTGTTCTCGCGAACCAACAGCGCCAGGAAGTCCCCTCCGGGCATATATTCCATGACCAGGTATAGATTGGAAAGGTCCTGAAAGCTGGCGACGAGTGGCACGATCCTAGCATAGGTAGTCAGCTCGCGCGGGTTCGATTGCGGGATATGGGGACAGCAGCTTACCACTTCGACCCCTCGCTAGCCACCAGAAAGTCTCTCTCGGCCCGCAAGTGGCCCTCCTGACTCGTCCTCAACGTGTTGCTTTTCTTGATCACCTTCATGGCATAGACCTGTCGCCTCGCCCTGTCCCTTACCAGTTTTACTACCCCAAAACTCCCCTTTCCGAGTATCTTTATTGTCTCATACTCGTCCGCCAAACACGGTTTGTCTGCGCTATGAGTTGCGCGGAGAGCCCTCCAGCTCTTCGTCTTAATGACCCGCAGTTCTCGCAGATGCTCGCTCTCAAGCCGATGCAGCAAGGAACGCTCTGCTTGAATCTCGGCGGTGCTTAAGGTCACGCCTCCGGCTCGGCTGCGGTTGAACAGCTGGATCTCAAATAGTTGCTGTCGGATTTGACGTGGAGACGGCCCGGCGGCAAGCAGTTGCTCAAAATGAGTCTCGAGGTAGATTTTGGTTGCTGCGACCCGCTCGACAGTGGCGATGCTGGGACAGGGCTGGGCAAAGGCCGCTTCCTCGATCGTTGCGAGAGTACCCCCTGGAGAACCATGAGAGATATTTCGACTATTGGCTTTCTGACCGCGACGCTTGCTTGTCATGGAGTCCTGCTGACCGCCGCGTATGCGGCAGCCTGGTTCCCGAGGGCACGTAGCGCGGTCTTTACCCTCGAGCACAGAGTTTTGCGTGATCTTGCCCGTGGAGTCTTTGATTTCCCTACCAGAACTTCCCTTGTGAGTGCTAGTCTTGCTAGAAACCGTGTTTGAACTTGTCATATCTGAGGCATCCAACTGAGTCTCGGCGGCCTGGAACGTCTGCTTCAACGAGTGCCGGCTTTTGGGCTGCGCCCTCAAGATGACCGTCGGCTCCATCGAGACTCCGGATATAGTTGTGGAGATCTTGCTTTTGCTGGCCCAAACCAACGACCTGGACCTATGCACCTCGGGCGCTGTGTTAGGCTGTGGTGCTGCAGAGTGCTTCTTGGATGCTGGCAAGCCAAGTCAATAAAGTATTCGCAGCAACGGCTGTCGTGGGTCATACGCACCGCTAGTCAACGCCTTGAATGCTGATATGACTCTGAGTCTACGGCGACACTTTGAGAAGGGGCCAGAGCTGGCCTCGGTAGGCGCAGAAGATGGGCTGCTGGAATTGCCGTCCGGCCTCTGCTCGCACCCCGAAGAGATGGGGTCGGGGTGACTGGGACTATGTATAACACGCCACTTCATGTCGAGGAGGCTTATCCATGGAATGATAGATGAAACGAGACTGCGGCCTTGCTGGTTGGCTACCTGGTACTCGACCGCCTAGAGAACGAGAACCGGATCAATAGACTGGCGGGCGAGACGGGTGCGAAAGCAACCCTCTGGAGATGGAAAGATGATGGCCTCAGCGCAAAGTCCAAGGCTAGAAGTCAAGCCACAGGCATATTTTGGATAATCCTTGGCTGCCTGCCACCTATGTTCCTTCCACTCCCTTGCGCGACGGCTGACGGGTTTCCAGGAAGGCACGGCGCGGGAGAGATGCAAGAGCGCATTGCCTCTAGCCATGCTTTAGTCAAGGGCGATGGACTTCGAAGGTCCTAACAAGGCCAGGGCAACGAGTACAGTACATGGCTTACATTAGGCTGCTCGCAGCGGGAGTCGAATCCGATGATGGAAACTGCAAATATATCATTGCGCCTATGGAGAGAGTACAGAAACAGACATGGTAAAAGAGAAGATGAAAACCGGCCAGGAGATTTTTTTGTTCACCAACCCATATGCGATGCAAACCTCGTCATCCCGTTTGACAACGTCCGCTCCCCCCAGACGACGGAGCTCTTCGCAGACCGCCTGCAGGTCAGAGGTCTCCATGGTGCTTCCATAATAGCTCGCTGCAGAAGCAACCGAAATCCAGAGCCATATCTGAGGAAATTAAGTACCCCCCTGGAATACCTGGGGCCAGTTCAGGGAGGGAATGGGAAGATACAAACAGTGAAAGAGTACATATATCCCTCTTTGGAGACCGACGCCGCGCTTAGCAGGGATCTGGCAGACCCAACCTAGCCCATGAAAAGTGACAAGTGCTCCGCGGCGCATAACACGTTTACTTGATCTCAAGCAACTTGACGTCGAAGATCAGTGTGCTGTTCGCCGGGATCCCGGGCATGGAACGGCTTCCGTAGGCAAGGTGTGCCGGGATGGTCAACCGGCGCTCTCCGCCAACCGACATGCCCACAATGCCGATATCCCAGCCCTTAATAACCTCGCCCTTGCCGACCTTGAAGGTGAACGGCGTGCCCTTCTTGTTGGCTGCGTTGTCTTGGGTCAGCTCATATCCGCTTTTTCAGAATGAAAAAAAAAAAAAAAAAAAAAAAATCTGCTATTGCCACTTACAATCAAACACCTTGCCGTTTTGAAGTTTGCCAATGTAGCGCATGCCAACTTTGTCACCGGACTTGACAGTGCGGCCGGTGCCAATCTTGCGGTCGTCAATGGTAACGCCCTGGACCACCTTGACGCCGAGGGTGGCCTTTTTGTCCGACTTCTCATCCTTGTCGGCCTTGTCTTTGGCGGGGCCAGTTGGGCCCTGCTCCAAATTCTTAGCGAATTGGACCTTCTTATCGCCCTTGGCGGTTGCAGGTGAGTCCTTGCCCTTCGCTTCGGTTGCGACGGCCTCACCCTGATTGTTCTTCAGCTTCTTTTGCTGCTTCTTACTGAGCTTCTTCTCGTCTTTCGACATCATTTCGTCGAGGCCCTCAGCTTCGTCCTCGGCGGGCCGCTTGTTCTTTCCTTTCTTGGTGTCGACCAGCTTGGGAGCCTCCTCCTCCTCCTCATCGGTATCGATCTCCTTAATCCGAGTCACGCCGTCAATCTCATCCAACTCGTCGCTCATCTCGTCAGAATCCTCATCGGCCATGTCATCAATCCCGGGATGGAGATCGTATTCGTCATCATCATCCTCCTCGTCCTCGTCGGACTCGTCCTCGCCATCGGGTAGGACATAATTGCCAGTGAGATAGACCGTATGTGTTCCCTTAACGCTGAAAAACACCTTTTCTCCCTCGCCAATCGTGATGTCGAGGGGTTGCTGATAATTCTGTGGCTTGGGTCAGTCGCATGTAATTGAGGCCTAGTCAGGCGTGGGCCAAAGGGTGTACGTACGCGCTCAGTGTCAAGGGTGCACACAACGTAGTCCTCCGTGGTATAGTCCAAAGCATCACCCTCCTCGTCACTCTCTTCGTCATCCTCGTCGCTAGCCTTGCCCTTGCCCTTGTTGCTCTTAGCGCCGTTTGGTTTCGCGTCGGCATCCTTCATTTCATCATCCGACTCCTCCTTGGTTGCCTCGAGCAGCTTCTTGATAGCAGCCTCACGGCGAGCCTTCTTGGACTTTGAGGGATCGCTGGGACCGCCGTTGACCTCCTCGTCATCTTCATCGGACTCCTCCTCCTCATCATCATCACCGCCGCCGAGAAGCGACTCGAGATAATCCTCGTCGTCATCACCAGAGTCACCAGTCGCCTTGATGATCTTCAAGGTCGACCGAGGAATTGAAGGGACATTCCCTTGTCCATCGGTCTCGGGCTCAGCGGTGGGGTCCAGAGCGGCCATGGTGATGCGGATCTGAAACAAAGTCGTTAGCGCACGAGAGGGCGCATTGCACAAGCAAGGCAGCAAGCCGAACGTACCGTCGCGGGGAACTCAATTTCAGCGGGGACTATGATCTCCCCCGGGGGAACTTCCAGGCCGTAGACGGCCACAGGCAGAAGCGCAGACATGGTGAATGAAGATCGAGATGCTTTTGGGAGATGGATAAGTATTGGACCAAGAATGAAGCAGATGCTACGGTAACTGCTTTGAAAAAGATACCGTAGGAGTAGAAATGCACGCTTCCCAAATTTCCAGGCAGTCCTCAGAAGAAACGGGCGAAGTGGAAAAGGGAAGAGGTGAAGAATCTGGATGCAGGTCGATCGAAGTCAGGTCCATAAAAAAAGTTTAGCCAAGACGACCCTTCACTGCCAGAAAAAATCGAAGCAACCCCACACTTCCTGGTCGATAAGACTTATCGCTCTACGCTTCCCGGCCAACCAAGTGGGCCCTTGGCCACACATCAACATCAGAACTCGGCTGTCTCCCTACACCGCAACACCAGGCGCCACATTTACGTGACCTAGCCATTGTGGTTTGCAAATATAAGAGCTTGAATTTCTTAGTTGTGCCAGTCAGCCCAAGCAAATAAGCTGGCAATGGACAATTGGCTTGGCTGGTCCTACCCTCAAATCCTCACCTCCTCCACTAGGACCACTACACAGTACCGTAGGTTTCCCGACTTAACATCCTAGAGCCCCAACCACCCATCAATCGGCCTTTCTCCTCCCGACGCCCATGAATAAAGCCTTCAAGACCTGCCATACGACGTTAAGGGTCATGGCTGCCTTTCCCGTCTCGTACCTCTGCGGCCTGTCCCCGGTCTCGGTCATGACCAGAGCAAACTCGGCTACCGGCCCTGGGATGCGGCCGCTCTGCCGGGCATACGCCGAAACCAAATCATTCCCGTTGGTGATCCCGCCTTTTTCTCTCACAGTCAGTGCCAAACTTCAAACTTCACTCTTAAGGCTACCCCATTCTTCTTTCACCCTGCTTTTTCCGCAAGAGAGAGTCATGGGATAGATGGAAAGGATGCTCACCGCTGCTCCAAAAATTCCCATCCTTCACCCATCTTAGGTCATCGCCCACCCACGCAACACCCGGGTACAGTTTCTTGAGGTCGTCTTGCAGCCCTCTCGGCCCGCACGCTCTCCTCCCTTCCTTCAGCAGGCCGGCCGCGCCGCACAGGTAGATGCCCGTGCACACGCACAGGATGTCTGTCTCGGCCCGCGTGGCATGCGCAGCCAGCCAGTCGGTTACGGTCTTGTCCTTGAACTTGGTCGCCGGGTCCGGCCCGGGAACCAAGACGATGTCGAGCTGACCGGGCTGCACCGCCGCGTCGGAGAGATGGTGAGTGCACGCGACACGCATCGATGAGGTCAGTGGGATGGGCTGGCCGGGTTGCACGGTAGAGATGTCTTTTTTCCCGAGAAAAGGTTGGAAGGGACCTGGTTAGCAACAGTAACCCCTGAAGTCGTCGAGGCCACAAACGATGCCTGCTAAACTATGGTAGATCTGGTAAGGTACGTACATGATATTTGCATGCTCGGGGCCAGCGCGAGGATAGGAGCAGGAATTATATCTTTCATCAATGAGAGATACTCGTAGCTCATGCATCCAAGAATGTCCACGCAGGCCGTGTCTAGGACCTGTGCATCAGCCGGGATGAAGACGCCGATGCGTATCGTACTTCGGGAATCGGTGACACTCATCCTGAATTGTCTTGAGGGTGTGAAGTGGACTGAACGCTACATTGAGAGGAAGACCTGAGCCCTTCGAACTGCAGTGCCTCTTTTTATGAACACCACATCGTCATGGAGTCAACGCGAGGCTGCCGAAGGGGGCCGGACCGTAACACATGCCTAACAGGGCCGAACGGCCTATACCCAGCGCCCGGACATTGTCTAGAGGGCCGGGCTCTGAACCGGCTTCGCCTTGATTGGTTGAGTTTTGATCAACTTCCGAGCCCTCTCGGTAGTCACAAGCCACCAGGCTCCACGAAGCGGACGAAACTCGACGGAGTCAAAGAGCATTGTGCCATTGGTTGGTACCGTTAGATGGCTTCTTTGTTGAACCATTTGTGTCTCGGGTGTGGGCAGAGCATCCATGGATCATCCTACCAGGAGAAGACTGCGTCTAGCCATACTAACAGATCGGATTACCTTACAGATGCAAGTCTGTTTGCTTCATCCCCTAAGTCGTTCCCTTCTTGTTCAAATTGGTTAATAACCGTACGGACAACTCTGGACAGGCAGCGCACTCAAACAACAGATGCGGAAATGTACATATAGTGAGTACACTGCCCTGTTTCACGATCCGTGTGCGCCCATGCCGCGCCGTTGGGTGTTCCTGCATTTAAGGCTCCCAAAGCAGCCCGGCTGCAGAGGAATTGAGAGGTTCTGAATTTCCGATCGGTCTACAATGTGATGCAAGGCGTGCATGAGTTCCTAACGGCAGTCCACATCAACTCATCTACTGTAGGTAATGTACTACCGGTAACGCACTTACTGTGCCTACCTCCGTATCAATCGATGCATCCCCGTTCCCTTGCCGAGCGTTGACGTTTACTGTGCCAAGTCCAACGTGTCGCCGAGCCACAGGAGGTGCGCAATCCCCAATCTCATCATTCCAGGATAACGTCGAGTTGAGAGGCAGTGGCACAGAAATAGTCTACCCGAAACCATGCCAGGCCAACACCAGACAACCTAAACCTAGCCTAACCGCACCATTGCCTATCTACTGTGTAATGTGTGATCCTTCTAGACCCTTATCCTACGCGCAAGACACAAAGATTGTAGAACTGGCATGCGCCATCTATTATTTAGAGAGCCCTCTGTCAAGCTGGACAAGACAACCATACGTTTGCTCCCATTGCAGTCGATCTAGGGATTCAAGGCAAGTGCAATCCGACCAAGCCTAATGCTTGAAGCGCTCCGCCACAGCCTCGCATCCCTCATCTGGTGCCACAGCCGGAGTCGGGTAGATAGGCTTTTTGCGTCTGGTCTGGAACGGCTCCCAACCCAAGTCCATGATTCCCGTCCTGCGGCAACTGGCGTCGTCATGGTTGCTAAGGGTCACCTGGGATACTGCGCAGCACACAATACAGTACCAAGCACATACCTAAGGTATGTAGGTCGGAACTCGGAAGCTGAAAGGCAGGCTTATGAATGGAGCCGGCACTGAAAACGTCTTGGTCAAGCGAATACAGCAATTCAGGGACCGTAGTGTAACTTCTGTCATTGTGTCGCCTGCGCCACAGCTGTTCTGCGGCAACAGCTTGCGACTTCTTCCCCTCCTTCCTTCCCCCTCCCCGACTGCTCGCTCGTCCTCCCCTTCTCCTAGTGCTATCCTCATACTCCTCTCAGTATTTACATGTTAAGATTAGATATTAGGGGCTAGAGAGTATTACGATTCCCATTAACCCCCATCATGGGGTCTCAAGTCGATCCAGCGCGCCAGCCAACCGCGCTCAAGAATAAAAGGCTGATTCCCCAGTCCCAGCGTCATTTGTTTGTCGTTATGTCCTTCTTGTTCCCCGCTGAGTCTAGCCTTCTCAGACGGGGAAACAAGGAGAGCGCTTGGCTGTCCATAGAAATTCTTCGACCAAACCCTTTCATTTCCGAGCGAGCCTTCTCTTTCTCTTATTAGTGTGCCGGTGCCCAGTTCCATTTGGTTCGGGCCCCTGAGCTAGGTCGCCTCTGGTCCCTCTCTCCAGCCTGTTGTCTCGTTTCTCATGTCTTTTCCTCCTAGTTGTCTGTAAGCGAATGGTGCCAGCAAAGGCGGGATATCAGTTCCATGCTAGATGCCCCTCCCCTGCGGTATAATGTCTCGTCTCCTCTGCTCCGAGAACTCCGGCCAAGCCCAAAACAGTAGCAAAGCAAGGGAAAAAAAAAAAACTCGAGCCCCCATATCTAGATGCCAAATGCCGATGCCATGCCATGCATATCAACATCATGTCCTCTTTGATTTACACACGTGTGCCCCACAAACCCGTCTTTATAAAGAACAAAGGCTCAACAACGGCGGGGATATGGACCAGTCGCCCGTCCGAGGTCTGTAATGACAAAGATTTCCCAAGAAGTGAAGAACGGGTTGGCGCCCGGAGGATGGTGCGCTGAGCTGGCGGGAGCTCTGTGTCGAAAAAATTCGTCGTTGTCGAAGGGAGCGACAGCGAGTCCCCAAGAAAGAAGCAAAGGGCGCATAAAAGTAGGGTGCTGAGAATCTAAGCGGCCAAAAAGGGCCAACAAAATGCGCGCCTCTATACCAAAGCGTCTGCTGTCACGGACTTTGCTCGCCGGCGCGTGACCTTTTTGCTGACTGTGTATACCAAATCCATCGTCCAGAAATGGCATATTTGTGCCTGCGCGCAGGGTATCGCACCGAAAATGGGCGCAACCAGGGGCACCATGACATAGTCGATGAAGTTGGTCTTGACCTCTCTGCGCGAGAAGTGCATGCCCTTCAAGAGTCCTGCGTCACCCATTTCCTTCTCTCGCGACTCAACGCATATGCTGTGGAAGCTTTCGTAAAGGAAGAGGTACAATGCGACTTCCATGAATCCGGCAGTCCGGAGGACATTGCAGACACCGTAAATCCACGCCACTCCGAAAACATCGGCAGTGCCTTCAGTAACCCAGATGTAGAGGGTCGAAGCGATCACGAGGATGGTCATTTGGACGGGCAGGAAGTGGGCTTCGAAAAGGCGGTGGAACAGGATGACAATGCGCTCGTAGTCGAGATCTTTCAGCGTGTCGGTCACAACGTCGGAAAAGATGCCGCTCTCGGGGATAGCCTCGGGATCTGCACCGTCAATCTGAGACTGAGGCACGTAGTTATCGGATGCGTCATTTCTGGATCCGGTCAGCCCCCCATCACTACCCTAGGTCCGACCGAGCACAGAACTTACAGCGACGTGTGGAGGGGTCGGAACGCCCTCGACGTGTGCTTCCTCTCTTTCCAGACCTCGACAACCTTGCGAAGCGCATAGCCGGTATCCAGAGCGCCCCACATGTGCCTAAGAGCCTGTTTGTACCGCGCGCGCACGTCGGCAATGATGCCTGCGATCCCCTTGCCGCGTCCGCCGCCCGTGACGTTGCTCTGGCTAACTGGACTCAAGACGGTGCGTGTGGTTAGGTTTCCATTGAGAGCGAAGAAGCACTTGAGATACATGTGCAAGTCCTCGCCGATTGCCTCGGAATCGCAATCCCAACCGCCGACGCGATCGACAAGCTCCAGGGGCACAGAGTAGACAGACGTTGGGGGGGCGATGCTCGAACCCTTGTAGAGCCCAGACATGCCGGCGGCGGACCACAAGACATCGGCAACGCGAACGATTGCGGGCACATTGTGGGCATTGCGATCGAAAATAATGGGTGCCGAGTACAGCGTCGTAGTGGCTGTTTCGGGGTAGGCCATATGCATGGTGGTCACCAAGGCGAAATAATTGGTCGAGAGATGGCTATCGGCTGCATTGAGTAAGTTTGGTTAGCGAATCGTGACGTGCATAAGCCCAACAGAGTACAGGGTCTCAGCCGTCCAGTCGTGTACCTACCATCAATACCCGTGACAATCACGTCCTTTCGCTGCGCAAGCGTGTATTTCTCGCTGAGCTTTCTTGCCGCCCACGCCATGTTGCTACCCTTCCCAGCCAGTTCTCCGGGGATGTCAGACGGGTGCACAGTGAAGCTGATTGAGCGAAACTTCTTGGAGAATTCGTTCGTGAGTCGCGTAGCCTTTATCTCCGCATTGTGTTCGCGCTGCTCCATCGCAAGGTAAATCTGATTCATGCTGGTCAGCCTGAGCCAATCTATCGGGCATCGCAAAGAAGAGCCAAAACTCAGGCCACCGCCGAAAATCATGCTCTACTTCGTAGCTCTGCGCGACCTGTCGCTGCCCATAGCCGCAGGTCTCTGCCGGCTGGGCTGGCAGAGTGAATGAAAAATTACTCACATCGTAGGTGTTGCGGGCCTGAGGGTGCGACGCCAGGACCTCAAGCGTTTCCCTCAATGTGTCGGTTTCCTCCTTGTAGTTGGGAATGACAATTGCATGGATGACGCGATCGGGAGCAATGTCGCCATCGGCAAATCCATCGGTGTCCAGGTCGCCGGCTTCGCTGCTCGAGCTGGAGCTCAGATCTTTGGATGAGGTGAGCGTCTCGGAACTTGACAGCGACGTTGACGAGCCACGGCGGCGGTGGCCAAACTTGATGTCCCTCAGAGCTCTGCTGCGCGCAGCTTTTCGTAGGCTTCTCGTGATGGTGAAGACGGCCCAGCAGGAGCGAAGGGGGAAGATGAAGACCAGGAAGTGAATCAGTAGGCAATAGTAGGAGAAGAGCTTGACCCAGATGCCGCGACCCCGCGGGTCGTAAGCGGAGGCACCTTGTCCGTCGCTGGACTGATACTTGAAACTATGTCTTTGCGCTTCCAATTCACTCGAGATAACCCAGTATGAGAGCGCTACCGTGGCCAGCATAGCCAGCCCTCCGGCGCGCCGACTGCACCAAGCAAAGATTGACATTGTAGCGGGCAGCAATAGAGACCGAAAACTCTGTTTTGTACCGTGAATTGACGTCAAAGAGACCGGAAGGTGCTATTCCCCTGTAGATTGGCGTCGCTGGCAGATTGAACGAGAGCCAGCGGTAGGGAATGGCGTGTTGACCAAACTCGAGGGAGACGCGGGAGGTTGGGAGAGTGGAGGAGCCCTTGTGGACAGGCTGAAAGGGTCGCGAGCCGTATTGCACTCGACGTTGCTCTTCCACAAGTCCACGGGCGCAAGCTGTCGAGTAGGAGGGTAGGAAGGAGGGACTGAGAGAGAAGGGATGGAAAAAGGGAAACAAGATGGGTGGGAAAATTTAGGGTGGAATGATAGCCCGCTAGGCGGGTACAGTAATTACAGGCGTTGGATGCAGAGGGACCGGGCCGCCAGGGGGAACGTGCTGAAGGCTGAAGGCAGGTGTGTAAGGTAGGTAAGGTAAGTAAGGTTCCTAAGGTATGTACTGTACCTCATTCAAGGTACAGTACAGTACAATACAGTAACTTCACTGACCAACATTACGACGATGAAACCCGCGGAACAGGTAATACCTAATAAGGGAAGAGGGAATGCCTGCAGCGTCTCCTAACCTACAGTAACGTAGGTTACCAGTCAATTGCCAGCAACTGAGTGGCCTGCTGGGGTGCTGCTAGCTGGATGTGCAAGGCCAGGGTCAGGGACTCAGGGGTTCGGTCCAGAAGCGTGAGATTAGTTGAAGTCTCCTTGAAAGTCAATTTCCCTTGGCACTTGTGGCTTTTCGGCAAGAAAAAATTCTCACAAGAGGCCAAGGCAGGGTCGACGCGGCGGACGCGGCAAAGCATACGGTTCTGGGCGGCGTTTCCTGGGCAGAAACAGGGTTAAAATTGTATTGAATGTACCTTACCTCTGGTGCTCAAGGTATATGATTCCATTTCGCCGCCCTTCGCGGCCCTAAGGTTTCCGTCTGCTATTGCTATCCATTGCTACTAGGCGTGGTTGGAAAGAACTGAATGAGCCGCATTTGCCAGCCAAGTCCTAAATATCTTACCTTCCGGGTTGTAGGCATGGAAGGACCCGAATCAATACAGTACTCGCGTAGGGTATGGAGTTATAAATCACAACCTGGCAGTGTTCTAACACAAAGGGTCCTAAGGTATGTACTCGGCAAGTTTGACGAAGATCGGTGAGCAGATGGAAGTCAGGCAGGCGCAGGTGTGGCTGGTACGTCGGGAACGTGGAATCGCGGGGGAATGGAGACATTGATGTTCAATGTTCCCCTGTTCTACCATCGCCGCACATGATTGCTGCAGTTGCCGCTCATCAGCACTTTCTTTGCTGATAGGGATGTGATTCGACCCTGCCATCACCAGCAGCTGAGGCATCGCGTTGCCATGCTGTATGGAAGTCGTTTGGTCGGTTGGTGCTGCCAAGCACCGAGCGTCTGTTACGGTCTGACTTTGCTACTGTGATATACCTGAGCTACACTAGCACGGATGAGGCACCTACTGTCGACCCAGTCTCACTCGCCAACCAAAGAGCGTCGTCAAGACACGCACGGAAAGGCAAGCTCCACCAAAGATTGGTATGTGCCGCGGTCCATATCTAAGGTACAGTACCTGGTACCACACGACTCACGATACTGTACTGTACTATACTTGTACATACATGTTGTTTCGAGGCCGCTGAAGCCGGCCCAACAGCACGCCCCTTATGCCGATTTCCTTTCAACGCCGCAACGGCGATGTGTTGTGAGTTTCAAGCTGCTCAACCGGCTGTACGGCATCTCCCCTTCGGCGGGAAGACCCACACCTGGGTCAGCCCAAGCTGCCAATTAAATCGACATCTCACATGTAATTTGTGGGGCTCGATGTTTGAAGCTTCAATGACCCGCATCTTCCTAACCAGGTCACACGCTTCTGGGTTACTCCTGGTGGCTGCTGTGGGCTGTTCTTGGGCAACAATACCCATACCCAGTGCACTGAAGAGGACGGGAGATATCTTGCGTATTGCAAGGTACCAAACACTAGGAAGCCGCAATCTACGGAGCACCGTGATGAAAGTACCTATTTTTTTCACTGTATTGAAATACGGATACTCCGTTACCGTACAGTATCATCCTCCCATCCTCAGGCCCTCGAGAATTTTGTCTCGAGCTTTGACCATCCCAGCCCAGTTTGGACTGTGGATCGATGCCACGCTGGGGAGATTAATGATGAGCGCTTGCCCCTCTCTCTGTCAAGTTCGCCCAGGTTCGCAAGGACCCTCAACCAGCCATTGGATGCGGAGGGTACGACGCTAGTGGCTGGATCGTAACCACCTTACTCCGTACACTAAGCTTAACTACCAACAGTGAGCGTATCCGCGTAACTTTGCGTCTGGGGCACAACCTGGAAATTGTGGCTTGGAGACCTGCTCAGCCTTGAGCTAGCTCAGCATTAGCTCTCTCTGACTGTTTAGCGATGGAGATTGGAGATAACTGCATGCTGCTGAGTCTGGAGCTAAGTGATTCTGTACGGATGCCCTCTTACGCCTGCTTTCCATCTAGATGACTGCCAAATTTTAAATCACGGTTCGTCACCTCATCACCTAGGTTGCGGATAGGGCCGAGGGTTGTAATTTCCCAATGCAGGTAGCCTAAGGAGGCCTCACACCCCCCGCCCCGCATATCATGAAAGGCTCGGCACAGCTGCACGCTGCGCCTATCTCATCAAACGTTAAACTTCGCAGAGTTTTCATTGGCCAGCCCCTTCTCTCTCTTTTTACCCGCATCTTTGACCAGATCCCAAGCAGCTCTTTGGGGTTGGCTCCTTTTCCACCTTTTCTTTTCTTCTAACCAATGTCATTTGTGCCCAGAAGGCTTTGAGGCCCTGATAGGGTTGTTTGGTCGGGCAATCGGGGCGTTCGCAGAGACCGTGGGAAAACGCGATCCGTCGTCCAAACGTATCCGTACCGAACTTGTTCGCTACAGGGTCCACTGGTGCCACATATTAGCCACCCGCCAATACTTGGCGATGGCTTCAGCCCAACTGGAATACGGATACCAGTCTAGGGATTTCCTGTGGGACTTGTGGCTGCGTGTCCGAGGTCTGACAACGTTCACTTCGACGGTGACGATGGTGAATCATCTTGATTTTTGAACGGCTCCTTGCATGCTTCATGCCGTGGGACTGCCGTCCAGCACTGCTTGGTAACTTCATATGCTGCTTGGGCACATGTCATCTGAACGCTTATCCGGTATCGAGTCCGGCTCTTACACAGTTATCGGTTCTTGAGCCACCATCCAAGGCACTACTACACCGTGCTCGCTACTACATTGCCAACACATGACTAGCGTCAGCCGAATGAGAAGAAATGGAAGGGAGATATTGAAACAGACATTGCTGCCTAGAGACAGTCGTTAACTGCTCCGCCAAAAGGTTGCGTGTCCTGCTCACGCGTCCACGGGATTGCATGCTACCATTGCTACGTCAGATGCTGAGTAGATTCTTGGCCCAGTAAAGGGGACATGGCTGACTGTACGTACATAGGTTTGCAACTCATAGTGACGACTTTGGTGTTTTTATCCAGCTTCGCTTCTAGATCCGACCTCACCTGTCGTCCATCGATTGCAATCCAACCAACGGCTCAGCTATACCAGATGGCGTTGGCACAACAACCCCCATCGGCAATGTCAACCTTGGCCACGGGACGCGCCGTCGTGTACTCTGTCCCGTCCCTCGAATCCCGCGGGCCGTCCAGTTTGAAGATCTGGACATAGCCTTGTCCAAAGTCAGTCATCGCTGCATACTCGTCGCTCCAGAAGGCGGGGCTTATGTGGTTGGTACCCCCGCCCCCCGTCGTCGGGACACGAAGCATCCTCCTCAAAATGCGCCCGTCGTCGCCGAGGAGGTAGACGGAAATGAAGCCAGTCTCTGTTGCGTTGCGACCCCGTGCGGTAGCCCACAGGTAGCGCCCGGAAAGAGAGAGCTGGACGTCGGCAGACCAGTAGAGTGTGGTGTCCGCTTCTGCAGAGATGGAGGTCAGTGGTTACCAGCGTTTGACGTGCAGCTCCTGCGACAGAATCTCACGCGTACCGATAGGTATGAGCATGACCCTGAGGCTGTCTTGCATGATCAAGCCAGTCTCGACATCCAAATCAAACTGCGTGATGCTATTGTCCGCTTCCATGACGGCGTAGAGATATTTCCCGCCGGGGTGGACGATGAGATGTCGAGGGTTCATTCCCCCGTATGGCATTGGGAACCTGCCTACTTCGCTCACGCTCCCGTTTGACCGGACGACCTGGTGGATCCAAACTAGGTCGGCCGAGGTGTCGGCCGAATATATCAGCTGCTTCCCGTTGCGCCTGGTCAGCGCGAGACCATGGACCCCAGACTCGTTGGCGTAGGCCCACGAGTCGACCACAGAAGCCAGCCCACCGTTGCTGTCCACGGAGAACGCCATTCCGCAGGCGTCGGGTGCGGGCCATGAGGCTGAGAACGCATAGTACGGCTCGCTGGACATGCCCTCAATGAAGGCGCTCGTCTTGTTGAGGCAAGCACCGGTTGCGGGGATACTCTTGGTGAGCTCTAGCGTGGTAGGGTTCGCCACGCGGTAACTGGCTATCCGAGCTTCATTGAGAGACGCGGCGTAGATATTCTTTTTGGCGTGCTAAAGAGAAGTTAGGATACTGTCAATGGTGCCGCTACGGAATCTGAACTGAGCAGGTCGACGCTTCTAGAACTGACATCGAAGGCAATCCAGGCATGTGATGAATCGGTCGGCTGTGTCCGCACCAGCTTGAGTTCCTCCGTCTCATCGTTGAATTCAAGTGCGTGGATCGATGCCGGCGTGTACAGGTTCCCGACAAATAGGTTGTGGATTGCAGCCCGGACAGTTGGCGTAAAGCCAACAAGGAGAAAAAGACGACGTGGAATTCCCATTGTCTCTATATGTGAACCAAGCTAAGCAGCCCCGAGTGGGCTCAACATCTCCCCCATCAGGCGGATGGCTCTCCGCCGGTACTTGTACTCAATAGCCCCTCCAGTGATGATGTATATAATATAAATGCCGATCTTTCTTAATGATGCGTTCTCCCCGGTAGTGCTATGGCTGTGATAAACTCGACTTAGCCTGTAACAACACTATGCCTGAACACCATTACACTGCAGCCGGCTTTACCTGGTAGCAGTCCCATTACGCTCTACACGTGAGGGGACAGCAAATAGGTAGAATTCTGGTGCTAAGTTTCCAGAACAACCCGAGGTACATCATATCCTAAAGCATTACCTATGTGCACCCTGACAAGAGCAAACGGGGTGGCTATCCAACTGAACTTCTCTGAGCAACACCACATTCTGGGATCGGACTTGATCAGGGATTTCAGCTCTGGGCGAGCGGCTTACTGACGAGCTGGTTACGAGAAGTGATCCCTCGACGTCTGTTGGATAATCAAACCCGGCCAGTTATACAGGTAAGGTACCTTAGCTATGGTAGCTAGCCGGACTGCAGGTTGAGCAAGTACTTGCGGCATTCAGGGGTAGTCACTCCTACCTTATGTTGGTAGGTATTGTGTACCATCTCAATCCGCTGGCGCAACATAAACCTATATGTTTTCGGATAACTCTCCGTCAGGCAAGGACTACCTCACCTTGATCCAACAGGCACTCTGTGGCGAGTCACGGATCAAGACATACCAAGGTACCAGACATCATTAGACGCATGCATACAGTATTCGGTGTTACCACACAAGATGCCACACCAGAACGACAACCCCTCTCCTTTCTTGTCCAACCTCGATCTTTACAATCGAGCGGGGTTCATAAAGTAGAGTACTAATACCATGCCCTAAGCATCGATGGTGCTCTCGGAGTCATCATCATACCACAATCCATACCAGCAAAACCACTTTCCAAAAAAAGCCAATTACACTACACCATCACCGGCAAGGGAGATAGTACAAGTAGTACCACCACCAAGATGGCCACCGTCCCGAAAACACAATACAACACCTTCGCGCCGAAGTATGCCTCGCTCGAAGGAGAAGTCCCCTTCTCCAAGCTAGAGGCCCAACTGGTCGACCTAGCTCTGGGAGACTGCAGCGGCCTCACCATTCTCGACCTGGGCGGCGGCAACGGCGGCCCCGCGCGGCGCGCCGTGGAGGCCGGCGCCGCGGTCGTCGACGTTGTCGACATCTCTGCCGAGATGCTGCGCGTGGGCCGAGAGACCGAGGCACGGCTTGGCCGGCAGGGCCGCATCCGGTGGTTCGAGGCCGACGTGACGCGCCCACTGGCCACCCAGCAGGTTACGGCCGCCGATGGTGGCGACGGTCTCCGGGCGGACGGGTACGACATTGTCATGGCCAACTGGCTGTTTGACCACGCCACGAGCCTGGCCGATCTCGAGGGCATGTGGGCCAACATTGTTTCCTATTTGAGACCCGGGGGCAGGTTCCTCGGAATCCGGTCGCTGAATGTGTATGCTGAGCACATGAGCGCGAGTTCGGCCAAGTATGGCCTCTGCCTTACGCACATCGAGAAGATCCCCGGCGGAGTCAAGTACATGGTCGACTGCCGTGTCCAACCGCCTTTTTCCTTTGAGGCCACTTCGATGGAATCGACCTATTTGCGTATCGACGATATTCCTCGTCGCCTTGGACTTGTCGATTTCGCGGTCATTGACCCCAAGGACACAGAGGCGGTGAAGGAAGATCCAGAATTCTGGGATGACTTCGTCAAGGACCCAAGCTGCGGCGTGGTGGTAGCGCGGAAGCCATAGGGTAGGACTGCGATGCGGTCGTTACATCTCTGCTTCTAACCGCGATGTTGTTGTAATGTAATCTATCAACGAAACGAAGAATGGCACAGCTTCATCATTGAATCCTGCAACCCCTGACAAGCTCGGCGGTCTCTGAGTGAGTCTCATCTATCACAACCGGAAAGTGTCTCCATACTAGGCCTGGACTATGCTGGGGCTATCCGGAAACGGACATTTCAGAAGGATGATCTGGCCTGCATCTCCAACCCTCAAGCGGGACTGCACATAGCAATTACCTCATCTTGGCCTTTAGCTCCTCCATAAATCGGCGCTGATGCGCTATAGAAAGAGCTGCCTGCCCGGTCGCTCCTTGGAAGGACGCTTGGGCTGAGTGCAGGACTTTCCAAGAGATCGACCCCAACCGGACGTTGTGGCTTTGACAGCAGTCAGTCAAAGGCTGAAATCGGGGATAAGCTCGCCTCGATGGTGGTTGCATTCGCAGTTGTCGTCTATGATGATGAGTTTTAGTTCGGGACGCTCCTGGACCGCCTCAGAGCTTGGGGTGGGTTCGCATCTCATATAGCCATCGTCGGCATTTGTGCAAGCCGGAAACCCCAAGCAGGGTGAAGAAGTGACCCTGGAAGGGCCACAGCTGGCATTTCTCAGACCACCTTCTCGAATATCTTCTGGATAGGTTTTGCGGCCTATTTTTCCACGGGATTAGCGAAATCATGTCTAACGTAGCAAGCGCGGCAACCCACGTCGATAAACTTCTCCAGATCTTTGTCCAGATTTGCCAAGTCATCCCTTCGCTTCTTGTTCTCGGCAATGAGCTTCTGCTTTCGCTTCTGCAGCTCGAGCCGCTGCTGCTCCAAGGCCTCGCGCTCCTTCCGCTCGTGGTTGATCCTTGCCACCATCAACGAATTCTCGTCATCCTGGGCATGTTCGGGGTGTTGTTCAAGGAACTCCTCGACCGGAATCAGCGGCAGAAGCTGATATGTGTGACTGAAGAGCGGGCGTAGTTTTGTCAGCATTCGTCGATTCCATCTCTGCTTGGAGGAGTGAATGAAGTGAAAAAAAGGGAGACGCACTCGAAAGACTCGCACGCCGATATCTCGCCCTCTAGATGTCTCTGCTCGTAGTACAGGTTCTGTAGCTGCAAATGCAGCACATCCACCTCGTGTCGTGCCTCAGCCGTCTGACTCTTGGTCTCGCGGGCCCGAAAGTGTGCTGCGCGGTGAAGTCCGCGTAGGTGGGCGAGATTGGTATTCAGAAGCTTCTGCTGCTTCGATACCTCAATCAGCGTTTCGGAGCGAGCGGCGCCATTGGTGGCATCGTCGATAACTCGGGCAACGAGATCAACAAGCTCTTGGGCTTGCTCTCGTGCTGCTCTGGACGTTTCGAGGACGGCAGCGAGGGAGGGATCGGTGATATGTGTGTCGATGGTCATCTTGGCCAAATCTCTGAGTGTTGAACGTGAGCACGTGGGAACGTGAACGTCGATGGTTGGCGACGCAATCGGAAAAGTCGAGCTTTCACGATCAGCCCAACTGGCCGTTTTCGAAATGCAGCTTGCTGTGAGTTGTGATGAAATGCTGCAGGTATTGGTCTCGTAGCCAACCAATCTTGGATTAGTTATGCAAGAGGTTTCAGAGTCACTTCCTTTGCTGAGGGAATCCCGATCTAATAAGACCAACGTGAATGAAGAGCTTAACACGATTCATCAAAGCCCATCCACGTTCACTACATAGGTCTTTAAGGTGGTGTTGTTGCAGTGTGGGGCGGCGTGCCGCCAATAGAGGCACTAATTGGCCCACAATTGGCATCAGTGCGGGGATGGTAGCGGGCACTATCAGGCCTCTTTGCAGTATCACCCCCCTGTCTCTTTCTCCTGGCACTAGGGTTGGGATTTCCGACCATGGCTT